AAAAAAGGGGAAAACCCCTATTAGAGTGTGGTCCCATCATGCTGTGTCTGATGGCTTGACCTGACGGCCCGGAGAGTGAGACACTCAGAGGCGCGTTGAAAAAGTGTGCTGGAGATTCGTAGTCTTCAGGTGGAGTTGTCCGGTTACGTTGGGACTGTATCCCTCAGTTGTTAGGGTGCATGTTGTGCAGTAAGTGAACGATGGGTCGTCTCAGCTCGATCGGTACAGCTATATGCTGGGATGCAAGTCTTGGAGAGAGACTGGGTTAAAATCCCCCCCGATATGGCTGACGCGTGGTACTGGTTGTGACGCCGCGTCGGAAAGGCGGTGGGGTTGTAACATGGAAATTTCCCCCCGATATGGCCGACGCGTGCTACTGGTTGTGATGCCGCATCGGAAAGGCGGTGGGGTGGTAACATGGAAATTCCCCCCCCCCCCCCAATATGGCCGACGTGCGTGGGTTTTAAGGATGGAGACGCCATGTCGGAAAGGCGGGGGGGGTGCTATTGGGTGACTGTCATGTCCGAAGAGCGGAGGCGAGTGTTCGTTGAGTGATGCCTCAGGAGGGTTTGTTTCTCGTCACAGGAAGCAGTATCTACCTGGCACCTTGGAGTCGCCGGTTATGCCGACCGGCTACGGACTGGGGGGGGGGGGAGGGAGTGGAGCATGCGTCAGCTACTCCTGCTCCTCCTGTTCTTGACTCCTGGGGGGAGGGGCCGTGCCCTTTGGGTCGCTTTTGGTTCCCCAGGCCCGGCCACATGGACTCGTGGAAGACTGGCTGCTCTACATGCCTCTCAGACTCCTTGCTCATTGCCTACGCCGTCGTTCCAATGGCCACACTCACATGTCGGTGCATGAGTGATTCTCACGGGGAGGCTGTGCTGGAGCATAAGTGGGTTAGCCAGTTTTCATGTATATTTGTTGTTAATTCCCCATTTTCTATGCGGTTTCCTTCCTTTCACCCTCGTCGATTCTGTGTATATTACGTGATTGTATTTCTTATCGGTCGCCGGTTATTTATTGATGTTGCTGGTTCGGAGGCACACCTTTTCGATGTTTCACAGTTGTGTTACAGCCGGGGACGGCTGTGTGTTTATACAGGGGGGGGGGGGGTGATGTAGTGACATAGAACGGTCACTACTGTGTCGGCCCGTACGAGGGCTGGGGGCCCCAAGGGGGTGCCTGGGGGGTCACGTGGTGGAGGGATCCGGACCTTCCCAGAGGTGGGGGAAGGGAGACGTGGCCTGGGAAGGGAGGCGTGGCCTGGACAGAGCCAGCCACGCCTGGGTGGAGCCGGCCACGCCAAAGCAGATATTAGCGTGGTGTGAACGCAGAGCGAGGCTGTTGCACTGTACTCCAAAGTGAAGACATCATCGGTCGTCAAGTCAAGAGTCGTCGTCCTGGGCCAGGCAGGCCGTTGCCTGCCTGGTCCAGTCTGTGTCGTGTTCCAGAGTGTTAGTGAGTTGAGGAAGGTGGTCACAACGTCATATACAGTGTTATATTACTTACCGTTTAATAAATAGTGTTGCCTCCAAGCTGCGTGTGTGTGCACCTAATGCGAACCCACTACACATGCGAGGGTTGTGGCACCCAAAAGCTCGGCACAAATGGGGTCAGGAATCCCAGTGCCGTACCACCATCTGCTGGCCACCTCGCAGCCCAACGATTGCAACTCCTGCATGTACCCCCAGACCGTCTCCTGTCGAAGTCCTAACGCAGGCTCGAGGCCGCTTGCTTCCGAGATCGGACGAGATCGAGTGTGCTCAGGGACTTTGGAATCATAGCGAGTTCCGACCCTGAGGCTGTCCCCCCCCCACCCCCCTCGCGCTGTGACCCCCGCCTCTCTCCAGACCCACGGTGGCTAGGAGATGTTTACTACCTCGCCTGGTATACAGGAGGTCGTGGGTTCGATCCCGACACCCTGACGCCTGCTGAACGTTTGGAATTTGCGCGTTCTCCCAGTGTTCGCGTTTAGGGTATTTGGATACCGCTCTAAAAAATTCCACACGCTGACAAGCCACTTCATTGAGCTATCAGTTGTGGCCTGGTCTCTTCTGAAAAAGAGTTATACAGCTCAGGGTGGCCTCACCTGGTAACCCGCCCAAGGCTCCACAGCGATTAGGGGCCATCCATAAATGACGTCACGCGATTTTGGACGATTTTTGACCCCCCCCCCGTCACACGACGTCACATAAAGTCAGACCCCCCCTCAAATATGACGTCACAAATCTCTGGCCCCCCCCCCCCAATTTTTTTTTAAACATGCTTCAAATCGCTTTAAACTATATTCATTGTAGTGCGTATTTAATGTGGCGCTGCACTCTGATGTTGTAGGAGAAAACATTTGTTAAAAATACTATTTAAGGAAGTAGAACGTGTTGTCTATATTTATTTAAAGTTGCGCATTTTGATGTGGCCTCTTAGCACGGTTGGCTACGTACGGTGCGAAAGAAGTTCAACATAGAGCTCCCACAGTCCCATACCCCCTGTGAATTCCCGTCTCCCCCTCCCCATCCCCCAACGCCGTTGCTCCCCCCACGATCTGCGCCATTGAGAGCGCGGGGCGCCCTCTCGCGCCTCCACGTGGCACTGCGGGGAGCCCGCGTCACCAGTTGGACACCGAACCCGGGTGGCGTGAGACGGGGTGAGGTGGAGCGGTGTGCAGTGCGCCGAGCGAGGGCGGTGGTGAGCGGGGGGGGGGTGGTGAGCGGGGGGGGGGGGTGGTGAGCGGGGGGGGGGGGTGGTGAGCGGGGGGGGGTGGTGAGCGGGGGGGGGGTGGTGAGCGGGGGGGGGGGTGGTGAGCGGGGGGGGGGGGGTGGTGAGCGGGGGGGGGTGGTGTGGTGAGCGAGGGGGGGGGTGAGCAAGGGGGGGGGGGTGTGGTGAGCGGCGGGGGGGGGTGGTGAGCGAGGGGGGGCGGTGTGGTGAGTGAGGGGGGCGTGTGGTGGTGAGCGGGGGGGGTGGTGGTGAGCGGGGGGGAGGGTGTGGTGAGCGGGGGGGGTGGTGGTGAGCGAGGGGTGTGGTGATGAGCGGGGGGGGGGGTGGTGAGCGAGGAGGGGGTTGTGGTGAGCGAGGGGTTGTGGTGAGCGGGGGGGGGGTGGTGAGCGGGGGGGAGGGTGTGGTGAGCGAGGGGGTGTGGTGGTGAGCGGGGGGGAGGGTGTGGTGAGCGAGGGGGGGTGGTGGTGAGCGAGGGGTGTGGTGGTGAGCGATGTGGGGTGGTGGTGAGCGAAATCCCGCGGTCTCTCCGAGCCGTGCGCTGCCCGGTCAAGGCGTCGTCTCGCCGTGCTGCGTCTTGCCAACTCAAGAGCCATTATCTTGAATCTCCGGGCAGCAGGTAAGTGGAGGTAGGCTGGCCAGGGCTGGCACGCCTGTCCGCATTGGCACGCCTGTCCGCTGCATTAGGACGTTCAGAGGAGATATCAGTGATGCAAGCGGAGTGAGTGATAGATGCATCAAAGGCCACGTCGGGGAAACGCTGAGAACCCCCTTGGCACGCGTTCAGTAGACTTCGTAGGGGCAGGGCGTAACCGTTGCTATTTTTTTATTTAAAGCTTTCGTGACTGCAGGGATTCATATTCTTGGTTCTTTCGGTAAAGGCACGTAGAAGGGAAACAATAAAATAATAAAAATTTGAAACAAAATTATCACGACGTTTCGACTGCAACACAAGCAATCATCATCAGGTGTGAAAACAACAGCAAGAAAATGTATTGATTCCCTTCTACGTGACTTTACCGAAAGAACCAAGAATATATACATTGCTATTTTATTTACTATTTTACCAGGTAAGGCCACTGAGCTATGTAGCTCTTTTATGGCCATCACAAATGAAAGCTCTACAAACTAAATTTCGATTTACAGCTACATACTATTAACATTCCTTCCCTTTATTAATGCTTCCCCCTATCCCCTCCCTTTGATGCTGCTAATCCTGCATAATGCACGGGCAAAACATGATTTTAAACCCCCCGCCAAACCTCCTACGCATTTCACAAGTAGTATTAATCGCATATCTGCATTTTTCATAAATATGCTAAAATTCCTATTGATATGCAAATTATTTTGTCCAGACGCTCTCCCAGCTTAAATAGACGCTCCAACCCTGGGGTTGTCATTCAGACTCTGTCTTCTCGACAGACCTGTTCTTCACCTGAGGACGGCTGCTTGCGTTGTGGCCGAAACGTCGTGAGAATGATTTGATTGTTTTATTTTTATTATTTTATTATTTCCATTCTACGTGACTTTACCGAAAGAACCAAGAAGACTCTGCAAACTACCTTGCGTGGAAATGCTAAAGCAGCAAAATACTCCAAACGCGTGGTGTTGTCGACATATGGAGGGGGAGGGGGGGAACCGGAGGAAGCGAAGAAAAATCCACGAGACCACGGGGAGAAAATGCAAACTCCAAATACACAGGCGTTAGGTTCGGGATCAACCCCACAACCTCCTGTATACCTAGTGAGGTAGTTAACATCTCGCCACCGATCCGATCTGATTCCTGTGAAGCTTAAAAACACAATCCGATTGGAGATATTAACTCATCCACGTACGGACCGGAGTGACAAGATAGCATCGAATCGCGTTTTTATGGGCTCATCCGCCTGTAAGGAACGATTTTTTTCCGAATGAAACATTCCAAACGGTATTATTAATTCATGTACAGTTTTATCTTTTTTTTACTGAACAAAAAAAATCTATAGTTGACTCAAAATGTTCCGTGCATTGTGTAGAATGGGTGCAGAGTGCGTGGGAGAGTGAGTGCCGAGCACACCAAAGGACTTTTAATTGAAACGGGAAGGTTATGGGTTCAATAACTGGCATGAGGAACAATTTACATGTCAGAGAACTCATCTTAAACAGCCATGATCAATCCACTGCTGGATCAACGCTTTCCCAAGCCGCCTCTGACGATCTTGCGACGCAAAAGTCAACGGATTTCATGGCTCCATCTCCTTGCTGGACACGCCCCTGGGACGTACGTACACAAATATTTCAGGGTTTTTTTCAAATGTATTTTTTCAGTGGTATGTTTATTTGAATGTGAAAGACAATGCAAATTTTGGCAACAAAAAACCCCAAATGTTATGAATCGCTTCACGCTCATCAACACGCTCGTTCACAGGCTACAAAACGTGAAGGCCGGATAAGCTCATCTATTCCGTGAAGTTCTAGAGTTGATCGTACGCAGATTTCTTTAAATGTCTAAGGGTGCTTTATACATGTAAACTATTATCATTACACGGCACTGCGTCACCAAAGTGGAGAGTGAACGCGACATCCAGCACACTCCAAGTGCAGAGCGCCAACAAGCATACCTTGTGTGTGGACTATACCCGTCTGTGAAGCACGGCACATTCGTGGGAAAATGTTGGCACCAATGGCCAGGGCCGGATTAAGGTTCTTGTAGGACCCCGGGCACTTGTTTCGTAGGCCTTCGCTGATAGCTTTCTGCAGTTGCTACTGCTGCCTCCATGTTACCACTACAGCTGTCTCGGCCTCGCTGTGCGCTGCATTACATCACTATCCGAGTAGTTAACCTCGCATTCAATAAACCTTCAGAGCCATGGTGAACATGCGACTCCAACGTATTTAATGAATAGAACGAGGTAAACCTGATGGAAAAACAGCACAAAATACAGCATATGTTAATACTTGCAATATCAATACAATTGTAGTGGCGTGGAATGAGTCACTGGAGCGCGTGCCGCTGGGAGATTGGTAGACAATAGAATTAGGGGTAACAGCCCGTTCTACCAGTTGCACCTGCGGGCAAGGCACAGAGCAATCTGGGAGATCCAGAGGGGTGCGGGGCCGAGAGCGGATCCTGGCCACGCTGGGCAGGATGTAAGGCGAGCTCCGACTCACAGTCGGGGCCGCTGCGATCTGGAGTGGAACCCGTCATGCCGTCGTCATCGTGATCTTCACCCTCTTCAAGCTGGGGGTCTGGCAGCATGTTGGCTGTCCCGACCCGGTGGGTGGTTATCCCCTAAAGGCTGTGAAGGCCGGAATAAAAGGGAGTACCTCCTACTAGTGTGTGTGAATTAGTACACTCCACAATGAATACTGCAGCATCATAACATTGTCTTAGATAACATGAATCTCAATAATAGGTCCTGGATGGACCAGGCACCTTCATTAGCACTGAATACCTATACAACAAGCTACTGTGTTAAATAAGGTCACTTTGTATAATCACCATACTGCATCCCAAATGTACAGCGCTGCACTTAACACTGAACTGTGGATGAGATACTTCTTCATCCTTGCTCTCACGAACGCATTAAAGTTACATGGGTACAAATCTGGCTCGGCTTATCCAACTACAAATAACATTCACAATAATGCAAGTGGCAGGCTTCGTTGTTAACTAGGCCTCGTATTTATCAAAACAATTTCACAGCATTATAAAGGCAATCCTAACATGACAGCATCCCCAGTATTACAGGAACATAAACGCACCTACAGAAAATGCTTCTTAAAGTCCCATAATGAACAGATGCACCCGTCTTCACTGCGACGCTAATTGTGCCTCAATTTAGTATTCTGTGTAATGGCTGACACCCCTTCCTTGCCTCGTGGCTTCGAGACCCTTAACTCGTAACTTCGTGATCACGTGACCAAACTCAACACCATATCAGGACGTTCCTGTGTAAACACACCCCCCCTCCCCCCCCCATGTCTGCCATGGGGCAGAACAACAGCCGCTGGTCACTCGCTTGTTTCATGCGGACTTCGTCTAGCCAATAGACAGACGTCGTTACTGCTGATGCGTTCATTATTTAGTCTGTGCTGTAATTCGATGGGAGTGCGCTGTGTGCCTATCCTTGCTATATACGTATATTTATTCCAGAAGATATCTTGGGTTACATTTTTTTTATAATACAAAATCAAACATGGTCAAATGTGTTTTTTTACGTAGGCCCTTTAATTTTCATAGGCCCTAGGCACAGTGCCTACGTGGTACCTACTGCGCCTATTGGATAATACGGCCCTGCTGATGCCAAATGGCCTGATGGAATACGTGAAGGTGGGGGCGCAATTGTGCACTGCATGCGTCGTGGATGTGCTTGTTAGCCGGTACCACGTGCTAATCGCATCGTAAGCCTGCGGCCTGGTATGGCATCGATTGGAGGCCACCATGCAGATTCATCATGGGAATCAATTTATAGTCGGGGACAAGAGTGGATTTACACGGTAATTACAGGTGCATCCATCGCTACTGAACTGTATTGTGTCACCTGTTCAAGAAATATTAATTCTGTATAAATTACATATCTCCTTAAATCACTGCAGCAGCAGCAAAAGTTACGCGATGAGTTGGAAAATTATTATTTAGCTAAGCACGTTTAGCAATTTAAGAAAGTCGGCGGCAATGATTAGCGACGATCGATCGTGCGTTCGGAAAATGTTGAAACAGTCGGCTTCATGCTCCTCCCGAGGGGGGGGTGGGCCCTCTCTAAAGAGGCGACGACGCTGCCAATGACGACGCAGACGCCGGTGAGAACGCCGCCAGGTCACTTGGCGTCCCTTGCCAGCCCGGAGCGAGCGAGCCCGCCTTGGTGGAGCGCCCTCCCGGTTAGCACGGTTGGCTACGTATGGTGCGAATGAAAGTTCAACGTAGTCCGGGGGAGATCCCCCTCATCGCGGTCACGGGCCGCTTCCAAGGGAGCCATTCGGCTGACGCGTCCGAGCGACGGTCTTGTGGACGCGCCTCGTCAGAAACCCCCCCCCCGCCCCCCAAAACTTCCTTTCGGCGGACGCTTCTAATTCCGCTGAGTAGCGTGCAAAAACCACGAGGGGCCATGGCGTTTGCCTCCCTGGTGCGTGAGGTCGGGCGGGTGGGCGGGGTGCGATGACGCGAAACGAGCGACATGCGCGACGCCGATCTCCCAAGCCGCATGTCGGAGGTGGTGGCGGTGGCGGTGACCGGCAGTGGCAGCGGCGGCGGTGGTGGTGACCGGCGCTGCCGTATCCGGGCGGCGGCGGCGGTGTCGTCTCGGCGACGTCACGAAGCGTTCTCTAGCTGGGAGGCCGGCGCGCGATTCTTCCAGTGGCGGACGGCGACGGCGCTGGCGGCGACGACGAGCACCGCCGCGGCCGCGAGCAGCAGCAGCAGCAGCCACTGGGCCGCCGCGGCCGCTCGCTCGCTCACCTCCATCCCCAGGAAGGTGGAGACGGGCGCCGCGCCGTAGCCGCCGTCTGAAACGCAACGACGGCGCCGCGTGAGCCTCCGTGCCCGGCCCCCCGTTGCCGTCCTCGAGCGCGGTCATTCTCAACCTTTTACTTGGCTACTGCCCCCACCCATCTTGTTGACGTTTGTTTTACCCGAGCACCACCCTGCTTGCCTGACCTTACATGGCTCTGAGAAATAAATGTATGAATAATGAACGCCAATATTTGAACCAATTCTCCATTTTGTGAGGTATCCAAACTAGCTAGTAACTGCAAGCGAATACAAAACATTCAACGGACGCTCTGTGATGCGTGACGTAATTATGCTGCTAACCCCAGAGCGATAAATGCTCTGATGCGTGTGGCATTGTCTTTGAACTGTTCACATTTTGGCGTTGTTCTCTGGTCTGACACTGGAAGTGAGGCTACAAAAGGCTAACACTGGTGAGACTAGGCCCTCTCTGGTGTAGGCCAATCAGTTCAAAGACAATGCATTTATTATCAGAGCATGTTTGTCTGCATGTTCACCACATGTACGTGTGGTTAATGCAGACTTGATTCCTCGCAAAAGGTATCTGTGTGGTATTTGAACATCTTAACTCCTGCTTCATTGCCAGAAAAAGTAAACCCTTTTCTTATTTATCATCATAACAAGAATATAATATTTTTTCCGAATTCGGTGTAAAAAAAAACTCAATATATCAAGAGCCGTATTGCACGTGAATAACGTCACGAATCAGTCCTTTAAAGGGCCAAAAGCTATTTGCAAAAGGTATTTATTTGGTGTTTGAACGTCTTAAAAGCCTGTTTTATTGCCAGAAAAGGTAAAACCTATTCAAATTTTTTTTATATCTTGATTTGAAACTTTCGTGCCTGCAGGAATCCATACTCTTTGATTCTTTCGGGAAAGTCATGTAGGTAGTAATATATTATTATTTTTCATACTTTGAAACTGGCAAAAAGGTCCCATGATATGACATAATTAGGTTGTGCTCACTGGTTACTCTTGGAAACCCGCATTGTTTACTATCAGTGGGTTTAAAAAGGTCTTTTATATCATTCTAGGTTACCATATGGATTTTAATTTCATTGCAGTTATTTTACATTGCCAGATTCATACGTAATTATTCACCAATGACACAATTTCACACATTTATAAATCTCCTCCCGTACCCTCCTGGGGGGACATTGCCACGTTGGTACCCCCCCAGGGGTCCGCGTCCGCCCGATAGAGAACGGCTGCTCGAGCAAAGCGCGTCGGGGCTTGGCGGAACCGCCGACAGCATCGCTGCGACGAGGAGACCGGCGGACCTGGTGGGGGGGGTCAGCGGGGTTGTCGCGACCACTCACACGGGCGCCAGTCGTAGCTCGGCCAGCCCACGACGTCCCCGTGCTCCCCATTGCGGCGATGCAGCCACAGCAGCAGCGGCTCGAAGTAGCGCAGGAGGGCGGCCGCGGACATGGAGCGGTTCCCCGTGAGCACCTCCAGGGCGTCCTGCCAGGGGCGGCTCGCGCCCAGCCGCATCGCCTCGCTGCACGTGGGGGAGACGCACGCACGCGCAATTGTGATGATGAAAAATCATAACCCCAAAACTCTCTCTGAATTTACAACTTGGCCCGAATTGTTCTCACGCTTTAGGAATTCGGCGATGGTGATTTAGCACACCCCGGTGGTGAGCTACAGTTGGAGATGCAATTCCACGTGATTTGGCTCTTTAAATTGCTTTGTTGTTGATGCGCCGCCTTTCACATTGTTTTTGGGGCCTCTGTGTGAGGTTACATTTTCCACGGCGCCGGTGTTTGTGGCCACAGAATGCACACAGGAAGAGAGGCTTTTGTTTTCCACTCGTGTATCTCGTTGCTCGTGCGGATGCGGTCAAGCGCCGTCCATTGTTTCTGTGGGAAGATCTAAGCTGAGCAGCGTTGACCGTGGACTCGCCGGGAGGAATGGGGCGTCGTTTACATACACACGCACGTACTTTGAACTTCTTTCGCACCGTACGTTAGCCAACGGTGCTAATCCAGAGGTGTACCACACACTCGGCGTTGACAAAACACTCCCCGTTCATCAGCAACGGCGAACAGTTCGTTGGTATGAACTTTAATTCACAGCCCTCTCGATCCACTTTTGAACGAGGGCCTATCTCCTCTCTCTCCCTCTCCACGTTGTGTCGGTTAAAGAGGTTGTTTGGCCATCACAATCGGAATCTTTGTTTATCCTTTGAGAAATCCAATGAGCTATGAAGCTAACTTGTCACAGATGGTCCAGTAGGGGCAGGTTAAAAAGTTACAACAAACATACAAAGAATATAAACAACGATGGGAGTGCAAAGTATAGGAAATGTAATCAAATAACTCTAAATAAATAAAACAGATAAAGTATATCAGTACACATTGCATACTACACCAATTCCTAAGCTTGGGCAAGGCAGCAACAGAGAAAACAATTCCAGACCACGTCAAGACAACGCAGAGTCCCTCAATAAAATTGCACGTTAAATTTGAAACTATCGATACACAGGTAAGAATGAAAGTTACAAATCACATTTGAACTTCACCATGCCGGCCCATGTGCCTCTGGAGACGGGTGGCAATGTTCAATATGAGTAACTGGGCTGTGAGACGGGGCTGCGTGTACTTGAAACTAAACTAAACTATTTATTTTACCAGGTAAGGCCGACCACTGAGCTATGTAGCTATTTTTCAGAAGCGACCTGGCCACAAATGATAGCTCAACAACGTGGCTTATCGTGTGGACATTTATAGCAGCCAAATACCCAGAGAAAAACCCCAAGCGACCACGGGACGAACATGCAAACTCCAAATATACAGGCGTCAGGATCGGGCTCAAACCCACGACTTCCTGTGTACCAGGCGAGGTAGTTAACATCTCGCCACCGTGGCACCCAACTGGGCTGTGAGACAGGGCTGGGTTTATTTGACACTTGAGGTCGGTGTGAACCGGAGGGAGGAACAGATGATGCTCTCGACAGGACGACCGGCACAGAGCAATATGAAGCATGCGGTGTGTGTGGGGCGTGAGGGATGATGATGATGACAATGACGACGTACGCGAGCAGGCTGCCCGCCTCCGTGGAGCCGTAGATGTCGCACGTGTGCAGGGGCCCCGTGTGCCCCGCGCGGAGGCACAGCGCCTCGTGGATCTGGAACTGGAGGATGTAGCTCACGAAGTACCTGCAGCCACGGCAGAGCGACGCGCTCGATCGGGACGCTCGCTCGGGAAGCCGCTGGCTCGCTGGCTCCGGACGCTCGCTCACTCACTCGGGACGTTGCTCAGGGACAATTTCTCACTCGCTCGGGATGCTCGCAATGCTCACTCGGGACACTCTCTCAGGAAGCTCACTCGCTAACTCGCTCGCTCCCTGGGCGGCGCTCCCACTCGTGTTTTTTTTTGCTATCGGCTTCAGGGTCAGGAAAACTAAAAAAAAAATCTATTGGGACGTCTCACAGCGAGCAGTGCATCCCAGAACTACTCAGGAAGTAATTTAAGCGACCTCATGTCCTCACTCGAGGCACAATGTTTAAATGCCACCACAAGATTGCTCATCCCATGTCAATCAAACTAAACATGTTTAATCTAATATGATAATTTTGTGTTTTGGTGCAATCATTGGTAACTGGACCGAGAACATTCATTCAACTCACTGGGAACTCGGTTCAGGCACGGGTGGCTGGCTCACACTGAATATCTCAGCAGTTTCGGCCTAGTGCTCTGACACGGCCATGAAGGGCCCCCGATCCATTTTGCTACCTCGTGTTCACACTTATTAACGCCTTGATGGACTTTACAGCCACACGCATGGTCCCATACCATCACAGCGCGGTATTGATAACACGGACGCAGTTAACTGTATTAAATCTCACTTGGAATAGCACCGAATTATGTGAGTAGCATTTTACTGGCCTGACCATCCGTGTGTTAACCCTACTTCTCGCGCTCCGTGAAGCCCGCTTGCTGACCGGGTGTGTGCCCGTGTGTGCGAGTGGATGTGAAGATGACCTGATGTAGGGCACGCAAGATGGCACGTGGAACTTGGCCCCAGGGTCAAAGTCGGCTTCCGTGCGGGGCACAGGTGGACACACGCCCTGCAGCTTCAGTCTGTCGGCACAAACCGCGAAGTCACCCTTCCCACCACGCCGCCCTCGCCGCCCTCGCCACCACATTGCCCGCACCACCACCGTCATGGAAGGATCGCTGATCTACTGCAAGTGAACTGCGGGCTTCAATCCAGATATGCCGCCATTGAAACTGCCTCTTTGATCCGTCGGGCATTTACACTGAACTTTAAGAGTCCCATTCGTGCTGTAGTACGGCTCGATTATATCAAAGAGGCATCGATGCCGTACTGGAACGATCCCGAGGAAGCCTCAGTCTGGCTGCAGTGCCAACGTGTGCTCGTGCATTTATGAAAATTCGCGAACGCCACGAACACATCTTGCCCCGCGCGGCGACGTCACAGCCGCACGTCTCGTCGGCTCCTCGGCAACATCGACAGCCGAGACCGGGGGACGCGGCGTCATGCTCCTATCCGGCGCTGGCACGCGGACTCCCCCCCCCCCCCCCCCCCCACCTGTGCTCCCACCACGCCTGGTTGTACTGCTCGGGCGAGACGCGTCCGTCGAACACCTTCCAGCGCCACTGGTCGATGAGGAATCCGAACGGCAGGAAGGCCACCTTGTCCAGGGCCATGCTCATCAGGAAGTTGATGTCGCTCTCTGCTCACGCGCACAGCGCGACGACGGCTTAAAAGCGGCCGCGACCGCGTCAATCGCCGCGAGCCACGGGGGTCACGCTCCGCGAGCGCCCAGCACCCGCTCTGAACTGTACGCCTTGTGGCGTCCGCTAGTCTAGCACCAATTTAGACGAGGCTCAAAAGAAAGCCGTCTCTGGTGTGGACCAATCAGTTTCAAGGACAATGCATATATTACCAGTGTGTTTTTTGTTTGCATTTTGACCACAAGTATCGTGGTTAATACACACATGATTCCTTGTAAAAAGGTTTCAGTTTTGTTGCCAGAAAAAAAGGGGAAAAACCCTATAATTACGTTAAAACCCCCCCAAGAAATGTTTAGAGCCACTGACCTGGCTATCACAAATGACATCTCGACGAAGTGACCGATCGCGGTGGATATTTATAGCAGCCAAATACTCGAAAAGCGTGATGTCGATTCTAAATGTGTGAGGAAAAAACCGGAGGGCCCGGCGAAAAATCCACGCGACCACGGGGAGAACATGCAAACAGCAGGCGTCAGGGTTGGGATCGAACTCACGATCCCATGTATACCAGTCAAGGCAGTTAACATCTCGTCACCATGGCGCCCCACTCTCCTCGAATCTCCAAGGCTCAACAGAGTCGATCGTGAGCAGCGCTTGGACGAGCGACCAAGATCACACGCCCAGTTGTCATCGGCGTGGCTATGCGGCCAGCAGGGGTCGTGCAGCAAAATCCACTGTTGTACTGTACTTATAAGCTATCTGTCTATGCCCCCGGGCCTTAAACCAACCTACAGTGACCGGTTTGGTGAAGTACGGTCAAGTGACCCCCCACAACACCTCGCGGCGAGGGCAGACCCTCATCCACCAGTGGATTGACAAAAGGGTTGCGGAGGGAGGGACGGACGGCCTTTGACGCTCACCGTAACTCTCTTCGGCCCGCTCCAGCAGCCCGATCTTCTGAAGGTGACGCGGCGTGGCCACGGACAGCGCCATGACGTCGCCGATGGCCTCGTGGAAGCCCGGATTGGCGCCGTCGCGGAACGGCACGGGCTGCTCCTTGTACTGCAGGAAGTACTGCACGTGGCCCATCTCGTGGTGCGCCGTCACCAGGTCGTCCATCGTCTGCACCGTGCACTGCTTGATCCTGCGCGCCAGGCCAGGACGCGCGGGTGTGGCGGGCGTGTCGCGTGCCCCCGCGTGGGCCGTTCACGCAGGTGACCAACAAGCGCGATTTGAGAGCCTGATTCACGCTTGTTGTTATCCGTGTCCCAGTGGTGCCTGGCCCACCGCTCTCCTCCAATCCCCTCGTCACCCGGAGCAATCAAGAGCCACGGTCGGAATGTCACAGGAGATGTCACAGGGGATGTCACAGGGGACGTCACAGGGGATGTCACAGGGGACGTCACAGGGGATATCACAGGGGACGTCACAGGGGATGTGACGAGAAGTGATGAAATGTCATAGGTGATGTCACAGGGGGTGTCACAGGAGATGTCACAGGGGACGTCACATGGGATGAAGAGGACATGACAGCGAGCACAGGGCCGTGTCGGCTCACCTGAAGTCCTTGCGGTTGTGGAAGTTCCAGGCGGAGGCGTGGCACACCACCTTGCGCCCGTCCGCGGGCTTCTCCAGCATCGACTTATTCCAGAACTCCGGGGGCATCGGGATCATCCCCAAGGATCGGAAGAAGTGGTCCGACTCCTGGAACATCCGCAGGGGCGTCCAATTCTGCACCCGGTGAACCAAGCGGCGGTGAGGGGGGAGGGGGAGGCAGCCGTTCTTTCTGGACGACTCGACCATTGAGGAAAGATGATAATTGTTTTTTTACCCTTTTATCTGACAACAAAACTGACACCTTTTTTACAAGGAGTCATGTTTGCATTGACCACAATACCTGCGGTCGGAATGCAAACAAAAAACACAACTCTGATAATGTATGCACTGTCCTTGAAATGTATTGGTCATCTGGTCCAACACCATGTGAGACTAGGCTCTAAGGAAAGCTGTCTCAGGTGTGGACCAATCAATTTCAAGGACAGTGCATACATTATCAGAGTTGTGTTTTTTGTTTGCATTCCGACCGCAGGTATTGTGGTCAATGCAAAGATGACTCCTTGTAAAAAAGGTGTCAGTTTTGTTGCCAGTTAAAAGGGTAAAACATTTTTTTCATATTTTGCTACTGGCAAAGGAGGTTCCAATGGTGCGTTGAGGAAAGTTCCCGCTTTCCTCAATGGTTGGTGTTCAACTTTAGATAATTGAGCTAGATTCCAGAAGTGACCTAGGTGGGGGGGGGGCTCTCCTGGGTGGGGGGGGCTCTTGGGTGGGGGAGGGGCTCTGCTGGGGGGGGGGGGTTTCCTTGCCTTGCTCTGCATGGCTGGCGTGGCATCCACGGCCGGCGCGTCTGGGTACGGCGTGACGACGTCGTACACGTTGCTCCAGCTCTGGGCCCACACGTTACCTGGGCACACGCGTGGCGCAGCGCGGTGTGAGGATCACGGCGGTGGTGTGAGCGGGAACGGATCGGTTCACCCCGGACCTTGATCCGGCTGCTCGAGCCATGAATAGGAAGACTAACGTAAGGGCACGGATCTCCGAATTGTATTATTATGATTAACATGCTGTGCCGGATTAAGCTAGTGCAGGGCCTGTAGCATATGTTATAAATGGGCCCTAAATGTAAAATAAAATGATAATATTAAAACACAAATGTTTAACTTGCATGCTAAAGTAATTGTACTTTTTTATTTGCTATACAGCCAGATAATACGACAAATCGCTAACCTTAAAAACCCAGTCGTTCATAAAAGTTGAAGGCAGGATAGTACTATAGTAATCCATCTAGTGCAGAATCACTGAACCGGAATTGATAGCTTGAAAGCATTTAGTGTGGGGCCCTTGAAAGTGCGGGGCCCGTAGCTACTACATGTGTAGCTACTTGTGCTACTGGGATAATCCGGCACTTGTTTTACCCATAAAAAGCCTCTCTGAGTCTGCATACTCTTTTTGAGGAGGGTCCTAGCAATGTTTTGCAGTAGGGGTAATGCCGCTATGTCTAATCCCAAGAGAGCAATTTGTATTTCGTTTCAGCTTTGGTAGGAACCCAAAGATCATGGGAGCAAACCCACGCAGAGCAGGGGGAGAACACGCAAACTCCACACAGAGAGGAATCGAACCCAGGCCCCTTCTTGCTGTGGGGCGCGAGTGTCGCGGCTGCGTGCCACCACGCTGCTGTCATCCCGGGTTCCTTGAGGCAACAGCACGGGAAGGGGGCGTGTCGACAGCACGGACCTACTAGGCCAAAATCACACTGCCACAGAGAAGAGCAACGGGTGACTGGGAGAGAGCACATTCTCACTGGGATGTACTATTTTTTTTATTGACCCTTTTTATTTTACCAGGTTAAGGCCCCACTGAGCTATACGAAGCAACCCGGCCATCACAAATGATAGATCAACGAATTGGGCTCATCACGTGGAAATGTATAGCAGCCAAATACTCTGAACGCGTGATGTCGATTCTAAATTGTAGAAGGAAAAACCGGAGGACCTGGAGAAAAATCCACGCGGCCGTGGGAAGAGAGACACGCAGACTCCGAATATACAGCAGCAGGCGTCAGGATCGACATCGAACCCACGACCTCCTGCGTACCAGGCGAGGTAGTTAACATCTCCATCTCCTCGCCACAGTGCCGCGGAGCAAACCCACCGAGCAGGTGTGCGGGAATGGGGCCGCGCAGGTTGACGAGCCGCTCCCCATAGCGCCGGTGCAGCCTGCGCCGCACGTAGGCGTGCATGTGCAGGTAGAGGGGCCGCAGCTCGTCGTACAGGCGCTCCAGGTCCGCCTCGAACGTCTCCGTCTCATAGACGGAGCGCCACATCTCGCCGCCGTCACGGTAGCCTGCCGGCACACGAACACGGCATCACGGTGCCCAGCGCGACGCTCGCCGTGTCCGTCACGGGCGCGCACAAAGGGGCACGACGCCGCGTCGGGCTAACGAATAGTCGTCCGTTCCTTCGCTCGTGATGGGCACGCCGAATCATGTGCGTGGGAACGTGTGGTATTTTATTTGTATACGCTGTACGCAAATAGGTTCACCGACCCCTGCAGCCACGAGAGGCGCTGTGAAAAAAAATCTGGAACCGCAACCCTGATAACGACAATTTATCAGTTGCCGTGGACGTGATTTATTACGCCATTCAATTAACAAAAAAGCGCCTCTCGTGTGGCTTACATGACTGGGCTGTTAAAGTGACATCAAGAGTGGTTCTGTGATGTCATCCTCTGGGGCCATTCTCTAACACAGGCGCGGGTGCACTGCTCACTGCAACAGTTCCAAGTGGATATTTCTTCATCTCGTTATGTGGCTGACAGTGAAGTTAGAATGTAATGCGGGGTGGGGGGGGGGAGGTAGCGAAAAAATTCAACAAGAAATGAAATCACGAAAGGAAAGCAAAGCCAATGTCGTTGTACATCGTGGTGCTTGTTCCACCGTGAATTTAAATCGCTCGAACCGTTGAGCCGGGCGGCCTCATTGCTCAGCTCCACGTAGCGCGTGAAGTCGCTCCTCATCTTGCGCCCGGAAGCATTGCGCCATCCCTCCCAGTACCAGAGCAGCTCCTCGTGGTCCTGCGACTTGGCCATGGTAGCCGTGATGTCTGCTCACACACGGCAGGGGGCACGGTCGGACGGGCACGCGGACAGGTGAGGCACACGGTCAGAAGGGCACGTGCACAGACGGGCACGCGGACAGAGTGATCTGATGAGAATGGGAGGTTCATGGGTCCTTCCAAGGAAAACCCCAAGTCATCGTGAGTGCGCGCTCCGACCACTGTGTTGTGTTTCTCAACATCAAAACTTTCGCGAAATCGAAGTAGAAATCCAGCGGCCGCCCACAACAGGCACTTTCTCAGCCAAAGGGAAACTCATCCCAGCTCGCTCGCTCAAATGAGGAACACTTGTCGGGCAGGACAACAAAGGCAGTCGTGCCTCCGTGCCAGATGTCGAGCCACGTCTTACTCTGGCCCGCCGCGCGCTTCCTTCCCCGCTCCGCACGTGCCGCACACGCACCACAGATCCCAGACCCTCCTCCCGGCACCGCGTCCCCTCCTCTCGCTGTCTCTCGTTCCGTGCGCCCCCCCCCCTGCCCCTGTGCAGTCGTGAGCGGTGACATCCTCGCAAAAGGTGCGGTGCTCATCGAAGAACGGAAAGCCGCACCCCCCCCCCCACTCCTCCGTCGTTCCGTGTGACCACCACATCGTGTGCACGGTGCTCTCGGCTTCCTTCGTTTCCCGTCCTGGTGAGCTGTCTCGTCGCTGACAGAAAGCGTCGGATTTGAATGACGCGGCAGCGTTGCCAAGCCGGGTGATGAAAACGGCAGGATCGCGAGTTTTAAGACGTCTTGACCGGACATCAATTTCGAGAGCGAGCCCGTGCACGAAGAAAGTCGTTTCATCATTTTAGAAGTCATCCCGTGTTAATGGGGTTTACAAGCTGGCAGCTTTCTGCTTAAATTGGTAGGGCTGGCAAGCATGCAATGAGACCCATTGTGGAGCAATCCAACACAAACAACTATTTAAAAAAAACTGTAAACGAGAAAAAAGTGAAACTTTTTTCATTTTACCAGGTAAGGCCCACTGAGCTATGTAGCTCTTTTTCAGAGACGATATGGCCACAAATGATTGCCCAACGAAGTGGCTTATCACGTGGACATTTATAGCAGCCAAATAGTCTGAACGCGTGATTGTTTCTAAATGTGGAGGGAAAAAACGGAGAACCCGGAGAAAAATCCAAGCGACCACAGGGAGAGAGAGAGAGAGACGCAAACTCCAAAAATACAGCAGCAGGCGTCAGGGTCAGGATCGAAACCACGACCTCCTGTATACCAGGCGAGGTAGTTAACATCTCCTAGCCACCGTGACGATGATGAGAGAGAGACACGCAAACTCCAAATATACAGCAGCAGGCGTCAGGGTCGGGATCGAGCCCCTTGACCGTCTGTATCCCAGGCGAGGTAGTTAACATCTCCTTGCCACCGTGGCGCCTCAAACACAGCTTTCATCACATTCTCTCAGCCAGCCCTGACCCATTCACAGAATTAATGACTCGTTACCGAGCACTGACCACAGCTGGCGTGAGGCGTCGTGGTACGGGTCATGTTAGTGTCTGCAAGCCCAGCCAGGGTGCCTTACCTGGGTCCAAGGGATGGCATTTCTCTTCCCGACAAACTTCCGCAACGCTGTACGTCATCGCCATCCTCGTCGTGATCTCATTGTACTGCGAGCACACAGTGGTGGCGGTGCATGTGATTTTAATAATACATTTTTAAAAACACATTCATTCATTACTTATTATTGCGTTCCGTCCGTAGACATGGCGGATTCAGCATCAGCTTTCTCTGTTCGCCATCAATACGCGCCATCTGCCTAACAATGGGAGGCAATGATCTCGTGACGCTGTTCGGAGGGGAAATTAAAGAGTAGGTCATCACGATCCTAATGTGAATTACGACATCGCAAATGACCACATTGGGGAAAACGCCACGGCATTCCTCGGCCGCTCTTGCGAAAGCCTGGCGAGATGCTCCTGAAAAAGACTTGAGTGAGGGCGAGGCATTGCTGTGTAAACATTGTAACCGTGACTTCATCAAATAAACTTTCAATAAGTAATATAAAAAAAATGTAAACACGCTTTAATAAAATGTACCGTACGAGTAATGGCGGAACTCCACAACCCCAGGAAGTGGCCCCGAAGCTTGCCACAACGAACGGGGCCGTGGTGATTTACAACCAACGTGAGTTGAACGTGGACAATTAGACCCAAGCCGAAACATAGCATACAAAAAAAAATTAAAATATTTTTTTTATTTTTAATGATAGAATATAGTATTGTCATCAGTATGACATAAGTATACCAACTTTGCAGTCGATACCATATTGGGAAGTGGGTTAAAATTGAGTTACAAGATTTGAGGATACGACCACAACAGAGTTAATAGAAAGCATGTAATAAGATTGTTTAAAAATACATATTTTTATGATAGAATATAGTATTGTCATCAGTAAGACATAAGTATACAAAGTTTGCAGTCGATACCACATTGGGAAGTGTGTAAAATTTTAATTACAAGATTTGAGGATACAACAACGACAACAACAGAGTGAGTTAAATAAAAGCATGTACAAATAATAAAAACAACCATTCCTTTGGATGTTGATTAACTGTGAGAAGCCAAGTTAACGTACTGCAGTTTATCTTTATACTCTTAGATTAATATATGGTGCCTACATAATGTTTAATTATGTATGTACCTTGTGTTAATCTAAGAGTGTATGTACATTATAGTTACATAAATTATGTAATGTATGTACATTCAATGTATGTACGTTAGAATCTACTTACGTTATATATGTACATTGTTTTAATCTAAGAGTATTATAACTGTGAATAACCCAACTACTAATAGGCAGCCATTTTAATTTATATGACATTAAGCCCTCTCTGGTCTTCGCATCTGATAGGCTCACGGTGATGACATCACCTTCACCCCTCTATTTAAGACCGAAATGGGAGGAATTCTCCACATCTCTGACTGTCGCCTGATGAGGCTGGTTGTAATTACCAGCGAAACGTCGTACTCCAATCGGAATTGTTGTGGGTTTACTCTCCAACACAGCGGTGTGCTGAACTAGTAACTAATTGGCACATTTTGTTCACGTGACGAACCTTACTAATTGGCTGTCGGGTGGTGGCGGCTTTAACGACACATTCATATTTACGCAATCTTCCCCCCAAAAAACCCTCTATTATGGTTAACATTGGTCGCGAAAGCCTATGTGTCAAACAAATCAAATTCAATGCAATTAATATTCGATTGCGCTTTGGGCATTGATGCAGCAGTTTGCTGAGAGCGCTCGACGAATGAGGACGAGGACGACGAGCAGGAGGGAGGACGCTGTGCCCACCGGGCGGACTCACCTCGTCGAGCTTGTCAACGGGCAGGGCGGCGACGCCGATTTGGCCGATCCTCTTGAGCTGCCGCTTGATGCCCTCGTCCCGGAAGTTGCGCCAGTCGTAGCCCTTGGCCCTGAGTCCGTACTCCACCGAGTGGTTGGCCACCTGCAGGCTGGTCAGTTGCTGCGCGAGGCGACACCACGCGCGCGCACGCCACGACATGTCAGCCGTGCAGTCATGATAATCGTAACGGCCTGTATCCAACACTGGGAAGTTTTGCCAAATTCCATGAATGGGTTTTTTTTTGCCACAATAGAGATTTTTTTGGGGGTTCACATCGGTGTGTAAATGTTGTGGGTTTACTCTCCAACACGCCGGTGTGCTGGTACTCGAATTGTAAATGGGTAATATTGGGCGCGAAAGCCTCCTCCGTGTTGAACGGATATTTTTTTATCTTCATGAAGGAGAAAAGTAGAGTGCCCATGGGGATAGCACTCGAAGGTCCATACAGATAGATGCAAGAATCCATTATCCGTACTGTCGTTTCCCGGCAACCACGCAGCCCAGCGATGTTGATAGCCGCATAAGTCCGCGCGATCGATGGACACTCTCGGGTTGTATCACCACGTGTTGTTCGACACGATGACCGACGTTTCACCCCACAATGCCGGGAGCTTCTCCAGGAACTGAATTGACGCCGTGACAACCCAAGATCACATCAGAGAGCTATACGGCCAGAAACGCCTATGCAGTTGTAAATGAACCCACCACGCCCAGGTCAGTGTCCCCTTCAGAGGCAATCCTTTGTATCTAGCCAGGCGGTGGTGGTCATGCGCGTGGCCTGTAATCCAGCACTGTGGAGGCGAGGGCTGGCGGACCGCACAAACGTGAGCGCTGAAGTGCGCTAACTCTGGCTCGCCAGAAGGCAGGATGGCACAAATGCAGTCTCGTCTCCGATAACGCGGTAGCTGTGTTCCTCAAGTACGGCGCGTTATGGGAAAACCGCGTTGTTATTATTAATCATATATAATACAGGGCAAAGCACAGTCTGCTATAACACGTGAGATGCGTACGCATCCTGATTTGAAGCTTTCGTGACTGCAGAAATCCAAACCCTTTGGTTCTTTTGGTAAAGTCACGTAGGTATAAAAATAAAATAAAAAATAATATATCACGAAGTTTCGATCGCAACACATGTGATCGTCCTCAGGCTGTGTTCTTCCTGGTTCAGCAGTTCTACTGCAGGATTATTTTTTCCGCCTGAGGACGATTGCTTGTGTTGCTATCGAAACGTCGTGATATATTATTTTCTATTTTATTTTTCTACCTCTGTGACTTTACCGAAAGAACCAAAGAGTATGCGTACGCATGCTGAACAAAGATTGAGGCGCGTGGGTGGCATCCAGAAGCATCCAGCAGCATCCCGCCTTCTGCGATGCCACGCTTGTTCCTAATCTCACGGCATAGTTATGTTCACCCAATCGCATTACATCCAATTCGCATTACAAAACACGTGTTCCCAAATACATTAATCGCGTTACATATGCAGTTCACGCTATGAAAACACGCATGACAGGGAAACAGACTGCACGGATTCCGCCTACCGTCTGTATGAGCGTTTCCTGCGCGCACGCGCAGCTTGTCTCCAGGTCCAAATGCTCACTCGCTGGCAGCGCTTGGCCAAATGTTGGGTGCCGGCTGCCGCCCATGGTTCCCCGCGCCTCTGAGTTGCCCTCTCTCCCCCTGAGAGCGAGCAAATACTGTGCGGCTCGTGCATTACGAGTCGATAAATTACGATTCATCTCTACGGAGTTGCGACGAGACGCCTGCCCTGCCGCCCGTCGCAAGGAGGTCCCCCGTCGTTCATCTGGCGCGAGTGCTAGTGGGCGTGCGTCGAGCCGCGTCCGCGTGGGTGCGTGCGTGGTCTGGTGGGGCCCCCACGAAGAAGACACCGCTGCGGTCAGGGGCCTCGTGCGTGGCGCTGGCCTGTGCCGATTCGCACCACGAGCTGCTCGTTCTCCTTCGTGATGTTGGTGTTGAGAGTCCACGAGGCCTCGGAGAACGCGTTCCACTGTTTCTCGGCGGTCGCGCTGAACTCCTCGAGCAGCGCCGCCGCCTGACGCTCGTCCACGTTCTTGTCTGCGCGCCACAACAAGGACGAGGTCGCTGAGCCGGGCAGACTCGGCTGATATTAAACCATGGCGTACAAGCCAAGTCGAGTGGTTTAACCGGATAAGAACTCGAGAGACCAGGAAATGCAAGAGTGACCCGGGCCACTAAAATGACAAAAGCCCAACAAATAAAGTACGGCAATAACGACGTGTTTGTGACATTGTGCTATTTCAATGTGGCACCCCCAGTGGCAGCTCTCCCTGTGCGCAGAAGGTGGCTCAGCACCTGGCATGCCGGTAGGGGGGGGGGGGGGGCGGGACGATTGCTGGGTGTGCACAGAAGTTCGGGGACCAACCCAGGCTCCCGGGGTAGTCGTCCGGCACGGGGGGTCTCCAGTCGTAGTCGGGCCAACCGAGCACGTCCCCGTTGCGAGCGTTCTCCTCCCGGAGCCACTCCACCAGCGGCTGGAAGTACTTCACGAGCGGCAGGGCACTCAAGGCCTCGGCGCTGGTCGCCTCGCGCAGCACCTCGGGCCACGGGCGGCTGGAGCCCGCCTGCAGGGTTCGCCTGGGCGCGTTGCGCGGAGACAAAGGTGGCTCCTTATAGCCTTTAGCAGACTCGTCGGCGGACGCGAACGCTTGTTAGCGAACGCCCTACGACGGCGGGGCGGTGCATGACGCGCCGAGAGGCCGGTGTAGTCACCGGCCATGCAACGGCCACTCCTGTCTCCCCGGTCCTGTCGTTTAGCCACTGCGGCAGCCAAGTTATTATTGTTTGGTATGGCAGGTGAGTTGATCTGGGCGAGGCTCAGAACTGGTTAGGGCATCACTTGTTAGCTGTGTTGTGAATCGATCCCGGTTCACCCGGCACGCTAACCACTCTCCGGCACACACACGCACACACGCGCAACGACAAAGGGATCGACCCGTGTAGCCCGCACAGGCCGTTGGGGCAAGTGCTGTTAGCGAGGAACCCTATAAGACAATTACGCAGGCGCGCATTCACAGAAAAACACAAATCACTAAACGATTTGTTTTGTGACACAGCGTAAGTCGCGAGTCTCAGAGCGCTTTACATCAAACGTCTCATCTCAACCATTTGAAAGGGGAAACCCCCCCACCCACCCCGAGTGGCAGGTTTCCCTGTGGGCACGCAAGGTGGATGCAGGGAATGCTGGGGCTGGACTCTGCGCTACCAAATCTCCCTTTGGCTGCCCGAGTTCACTGTGATCATGGTGGGGGGAGGGGGGACCCAACTCCCCGCCCCCCACAACAACAGCTCTACCGTTCCCACCCCAGCTAGAGCCGGGCTCTGGGGCGTGCCGAGGCATCGCAGGTGCGTTCCTCGCTACGCCGCGAGCCGGGGAGACAGCGACGACGTGGCAGAGGTGGTGGGGCCCCACGCTAGACGGGCCAAGCTCATCGGATTCCTCCTCCAGTATACAAAAAATTTATTCAGATTCTGAAGGAAAAACTCATTCTGATTCTCATTAACACGGGAAATGGTCTCGTGCGCGAGATGAAGAGGCTGCGCGGTTTGCAGAGTGGGGAAGCCACGGCATGACCACCTCCGCCTCGTTCATGCGGGGCCCCCTAGTGTCCTGCACGTGCAGCTACAGCTTCTCCACGAAGCGACCGCCGGTCTTAACCGCAAACTGAATTCATTATGGTCATGCACGAGAGTTGTCTCACAGCCGACAGTGTTAACATTACAAAACTGACAGCCATAAACCATGTTTCTTTTACCAGGTAAGGCCTACCACTGAGCTATGAAGCTCTTTTTCAGAAGCAACCTGGCTATCACAAATAGTTCAACGAAGTGGCTTATCACGTGGAAATGTATAGCAGCCAAATACTCTAAACGCGTGATGTTGATTCTAAATTGTGGAGGGAAAAGCCTGAGGACCCGGAGAAAAATCCACGCGACCAAGGAGAGAGAGAGAGACACACAAACTCCAAATATACAGCAGCAGGCGTCAGGGTCGGGATCGAACCCACGCGCTCCTGCGAGATGTTAACCCCCGTGACCTGCATTGCATTGGAAGGCCGTCGCCCCCATGTCCTGCGTGTCTGGGTGGGTGAGCGACCCGCTCCTCGTGCACCCGCATTGGCAAGGCTCGTTATGCGGGGTGTGTGGGGGGCGTGCGGCATGATGAAGACGACGACGACGCACGCGAGCAGGCTGCCGGCCTCCACGGAGCCGTGGATGTCGCACGTGTGCAGGGGCCCCGCGTGCCCCGCGGCCATGCACAGCGCCTCGTGCAGCTGGAACTGGAGGATGAAGCTCACGAAGTACCTGCACGCGGGCGGGACGGCAGGGACACCGAGGTCTCCAACTGCTGCCGGGCGGCGTCGTTGGCACACGATTGGCGTCGGCTTTATCGTCATTGCCACGGCCATCGCCGTGATTGGCGTCACAGAGCTTCTGGGGATTGAAGAGGCTCTGTGACTCCACGCCAGGTGACCGTGCGTGTGCCGGTGGATTCACCGAGGAGCTGGAATGTGCCGGCAGTGACTTCATCATCGGCGCTTTCTCCACCACACGGGCGCGCGCGGGCGCTTCCGGGACATCGTTGCACATTGCCTGTGCATTTCAGTGATCAATGAATAATCAATTATCAATTAATCCACCTGCACGTGGCACCTGAGACGACCAAATCAATCCGGGGTGGCATTTATAGCCTCCTCAGAGACCACCTGTGATACTTTGACGTTGAACAAGACTGACAGAGATCAGATATTGGCATTTCAATTGTATCGCAATTATAGAAGGAGGCTGCATCGAAGCTGGACCCAATGAGTGACCAACGTAGAATTAAGAGAAAGGTGGCACATAGAAGAAGACAACCTGATGATGCAGGCAGTGATGAGAAGGAAAGTGGTACTATTTGGACACGTGTAGGATGGACAACAACAGGAACATTAAAAGTGTTTCATGGAACCTCCTTTGCCAGTATAAAAATATAAGAATAGGGTTTCCCCTTTCTGGCAATAAAACAGCTGTGTTAACATGTTAAAACACCAAACTGAAACCTTTTGCAAGGAATCATGTCTGCATTCACCACATATACTTGTAGTGAAAATACAAATAAAAAAACATGCTCTGACAGTATATGCATTGCAAACCTATTCTTATATTTTATTAAAAGTGTTGTTATTCAGAATAAGTAATATTTTAAAATACTTTTTTTAAACACGCTTTAATGAAATGTACCGTACGAGTAATGGCAGAACTCCACGACTCCAGGAAGTGGGCCCGAGGCTTTCCATAACGTAAGGGGACGTGGTGATTTACAGCCACCGTGAGTTGAGCGTGGACAATTAGACCCAAGCCGAAACATAACATGTAAAAAAGATTGTTTAAAAATATATATTTTAAAAAATTCAATGATACAATATAGTATCGTCATCTTATGACATAGGTATTCCAAATTTGCAGTCGATACGACATTGGGAAGTGGGTTAAAATTGAGTTACAAGATTTGAGGATACGACAACAACAGACAGAGTGAGTTTATAAAAAGCGTGTAAAAGAATGTTTAACAATGTGTTTTTTTATTTTGTATGATAGAATATAGTATTATCATCAGTATGACATAAGTATACCAAGTTTGCAGTCGATACCACATTGGGAAGTGGGTAAAAATTGAGTTACAAGATTTGAGGATACAACAGACAGAGTGAATTAATTCTCGATTTGAAGTTTTCGTGACTGCAAGGATCCATACTTTGTTTTTTCGGTAAAGTCATGTAGGTAAAAATTAAACAAATTAAAATGAAAACAAATGAATGAAAACACGTTTCGGAAGCAACACAAGTAACCGTCATCAGGTGTGACTGCTCCAGCAAATTACATTTGTTTTCATTTTAATTGATTTCATTTTTTACCTACGTGACTTTACCGAAAAAACCAAACAGTAGAGTGAGTTAAATAAAAGCGTGTAAAATAAAAATAGAAGGAAGCGGACAGAGAAAAAGACCTGAACAGAGAATGGCTGGACGACTACATCACAAGAGATTGGTGATGTGGCCACTACTTGAGCATACTGACACAAGACAGAGATGAAAGCGGAAACAAATGACGAAATGTGCCGTGCCCACCTACGGGGGCTGTCTGCCCAGGCAGCGTGATGAGCATGACGACAGAGCTCACTGGGAGCAATCTGCCCAGGCAGCGTGATGAGCATGACGACAGAGCTCACTGGGAGCAATCTGCCCAGGCAGCGTGATGAGCATGACGACAGAGCTCACTGGGAGCGCCACGTTACCTGATGTAGGGGGAATTTGCCGCAACGTGGTACTTGGTGCCGGCATCGAAGTCCTCCTCGGTCCTGGGGACCCCGGGGCAAATCCCCTGGTACTTGGTCCTGCAAGATGAGCGAGCGCATTCGGGGGGGGGGGGGGGGGGGGGGCTCAGAAGTGACCCCCACGTCGTTCCACGGCTGTTGCGTGGTGACGTCCTCACCTCTTGAGATAACCACCAGCCCAGCGGGGGGTTGTGTCTACACGACACAGAGCCGTGTGGGACAACTAACTGGGCCCTCCATTCCAACACTCCGCACGGAGGACTGGAGGGAGGAAGAAGGGACGTCTGCCACCTTAGAAGGTGGTTGTACGTCATGGACCATTTTTTACAATTTGTCAACCACTATTCTTGACGTACATTGCATTTAACATTGATTTCACACTTCATTTGTATACTGTCAATGCCGCTTTGCCGAAAGGAGCGACTCTGTGTGTGTCACAGCGGAGACAGTTTATGTCTCACACCCCCCAACCCCCTCCAGAATGTGAAACGACGCCACCAGCTCCGTGAGCCCTCGCAAACTCCACCACCGACTAAAATAAGTCATATTTTTTTTTTACTTTTTAAAAACACGCTTTTATGAAATGTATTATAATGGAAGAACTCCACGACTCCTGGAAGTGGCCCCGAAGCTTGCCATAACGTAAGGGACCGTGGCCAATTACAGCCAACGTCAGTTTACAGTGGACAATTGGACCCAAGCCGAAACATAACATATAAAACGAATGTTTAAAACTATATATATTTTTAGGACATAATATAGTATTGTCATCAGTATGACGTAAGTATACCAAATTTGCAGTCGATACCACATTGGCAAGTGGGTTCAAATTGAGTTACAAGATTTGAGGATACAACAACAACAGAGTTAAATGAAAGAGCGTAAACACAACGACCAAGGGAGACGCGTGGGGGGGGGGCCTACCCCGTGACGCCCGCCCTGTGGGACCTGATGCCCCCTCTCTCTCCCTACCTGAGGTGCCACCAGTCCTGGTTGTAGCGCCCGGGAGGGGTGTGCCCACTGAACACGTCCCAGCGCCACTGGTCGACGAGCAACCCGAACGGCAGGAAGGCGATCTTCCCCAGCGCCATCCACAGCAGGAAGTTGATGTCGCTCTCTGCTTGCGCAGGGCCGAGATCAGGACTCGTCAGATTAGGATGTGTCACATTAGGACTCATCAGATTGGGACTCGTCAAGCCAACCAGTGTCAAGGTTCAGCTCCACCTGCTTTTCTATGAGGCACTATTTACGATATGTTATCATTTTATACGATACTAGCTTTACTACCCGGCTTAGCCCGAGACTTGGATTCTTGTCTTTGATTAATACACGGCCTACGCGGAGGGTGGGGGGGGGGGTGACGTCAGCAGGCACACTGCGTGACGCTGCCGCATGCGGGTGACATCACAGATGTGACGTCACCGCTCACTTGCTGTGAAAAATATATCCATTATTGCGCCCCCCCCCCCCCCCCAAATACAAAAGTCTATTGTTATACTTTTTGCATTGTGTACAGTCTGGAAGCTACCCACATGCCAAATTCCAAGTTTATTGCATGTTCCATCACATCGTGGTTATTAATAAATAACTTTCCCCTAGCTTTGTACTTTTTTCCCATTTTTATTGAATTGTTTTTGTGCTTTACTTCACACCTTGGATTAATGCGCTATAAAAATCTACATAAGATAAGCCTGCCAGACGTGTTCTTATCATCACAACGTTATAATCCACAACACGTATCGATGGCAGGCGCGAAATAAATAATTGGTTACCCGAACTACCGAAATCACGTCATATAAACACGTGCCGTCAATTACTCCAGAAGAGTGCGTCGCTGAGAGGAACATCGGACATTCGAAACTGGCCAGCCACACCATCTCACTCCGCTGACCACCGCAAACTTCCGCATCCTACAGGGCATGCCCAATAATCTGCTTATCTTACCTAGAACCATCGGGCCGAGCGGTGTTTCTCTGTAAGCCGCATCATCATCTGGAACTTTCTCCCAATGCACATTGGCAGGATCCAAGCACCATCCACCGTCAAGCAGCGACTCAATGCTCTCCTGTTCAGGGCCTTACCCGTTCTATCTCTCACCTGTCCAGGCTCTCACCTGTCAAACCTCTCACCTGTCCAGGCTCTCATTTGTCCAGGCTCTCACCTGTCCAGTCTCTCACCTGTCCAGGCTCTTACCTGTTCAATCTTTCTCCTATTCAGGCTCTCACCTGTCAAACCTCTCACCTGCTCAGGCTCTCACCTGGTCAGGCTGTCACCTGTTCAGGCTCTCAGCTATCCAGACAGACGTATTTGGGACTTGGAGCTATGACTCTGCGCCTCCGAGTTCGCGATCGAACATTGCCTCTGATTGTTGAAATGTGTGGTCATCATGAATCGTGTTTATTAACATTATTACAGTTGGTTCTCAAGTCAGATGAGTTGATGGGCTCAGCCCGGTCCTTAAAGACTGCACACAAGAAATAGTTCTGCACTTGATTTGATTAAATGCCAACTCTGAAAATAAAATGTATCAGTTTGACTCTCATGCAACCACCGTTGCTCTCAAATGCAGAGCGAGTGGTAAAGTGACCTCTGGCATGCGAACCAGCGGTCACTTCAAGGAATCTCAGAAGTAGCTCTGTCACAGCCACTTTTGTGGGCCATGTCCTCCCATTAAAGAGGGTTGCATTGCTCTGCGCGAGTTTCGAATGGATACTCCTTCTCACGACATGACACGTATAGCATAACTTGCAGAAAATTGGGAGGGGAAAAATACTAAAGATTGGCACAGACCAGAAACATTGCGCCGTTGCTTTCCGCACGCCACGAGTGAATACGCTTGCCTGGATCCTCGACGTAGCTGGGCTCTAGCAGCCCGATCTTCTTCAGGTGACGCGGCGTGGCCACGGACAGTGCCATGACGTCGCCGATGGCCTCGTGGAAGCCCGGGTTGGCTCCGCGCCGGAACGGCACGGGCTGCTCCTTGTACTGCAGGAAGTACTGCACGTGGCCCATCTCGTGGTGCGCCTTCACCAGGTCGGTCATCGTCACCGACGTGCACTGCTTGATCCTGCGGAGACGGAAGCCACGCGTGGTCTGGCTCACGGTGGTTGGAGTGGCCGGGGTGGCGGTGATGGAGCGGTGGTGCGATGGATGAGTGTGGCTGAATGAGTGGACCATATTTCATCTAAAGACAAATTACAGATTGACTTTCAGCAGATATATATAGAGAATGCGTGTAATTGTCCGATGGCCATGCTGTTTATTTACATTGGCAAAGGAAGTGATGTGTTTTTCCTGCAGTTTTAACCCATTTGTGATGTCGGCATACTGAGACAGAATCTATTCGCGATGCTCACGACGCTTTACATTTTAACGAGCGGCATGCAGAAGGATATATCACAGAACTTCTTCTGAAATCCTTTCAACGGACCTCTATACCACCTGGTCTGCCACAGATACATTTTGGTTGCATGATAGTCAAAAATATATATTTTGAATCGTTAGAAATGGAATAAAGCCACAGTGGAAAGCCATATCCAGTTTGTTGGCGTTTTTTAGTGATGTTATTGGTGACCAGGCCGGGACCATCAGCTCACTGCGCTTGAGAAGCTAAGAGTGGAGTGTGCGGCTCTGAGCCACCCGCTGTGGAACAGCTGGTGCCAGGTTGGCCCGGCAAGGCTACCGTGGGAACTCTGGGCTGAGCCCACTTTCCAGATTCGAAAGAGCCGATCAGGGATCCGTTTCCCAGTCGGTCGTGGGGAAAGCGGCACTAATTAATTCGGCAGCGCAGGACGCGGCACCGGAGTACGTGGCGCCCCGGCACTCACCTGAAGTCCTTGCGGTTGTAGAAGTCCCAGGCGGAGGCGTGGCACACGACCTCGCGCCCGTCCACGGGCTTCTCCAGCATGGAGCCGTTCCAGAACTCGGGGGGCATCTCCATGAGGCCCAGCGAGGTGAAGAACTCCTCCGAGACGCGGAATATGTGCGTGGCGTTCCACCCCTGAGCCGCCCGAGTGAGGGGGCGGGAGGACAGCAGCCTCGGGTCACCCACGGTGGCGAGATGTTGACTACCTCGCCTGGTAGACAGCAGGTCGTGGGTTCGATTCCAACCCTGATGTATATTTGGAATTTGCCTGCGTGGATGTGGTCACGTGGATTCTCCTCCGGTTTTTCCCTCTATGTTTAGAATCAGCATGCGTTTCGAGCGATTGGCTGCTATAAATGTCCACGTGATAAGCCACTTCGCTGAGCTATCATTCGTGGCCAGGTCGCTTCTGAAAAATATCTATATTGCAGTTCAGTGGGCCTTACCTGGTTAAATAAAAAGAGTTTAGTTTCGTGCCGCTTGAGGCGTGTGGTGGCAGCCTCTCCGTGGTCCAGTGCGAAGCTTGGCGCTTAGATAGAGGGCTTTGCGATTCACCCCTCCAGTGGTTGGATGACTATCCAATGATTCGTGATCATCTTTTTTATTGCAAGAAAATACAGCCATAAATGTAACCTTGGAATACAGTTTTCACTTCACTCACGTCATCCAACAAAATAATAAACTCTTCCACACGATTCGACGTGCTCGTTGCGGGTCCAAGCGTCGATTTCGTTTGACGATCCGACCGACTGTAACAGGCCGATTCCCCCAAGAGACGAAGGCCGATGCGTACGGCTCTCGCAGCGGCACCGGAGTGGGGCCGCGTGCCCGCGTCCAGGCCGCAGCGTCCCTGACGATGCAGACCGTGCGTCTCCTTGCTGATCTCTCGTCATCAGCAACGGCGTGGAGATGGGTGGCTCGTGCAATCTTGAGACTCCACCCCCCTCCTACCACCACCACCCCCTCATGGGGAGCGCCACGGTGGCGAGATGTCAACTACCTCGCCTGGTATGCAGGAGGTCGTGGGTTCGATCCCAACCCTGATGCTTGTATATTTGGAGTTTGCGTGTTGTCTCTGCCCATGGTCGGGTTTTCCCTCCACATTTAGAATCAACATCACGCGTTTAGAGTATTTGGCTGTTATGCATTTCCACGTGATGATGATAAGCCACATCGTTGAGCTATTATTTGTGGCCAGGTCGCTTCCGAAAAAGAGATACGTTGCTCAGCGGGCCTTATTTGGTAGAAAAGAAATAAAGACGAAAGAATAAACCTTGTGATAAAATCACCTGAGGAAGCTAAGCAAATGTTGAGCCTGGATAGGACTTAGATGGGTGACCACGCTGCATGAAACAGCTGTTATTGGGATATACGCTGTCAGCAGAGGTCAGTTTAGCATAAACCATTATTGTACTGTACTATGCTCTAGCATCTATGATCTCCGCCTTCGTCAGCCTGCGCTGACCAACGTGGTGAAGCATCGTCAAATAACGCCCAATACCCACACAGCATGGAAGGGCCCTCATCCAGAAGTCCGTTGTGAAACTGGGCTCGACATATATAGAGTCTGTTCTCCGATAACGCCGCAATGTTTTCATAACGCGAATTGGATATAACGCGATGAATGGATTAAGGGAACACTTTTTTTATATATATAATGCGGATGCGAATTGGATCTAACGCGATTGAGTGAACAAAAACTACGTCACAGCGCGAGTAGGAATAAGCGCTTGTACGGCTGCCTCGGCGTAGCATCGCACAAGGCATTGGGATGCTGCTGGAAGCTTCTAGAGGCTACCCACGCACCTCAGTCTTTGTTCAGCCTGCGTACGCATCTCACGTGTTATTGCGGACTGTGCTTCACCCCTATATTGTATATTATTTATTATAACGCGGTTTTCCCCGTAACGTTCTTCGGGAGCGCAACTACCACCGAGTTATGGGAGAACTGACTGTACATCAAAAAGCAAAGGTGTCCTGGAATTCGGCTGAGCAGGCACTCTGCCAGGAGGGAGAAAGGACAACGCTCTACCTGCTGCACCATGGCGCTGGTGACGTCCACGCTGGTCTTGCCGGGGTAGGGCACCACCAAGTCGTAGATGCCTTGCCACTGCTGGGCCCACATGTCACCTGGGGCAATGGTTGGGGGGGGGGGTGGGAAGGGGGTCAACAGGGGGGTCGAGAGAGAGTCTGCCGCAATGCACTGCAGGAGAGGGCTCGCGAAGCCGCTGCGGTTTCACGCGGCGCAAACACCGGAGGACGCGGACAAAAAATCCACACGACCACGGGGAGAGATAAACACGCAAACTCCAAATATACAGCAGCAGGCGTCAGGATCGACATCGAACCCACGACCTGCTGCGTACCAGGCGAGGTCACTAACATCTCCTCGCCCCCGTGGCGCTCCACGAAGCCACGGAGAAACCCACCGAGCAGGTGCGCGGGAATGGGGCCGCGCAGGTTGACGAGTCCGCTCCCCGTAGCGCCGGTGCAGCCTGCGCCGCACGTAGGCGTGCATGTGCAGGTAGAGGGGCCGCAGCTCGTCGTACAGGCGCTCCAGGTCTGCCCGGAACGTCTCCGTCTCGTAGACGGAGCGCCAGAACTCGCCCGTGTCCGCGAAGCCTGCAAATGGTACGTACCGCAGAGACAGTCTGTCCCCCCCCCACCCACCCGAAAGTGACCACGTAAAGCCCCCTGAAGTCCAGGGTGACAAGAGGCGATAATGGCTACAACCGTGATGATGAATCCTAACAAAGATGAAACCGGAGTACGATTGACTCATTGACCTGCTGCTCCTGCTGCTGTCTAAAATGATAAGGCCACGGATTTTTACTTTGAATTGGTGGACTTAACACAGCGCCCTGTGCGGTATGGACACACAGTCCAGCGATGTCACCTGACGTGCAAAAAAAACTGGTAACGGCCAAACATCCCGATACTGGAATGTGACCTGGAAATTACTCAACGGGGATCATACATGGCAGCAAAATGCCAGACACGATGGGAGGACCAATCTAACGGTCACAAATCGCGCCACATGCCAAGTGCCACAAGTGGCTCAGGGCACGCAGTATCTTATCGAGGATTTTATAGAGCGCTTTTGTCAAAGCGCTTTACAAGAATTAACAATGGACCATCAGTTACTGGCTGACGGGGAAAGGGAATGGGATTGAGTGCTGGGGAGGGGAAGGCAAGGGAGGATGATGAAAGGGAAAGAGAAGGACGAGGTTAGGAAGGGGGAGGATGTAAAAGGTGTTTAAGACGAGGACAGGAAGTAGTCGGGGGATCAAGTTGCTGCTGGCTGCCGACAAGTCCGCCGCGGGTTACGGCGCGGCATCGAATCCGCTCTGTGCACCTTGCGGCTATCGAGCGGCGAAGCTGCGCAGGTCACCTCCGAATGGGGGTCGGGGGGGGGGGTCACGGCGCCGTACCGTCGGCACGCGACGCCTCGTTGCTGAGCTGGACGAAGCGCGCGTACGGAGCGCGGAGGGGACGTCCCACGGAACTGCGCCACCCCTCCCAGTAGTAGAGCAGCTGCGTGTAGCTTCGCGACGTGGCCATGATGTCGTTGAGTTCTGAGCGGCCACCGCAGACAGCGTGACCTCAGTTTAACGCGGAGTAGTAGTAGGCTTTCGCGACCAATATCGTCCGTAATAAGGGGGGATTTTTCGTTGGGTTAGATCGCGTAAAAATAGGGACACCTCTACTTATGAACATTTGACTTACGAACTTTCAGAGATACGGACAAACCTGTCCGTATGTCAAGTTGCCTGTTCGGATTGCGAGTCGTAAGTTCAGATGGCGGTGGTGGCGTCTACATCTGCAGAACATGAAGAACCAGTGGCATCTACATCTACAGGAGATTATACAACTTTTAAAACCGTTCCCCGTATTTAGTGTGCATGCCGTACAACATGTTTGGAATCGACAGGAGTAAAACAAATCGACTTATGAACAGACGTCTGGAACCTAACTCATTCGTAATTAGAGGAGTACCTGTATACATGTCATTAAAGCCGCCACCTATACGACACAGTCAATTCGTAAGGTTTGTCACGTTAACAAAACATGCAACATCGCCCCCTACTGTGAAAAAACCTGGCAAGAACCCTCCAGAGAAAATTTGTGAAGACTCGGTGCCAATTAGTTAGATCTCCGTAACTCACCGGTGTGTTGGAGAGTACACCCACAACATGTACAATTCGAGTACGACGTTTCGCTGGTGATTTGTGGGGACTCGGTGCCAATTAGTTAGATCTCCGTAACTCACCGGTGTGTTGGAGAGTACACCCACAACATGTACAATTCGAGTACGACGTTTCGCTGGTGATAACAAAATCAACCTCATCAGGCGACAGGCAGAGTTGTGAAGAAAGTCCTCCTGCCTCGGTCTTAAATAGAGGAAGGCGAATGTGATGTCATCACAGTGGGTCTAACAGGTGCGAAAACCACAGGGGGGTTATTGTCGTCATATAAGTTACAATGGATCATGTTAATCTGAGAAAATGCATTACCTATTATTGGTTGGATTATTCGACAAAAGCTCAGCCCACGAGCACTTTACGTTGATTAATGTGTGATTAAAACTTGGCTTAAAGCTTTTGTGACTGCAGGAATTCATATTATTTGAGTCTTTCGGTAAAGTCACATAGATAGGTTAAAATTAATAAAAATAAAATGAACAATAAACGTGAAATGAACAAAAAAACGTCGTAGTTTTTTGTTTATTTTATTTTTTATTAATTTGAACCTATCTCGGTGACTTTACCGAAAGACCCAACTAATATAATGTGTGATTCATAATAGAGCTAGGCCACAATAATTATCTGAGCAATTGTGTGTCATTAAGAACCCTCAATCACCCAACAGCCAATCAAATGTCATCGCCACGTGTATAGGCGTTGACACGCCAGTTATTATTTCGGACCACTGGTAAAGTTGAAGAACAATCCTCATGACCACATTTAGCAAACAGACACTACGGCGTTTCGCTTGAAACTAGAATAAGCATCACCAGGACAAGATGCAAGAAGTAACTTTTTAGATAAATCTCATGATGAATGTTGAAGGTCAACGTTTGAGATGTGGTTTAGTTATTGCCCAGGCGTCGACTGTATTTTTTGAATCGTGAAACCTTTCACCTGGATGGAACATCTCATTTACAAGGGTGTACAGAGTGTCAAGTGAGACACCCACCCGAATTAAACTCGTAATGATGGCGCATTTACGCACGCACACTTTCAATCCCGAACGTATGCCGTTTGAGTTTATACAATGAGCATCACATCCAGTTGAACACGTAGACTAATAAATAAATGACAATGTTTGTTTTTGGGTTTGGTCACATGTTAGTTTTAGGATAAAATTAATGTCAATAGCCCTCCACCACCCAACACGGCTGTCACGTTTACAAAGATATCGATTACACGTGCCATTATATTGATCAAATAGGGACCAATAAAGCTCCTCTTCCCTGGTGGCCTGAGACCCACCGGTGGCTTAGGGCTTTTGGTGGAGGGCCAATGACTAAAACTACCACGTGGCCTAAACCCAAATAAAAATGCGGATCATTGCATTTGCTACGAGAATATACGTTTTAAGTAAAAAAAATGATAAACATTGAGGTAAGCACTCGCACTGGAACTGTTGTGGATTGTATTTTGTCTTTTTTTTATGCAGTGGTCAACTTTCCAACATCTTCTTTGCTCATGGTCTCGTTTGAATTCGATTCCGTATTCTCTCAATCGAGGACACCACAATTAGAACGGTTTAGTTATCTTGCCTTTGGTCGTTGTCACGCTGCACTTCTGAATACGTTTGTTTTTGTACTTTATAAAGCACAATATAAACGACAATTAAAATGTTATGGGACCTTTTTTGCCAGCATAAATGTATGAAAAATAAGAATAGGTGTTACCCTTTCTGGAAATAAAACAGGTGTTAAGATGTTCAAACACCAAATAAAAACCTTCAGCAAAGCATCAAGTTCGCATCAACCACACATACTTCCTTACGTTTTGTTTTTCCACAGATTTGTGACTTATTTTGCTTGACTGGATGGCCAGCACATTAACGGTAGCATGATTTGAATCTGTAGAGGCAATGTACGGATATTTGAAAATAAAAAGGTTGTTTGTGGCCCCGGGCCCAAATTCTACTGTAGTGTAAAATCCAGTTAATGTAACAATTGTGGCTTCCAGTCAAAGATGTTCTCAGTGCACGACTGGCATGCATGGTCTCCTGGGCTAAGGCTGGCTGCACCATTCCATAAACCGGGGCTGCCTGCCTGCTGTTCGACATCATTGCGCTCATTATCCTTTGGTTTCCATGCCACGAAAAAAATGTGCTCACGAGAATTGCAATAATTACTGCACCCTAATCAGCATCATTTACAGGCCAAATGTCATTTGGTTAATGGGCAGGCACAGTGCAGCTGACAACCATCATGGGCGGTATTGCGACAGTGTGCGCCTCATTGGATATTCTCTCTCGAGCCGTTTTGAAACCGCCCTGCTAGCGGGCCTGAGATGCTTTCACTACCCGTAAGAAGACTCACAATCTTCTAGATCGGAGGCCCTCCCTGAGACGCCAGGAATGGTCATAGCCTCGCTCTTAGCCGCAGTCGACAATGTCAGCCAAACCAATGGGCATTCAGGACTATTGGCTGGCCATGATACAAAGATGATCGCTGCATCGCGTGCTTTCAGACGCGCTTCTGCGGCCGTCTGGAACGCTCTTCCTTCCTATATTAGGAAGCCACTGGAGCTGTGCACTTTTAAATCGAGATTGAAAACTCATTTCTTTAGAAATGCTTTTTATTTTTGGTTTGTTGTCCTTCCCTGCATCTCCAATTAGCACGGTTGGCTACGTACGGTGCAAAAGAAGTTCAGCATACATGCATACAGATGATCCACAATGAGCCGAATCTCGTTTTATTCCTGAAGATAATCAGGACTGAGTCTGCATACTTCTTGGATGGGCGACCACCACGCGTAAAGAAATAGGGCTTTCGTTGTCAGCAGAGGGCAGCGCAGATGGCAGTGCCCTTCGTGGGGAAGTATGGTAAGAAAAAAAACCTTTACCCGCACGGTGTGGTGAGGACCTCGTCCAGCAGGGTATTGACAAAAGGGGCCGTACATGAACGGTGATGAAGAGGATGACGGAGCAGTGGGTTTGAAACCCCAGCTGCTGGTGTTCACACAGGGCCGTGTGTTGGCCAGCGGTAGCACCGGTCCTCAGTGCCAATTTTCTCGCTCGTCATTTTCCGGAATGCTGTTGGGGTTTGGCTTGGAATTGTGGTTTGTGGCGTAAGGCACCACCACTCGAGGACAAGCAAGAACCATCCATCATCATCATCATAAATCATTGTACCCGATACTCCTGTAACCCTATAAGGACAAACATTTATCATGAGGACAAAATAAGGTGAGATGACAGTGGCTTGCTCCCATCATTCCCGGAATACCATTCCGGGCGGTTGCAGCTGAATAAAGCACTGCTGGTGCTGGTGGTGGTGGTGCTTCACCTGGCTCCAAGGGGAAGCAGTCAGGCCCTGAGCTGTGGCCCGGCTTGCACACCGCCCCTGTGCTGTGCGTCGTCTGCATCTGCAGAATGACCCGGTTCAGCTGCACGACAAACAGCGACGAGAGCGGTGAGAGTTAATTTTGTTTGTTTGTCATCGAGACGCCTTCCTCTCCAGGGAGTCTCTGAGCGCTTGACACGCTGACTAAGTGGCTTACCTGACGTCTCAACACATTCGAAAGGGCATGCCCGCTTGGCAGCCGTCCTCTGTGTGACGTAAGGCGACGCAGCATCTGGCCCGTAGGGGGCGATTTTGTCTCAGTGCAATCTCAATTGAGTAGAAATCCACATTCGTTGCCGTTGGACCAAAGTTTTCAGGTTTGCGGAAAATTTTCACAAATTTGCGAACAAACGGATTCTCATCGCCGGATGATTTCGCTCATGCACGGTGAATTAAACAACAATTTTAGGTTTACTTGACGTCACTTAAATAACACCTTAACCCGAGGCGCTTTCCAGCGAATTAAGAACGGTACATATGCATGTAATGGTGAAGATGAGGTGAATAAAATAGATTAAATGAAGCAATGGGGCAAATATGTGCTGCGTGAATTCGCTGAAAGGCAAAACTAATGACAGTCAATGATGATGAATGGATTGAAAAAAATGGACAACGAGTGAATATTCCGAAGGAACAGCGCCGGCGGTGGTTATGAGGGGGTGTGGGGGGGGTTGCAGCTTAGGGACACACAGGAGCAGCGTGCAGCGTGGAGACACACGGTGACACGCGGAGACACGCGGTGACACGCGGTGACACACGGTGAGACGCGGTGACACGCGGAGACACGTAGCCACTCAGGTGCTGTGCAGAGTGACCTCTTCTCTGGCCGCGGGGTCGAGGTTGGCGCTGCTCAAGATCCTCATCTCCCTGAGTAAGCGCCTGAGGTCGTCGGGGAAGCCGTCCCTGATGTCGTCGTACAGGTACTTGGTCTTCTCGCCCCACGCTTCGGTGAACTCCTGCATCTTCAGCCTGGCCTCCACCTGGTGGTGATCGATCATTTTAATGGGCAGCGCTCCCCGCGAGAGAAGCCCCAAGTTGTACGGGCGTAAAGCTCTCCAAGCCATGCAGACGCAGCTCACCCGCCCCTGAGGTTTGATTACACAAACGAGCCAGACCGATGTCAGCTGAGCGATGATTGAACATCGCACGCTAATTGTGCGTCGTGCGCAAAATTTGACGCGTCGTTTTTCACTCGGACCTTAATCATCTTCAATGGTGCCGTTTGTTGTTGCCTGCTTGTAGCGGTGGCTCTCTGGGCCTGTCACCAGCAAGGGTAATTTGGCGCTCATTGTAATTGAAACATCGTTGTGTGGGTAGTCCAGCGACGTGCCCTGCAGGGCGCGTCCCTCCTTGTGGATGATGGTTGATAAAAGAGACTGGTGATGGAATGTCAGCCAAAGGAGGGAATTCGCCCAAGCGGACGACCGCCCTTCCCCCGCACCTCCGATTAGCATGGTTGGCTACGTACGTTGCGAAAGAAGTTCAACGTACGTAAACACATCGTGTTTGTGGAGCAATCTCAGTGTACATGCAGGGTACGGATTGTGGCAGAGTAGAGTTGAGACGTGGGGAGGCGGTCATCCAACAGTGGAATGATCATGGCTGACGATGATGACGATGACACACAAGGCATGCCACATCAATTGTACGTTGTAAGCGAATTGCACATTCTCCACTCATCGTATATTGTAAGGAATGTGACCTCTAATTGTACATTGAGCGCTAATTGAATATTGTATATTAATTATGTCATTGCACGTTGTACCATCAATGTAATTGTACATTGTTTGTCCGTTGCAAGTTCATGAGAAACATAAGCGCCAAGTCTAACGTGTTTTATTATTTTTAGAATATGCTTAACTCTTCGCTTCAATGCACAACGCACGATAACTTGCTATTTGTACACTTCATTTACTACACAAGGGACTCAAGGAACTCGGGGGAGACGAGGGGATCCGGGGAAGACGAGGAACTCAGGGACGCGGAGACTCAGAATCTGAATCTGTATTGATACTGGAGGAATCCGATGAGCTTTCAAGCTCCTTTTTTGCAGATGTCCAGTAGCGACGGGTCAGAGAGTTACAACAACAAACAATACCATACATTTTGATTTAAAGCTTTCGTGACTGCAGGGATTCATCTTCTTGGTTCTTTCGGTAAAGTTACGTAGAATGGAAATAATAAAATAATAAAAATAAAACATAATAAAATATTTTATAGAATGGAAATAATAAAATAATAAAAATAAAACATTTAATACTTTTTTTATGTTTTCTTTTTATTATTTTATTATTTCCATTCTATGTGACTTTACTGAAAGAACCAAGAATAACAATACAATTAGTCGATTAAAATGCAAAGTATAGGAAAGTAAAGAAATCACTAGAATAAATATTTTACCAGGTGAACCCCACTGAGCTCTTAGCTTATTTTTCAGAAACGACCTTCCCACAAATGACAGCTCAACGAAGTGACGAATATCACGTGAGAACGTTTAAAGCAGCTCTAAACGTATTCTTGGGTCTTTCGGCAAAGTCACGTAGATAGGTTCAAAGAAAATAAGCAAACAACAGAAAACTACGACGTTTCGATCTCAACGTAAGCGGTCGTTTTTTCCTGAAGACGACCGCTTGCTTTGCGATCGAAACGTCGTAGTTTTCTGTTATTTTCGATTATTTTCTTTGAACCTATCTCCGTGACTTTACCGAAAGACCAAAGAATATGAATTCCTGCAGTCACGAAAGCTTTAAGCTCTAAGCGCTCTATCCGCAACGACTCAGAGACCCAAGTTGACGCAGGGCCCATGGACAAGAGGCAAACGTGGAGACACGACAGAGGGCGAGAGGCCAGGGTCGTGCAGGGGGGATCGTGCAGGAGAGTCGCGGACGCAGCGGTACCAGTCGCTCCAGGTTGACGGCGGTCATGTTGGTGCTGTGACCCCAGGCGGCCAGGACTGCTCGCTCCAGCACCAGCTCGGCCGCGGCGCTGTGCGCCTGCACGAAGCTCCTCGCCCCGCTCTCGTTCCGGCCAAACTCCTCGTCGGGCAGAGGCAGCTGCTGGGCTCGGCTCAGTTGCACGAGCTTCTCGACCACCGTCAACACTGCCATCACCACCACCATCGACACCTTCGCCATAGCCAGCGGCCCGCTGCGCTTGGGAGGGTCGCCGTGGATGAGGTGACCACGGGGAGCCACGGGACACTGGGCCACCTCTTCTGCGCCGAGTTCCTGGGTTGACCGGAACGCTCCCTGTGCCCGTGATGCCTCACCGAGCGGTGCCCTTAAGTGGTTAATGATCAATTAGCGCCGCGCCTCTTTGTGAGCGGGGCTCCCGTGATGGACGGGGCGAGCAGGTGCCGTGGGACGCGCCGAGCTATTCTGGGTCCCGTGCGCAGGCGGAGAGGAGCAAGAGGAGGAGGAGGAGAAGGAGGACGAGGAGCAGAAGGGGCCTGTGGAGCCGCGCCCCCAATGGGAAGGGGATGGGCACGTCCGCGGTGGACGTGAGACGGTGGAGGTGACGATACCGATGCTGGTGATGGCGGTGAAGGCGATGATGATCATCATCATCATATTCTTAGGTTTTTTCACTTGATACAGCTATCGTGCTGTGACGGTTCCACCTGAAGACGGAAGCTCGTGTTGCCTCCAGAAACGTCGTGATTTTTATTTAATTTTATTTTACTTTTATTAATTTTAATTTTTTACCTACGTGACTTTACCGAAAAAGACCTAAGAATATGAATCCTTGCACTCACGAAAGCTTCAAATCCATCATCATCATGATTGGTGGTGCCGATGATCATGGCGATGGTGGTTGTGATCGTGATAGTCGTGGTGGTGATAGAGGGTGGTGGCGCAGTCATTAACACGCTGCGCTACGAACCCGGCGACCCGAGTTTGATTCCCGCTCACGGCCAACACCAGTGACGACGATCTGAACCGGTCCTGGGCCTCCCCTAGGTCGACTCAGCCTAAAATTAGTACCTAGTACGGTGTGTAAACATCACCACTGGGGAGACAAAGGCGGTCGGGCGTGGTGTTGGCCACCCACCCCGCTCGTGTTCCGTGCCGGTCCTCCATAGGTGCTCGCTAACAGCACTTGCCCCAACAGCCTGCAAAGGCTATCCGGGTGAACTTTGCCTTTGGTGGTGATGGTGCCGGTCATCACGACGGTGATGTTGGACGACGGTCTTCCCTTCTCTCCCGTATCCTCTTGCCCGTGTGTGGAGGGGAGGCCCACACGCGGGAGCGTTGACCAAGAAGAGAGAAGACGCTCGCATCATCGGGCGCGTTGGCGTCGGTAGCCCAGTCGCGTTCCTCGTCACCCGACAGGGATATTAAAGCGAGAAGAAGACGAAGAATCCTTTGCCTGTAACGTCTGGCAACTTCGCCAGCACGAGTTAAGCAAAGCCTGACTCTGCTGATGAGGCACAGTGTCTCGCCACCGATTCCAGAGGTTGCTTGTACTGACTGAACCATTCAATGCCTGCTGACATGATTCACTCCCAGAAGGAGCGATGGGTTGCGTAAGGAATACTTTTAATTCTATATTCGTTCCCATTCGCAAGGCCCTGTCCGCACGCGCTCCGGGTGTCCTAGGGTGCCACCGAGGACGTCTCGGTCCCGGGGTTTCACGCTGCTCGGCTGTGATTGCATTTCACACGAGAGGACACAGCCATATGGGAGGGGGCTGTTTAAAACAGCTTTGTTGTTGTTGCAAATAGGACACTTGAGCGCACATTTAGATCTGTTGTCAGTGTCGTGACAATGTCCATCACAGCTGCGATCGGCGCAAAACGTGCGGTTCAAAAAGCTCTGCCATTCGAGACATCTCGATCACGCTCATTCTCAAAACTCTGCCGATGCCGTCTCGCGTGTACGTTAAGCTATAATCGGCGTTGTTTGCATGGATATTCTGTTCGGTATTTTTGGCGTTTGAAGAGGTATTTGGCTCACGGATATTTCGCCAATGCGTGCGACACCCAAAATATCCACACGTTCGTGGAAGTGGCGGTATTTTTACAGCGCTGACACCGCGGGTGAACTGTCACCCAGCCTCTACCCCACAGCAAGACCGTGACCCCACAGCAACACCGTGACCCCACACTCACCAGAACCCCACAAGCCTGACCGTGACCCCACAGCAAGACCGTGACCCCACAGCAACACCGTGACCCCACACTCACCATAACCCCACAATCATGACCGTGACCCCACAGCAAGACCGTGACCCCACAGCAACACCGTGACTCCACAGCAATGCCGTGACCCCACACTCACCAGAACCCCACAATCCTGACCGTGACCCCACAGCAAGACCGTGACCCCACAGGCAGACCGTGACCCCACACTCACCAGAACCCCACAATCCTGACCGTGACCCCACAGCAACACCGTGACCCCACACTCACCAGAACCCCACAATCCTGACCGTGACCCCACAGCAAGACCGTGACCCCACAGCAAGACCGTGACCCCACAGGCAGACCGTGACCCCACACTCACCAGAACCCCACAAGCCTGATCGTGACCCCAAAGGTAGACCGTGACCCCACAGCCAGACCGTGACCCCACACTCACCATAACCCCACAATCCTGACTGTGACCCCACAGCAAGACCGTGACCCCACAGCAAGTCCGTGACCCCACAGGCAGACCGTGACCCCACACTCACCAGAACCCCACAAGCCTGATCGTGACCCCAAAGGCAGACCGTGACCCCACAGCTCGACTGCAACCCGCACTGGGGCTGTCTCTGCCACTCTCTGCAATCCACAATTGGACTCAATAATCTAACGTATGTTGAACGTCTTTCGCACAATGTCGCAAATTGTGCTAATCGGAGATGCGGTGGCAGGATAACAAACTAAACATTAAAAAATCTGTTCTACAGAAATGAGTTTTCAATCTGGATTTAAGCGTGCATAGCTCCAGTGGTTTCCTAATAACGGAAAGAAGAGCGTTCCAGACGGCCGCAGAAGCACATCTGAAAGCGCGCGATCCAGTCACCGTCTTTGCTCGATGGTTAGCCAAAAGCCGCTGCGAGGATGACCGGAGTTTGCGTGGTGGTTTATGCTCCTTGACGAGATCAGCAAGGTACTGTGGTTCATTAGTGGCAAGCACTTTGTGTGCACGGAGCATGACCTCATAATACAGGGTGCTTCAAACAAATGTTAACACTTCTGAGAATTTGCAATAATAATATCCACGAGTAATGTGCTGCCTACGGGCTCTGGAGGCCACCTGAAAAAGATTCCAGGCACGTGTTGACAATGATGATGACTTTTTGAAGCTATTAACATACATTTGTTACGTAAGTGTTAACATTTTTTGAAGCAACCTATATATTCGTTCGGCAACCGGTAGCCAATGCAGGATCAGCGAGCGTTGGACGGATAGTCGGATCTTGCAGCGCCCGTCACGACACGTGCCAGATGACTTTGCACACGCTGCAAGCTTGGTGTCATGTTTTTGGCAGACATCCCATCGAGTAGTGAGTTGCAATAATCGAGCCTTGTCGAAAATATGCTACACGTCACCGTGTTGTCTATGTACGCCTGTCATAGCAGGCAATACACAACGATCACACGTATGTTTTCATCATTAAGTTCCGTTTTCCAAAAGCTCTGCAATCTGCTCTCATCCATATCTTGAATTCATGATGATCCCTGTCCACCTCCCACAAATGTCCTGGGTTGTTTTCCAGTTGTAACCCTCTGACAGATGATGCCTATTGTCTCGCCAACATGCTATGCATGCCAAGGTCATGGCAATTACAACTTTGTTCACATTTTTCTTGAGGTTCACTTTACAGCGTCATTAAATATTAACCATTTTAAAATATGAACGTTCTTCGTGAAGTATTGACCGTCCTAGATTTGCTGATAAGTCATTATATCAATGGAAATGAACAGCAAAGCATACATTATTGTACTGATATGAAATGTCGAATTTCCCCTTCCTCACTTCGTTTTCCTTTAAGACCTATGATTTTTTCGATGTAAAGCTTTCGTGACTGCAGGGATTAATCTCATTGGTTCTTTCGGTAAAGTCACGTAGAAGGGAAGTACTGTAATAAAATGATAAAAATAAAACACAATAATTATTTTTATCATTTTATTACTTCCCTTCTACGTGACTTTACCGAAAGAACCAAGAAGACCACCTATGAAGTTGAACGTGATTGCTGCAACACAGAACGACCACTTGCTGCAGTAAACTCTTGAGCACTGAGTAAAGTAATTCTCTCCAGTTACTTTTAATTTTCACTTGAGCAGCACCGAACACATTTCTAGTAAGTACATCCTGGTTTGCTCTGTTCTGTTCCAGTTTTTATAATTAGCAACACATCAATTCAACTGCAAGGCATTAGAGGCGAACATGATATGAGTGTGCAGAGTACGTTCCTCTGCAAGAAACATTTACAGTGACATGAACATTAAACCTATGTAGGTGTGATGAACAAGCAATCATTTTGTTAGTGTACTGGGCAAAGCAATCTCATTAATGCTTATTAACATTTAATATTTGGCATGCTAATTTTTTCCCAAAAACTACAGTTCTGGGTACTGGCACTGGTAAGCCATGTGGTCAAGTTTTTTTGTACCTGAAAACACTGGAGGTCGAATCGACAGACGTAGACTTTAAAACACAAGCATTCAACAACAACACGTCCCATTTATTTTAAAAGTCAGCAGACATACGGGTACAAACGCGCCGTGCGCCCAGCATAGCACAACTATTAAAGCTACAGTTCGAATGCACTTCATCACTCGGGATGACATCAAAGGGCCGGTATTAATATGTTGCATCCAACACCAGAAACCTCGGGGACAGCCACTGCCTCTCCCATGCCCAGGGGCCCTTGCATTTGCATGACGAGGACACGTGGCATCGTTTGGCTTCTGTCACTCAAAACAGTCAAGACTGGCTTAACAAACCAACGCATTATTATGGGCACAACTGGATAAAAATGTCAGTTTGGCCACAGCCCTTATCAAACCCTTGTTTTAAAAAAACGTGCGGTTATGAGTATATCGCTGCTCTAAATTTCCAAAAGGTCAGCCACACTTCGTTGAGCTTATCATTTGTGGCCTTGTCGCTTCTGAAACAGAGCTGTGTTGCTCAGGCGGGCCTTAACCTGGTTAAATAAAAAAAAACGTTCAATAGTTTAGTTTAATGGTTTAAAAAGTTGTTTAAAAGCCGCAATGAAAATTACTCTTTCCTACATAATCATCACGGTAATGTCGGTTAAATCTGCCGTTTGGGGAACTCCTACTGGCAGATTAACACGTTGCTAAACCAATTTGACTCCAGCCAGGACCGGTGCAGCCAGATGAACTGAACTCTGTGCCTCTGTGCATTCACCGACATTTCTGTACAGAGTAATGCTGGCAGCACGTGGCTTCAATGCGATACACACACTCGCCATCGCGCGTTGGGGGGAGCAATTATGCATCTACAAGAGCAACTAACAGGTGGTCTCATTAGCCGGCTTCGTGATATGCCATCGCTCATACAGAGAATACAGCTTGTTTTTTTATTACATCCAGTATTATACTTTCGTTTGAATACCTTACATGGAAAACAACCCATTGCAATATTTGAACAGGAAGTGCGATATAAAAGTTTGTATTATAAATTGCATTTTCTACGAGGGAAGCTTGACTACTTAAGCGGTTGGGTGGACAGGTATTAATGTACACGTTCTTTGTTGAAAATACCACAGTGGTGATTTAAAAAAAGAACATTAATACCTTAAAAGAATACAGTACAAAAACACACCTCATGTGCAATGTAGATAACTCGTACCTCTTTTCCACTGCACACCTGTGCCGTGCCATTGCTGTGCTCAGTGAACCGAGCGCGGCTCCAGAAGCAACAGGTACATTTTTTTACCGCATTATACGACCGGTGCCGCTGACGTCACAAACGATTGCCTACGCCCCTGGATCTGCTCCCCCCCCCCCCCCCCCCCGCCGAGCTCGAGCCAGATTCAGATGTCTTGCGTGGCCAGTTGGGCCGGCAAATATCCAGTGGGAAACTACCCGTACCGTGAGGCCCCCCCCCCGCCCCAAGCGCTGGCATGGACCGGATGTGCTAGTTGAAAAGGTGTTTCAGTTCGTGCAGGGCGTGTGTGGATAGGAGGCTGCCGAGTCGGTGTGCAGGGTATTGTCGGCGCGTGGGGCGTTGCCAAGTGTGCAGGGGGTTGTGTGCCTCGATAAATCGTGCTCCACCAGAGCTCGGTAGCGACAACGCTTGAACACAACTGCTCAGTAAAATCCACCCCTTTGCGTTGTTTTATAATGTCAAATGACATACTCTGCATTCATTTTTTGAAGGGAAATAATTATTTTCAAAATTATAAAAAATGTTTTTAAAAAACCCCACTACACTGCATTATTTGGAATGTATTTTTGTAAACATTACACAGTTACGTGTAAACAAGCGTGAATATAAAAAATCAAAGACTGCTAAAAAGGACATTATTGATTCAATCCAATGCTTGAAATATACACTTCACGATCACCCTTCCCCTTCCCAATATCACGTGATTATATCACACACACGTCGTACAAAAGTGGCCTCATCATTGTCGGGATGGAGCTAAGTAAATGCGAATAATGGAATTTACAAAGCACTCCGGTTTAATCGCGAAGAAAAGTCTTTTGCCACGAATTGGAAGCCTAATGCAGAAGACGTCTCTTGCGTGGAGTGGGAGAGGTTTTTCACCGATTGTATACGGGCCAAAGCTCGAACCTTGGCCGTCCCCGTGGGAAACGACCCCCCCCGCCCCCCGCCCCCACCGAAGCGAAATGATGTGGTGCCACTTCACTTCTTTAAACCGTCGGCCTCCGAACTTGCAGGTTCCACTTCCTGACCCGTTTCTAAACAAAAAAATAAGACATCAACCACGACCGCAGTGAGAAGCATTTTGCACGTAAACCCTGGCTTAACGCCAGCAATTGTACATCACCAAAATTACAAATGCAGTTTAACATAATTTAACGCGCGTACTTTAATTAACGTGACAGACAGTTCCTCGACTGTGCATTGTAACCACATAAGAATGGATTAGAATGTGGTGGTTGCACTCGCAAAGAGATTACGATTGCAACACAGTTTACTCAGGTTTATCTACCTACATTTCCTTCTAGGCTAAAATCAAATGTGGGATTCTATAGCAAGGTTTGCCAGGGCTCTGTTGCCAACCCTTTCAGGGCAGGTGCCTCAGCGGTAGATTGAGTGGCTCGCAAATCATGCTGCAAGGTTGAGGGTCGACTCAGCTCATCATCCATTTGGGGCCATTAAAATGAGCACTACACTTTGAAGGGAAGTCAACGTTGGATGTCCTATGGATTTACTCGCCGCCACCACCATCGGAATCAGGAATTTCCACCACTGGCTCAGGGCTGTAAGCAGGAGACAAGCACCGCCTGAATTCCCAATTGAGTGGGAAATCACTTTAGACTTTCTCTCTCTCTCTCCAGCATTGCCAGGGATTTTTTTACACCACCCCTTCCATTACCGGGTTTTGAGGCGGCCGCCACCGCGCTCTGGTTGGAGTTTGTCTCTTCCTCGCTCTGCGGAAGGGAAGCGCCGGGTCCTTCTCCGTTCCCTCCGGGCGGGACCGACCCCTCGCCTGAAGCCACCGCTTCCTTGGAAATGCCTGCAACCGCAGCGCAACTCTCAGCTAACTGAACCACAGTCGCCGTACAGAAAAGCTGTCAACGCATTTGTTGTTGGTTGCTGCTACTGTTATCATCGCTATCGGCCACGAAGGTCTTCCGCAAGCCAATGCCATCTCTCACGTTGCTATGGAATAACAATCCAGCTAGCTCCCGCGTGCTCTCTCCCTCGGCTGCCTCTCCATCATTAGTCTCAACCCGCCAGCAATCATTTATTCGAGCTACGTGTCCCGCCCAAATTTCACTCGCATATAAACTCGCCAAAATAGTAAAACTCCGATCACCTGCTTTTCCGTCGGGCTCAGACGCCAGTGCCACTCCAAACCTCTCGGCCAGAGCCTGCAGCGTAATGACCTCCTTGGCCAGGCCTCCGGCTGGTCCTCCACCCAGCAGTAGGGGCCCCAGGCTCTGCATGCACTGTATGTCCTGCCACAGCACACAGACAGAACAGTCACACACTCCATTGCATACCCACGGCCATTCGACTAGGCCCATGTACAGAAAGTTGGCTTGAGGGTAAGAAAGGTGTTTAAGTGATTAACCATGTTTCTTTATGAAGTCTACTTAGAATGCGTGATACGCAAAGTGGAAACTAACCCATTTTTGTAATGCTCAATGTGTTTTAATTTATTTTAAAGACTTGCTGGCACTGTTCAACCTTCACCACACTTCCGCTAAATCAACTATTTAGTTTTTCCTTAATTTCCCTTTTAGTTTTATACATCAACAAAAGATAGATATATTTATAAATTTAATATTGCATATAATTAATGAAATGACATTCTTTCCCATTTAATATTAAACTAAAGCAGAGAGCCACTGTGTAATGACAATAGTTAACGAGATAAAGGAACCGGCCGCTTTTCTGAAAACTTTGCCGAAGGCACTTTTACACAACGTGAGGTGGCACTTTCTTGACAACACATTGCACAGAGAAGGTTCGCACAGACACGAGTGCGTGCTTGTGCCTTTGACAGTGAGCTATGAACCACGTGTGTGCGTGGCTCCTGTGAAGGCCCGAACCTCCTGTGAGGGGGAGTATCCGTCCTCTTCCGCAGATGCGCACAGCTCCTGCACGCGTTCTCTCAACAGCTGCTGCTCCAGCTTAAGCAACCTTTCCCCTTCCTGGCACCCGTCCTCTGAGTCACCGTCTGCCTCCACCGTGTCCCCATCTGGCCAGTCGCCCTTGGGGAACACGATCTCAAAGGACGTGTACTTTATCTGCGCAAAAAAAAAACCGAAGCAGCGCTCTCAGTTTTGTACGGATATAATTACAATTGAAACGTTACTCCAAAACAACAAAATGTGGTCATTTGAAAGGTGCAGAAGTTTACTTTAATGAGGAACTTATTTTAAAGATCCAAGAAAACTATAAAGTGGCTTGCTTGATGGCAAAAGTGAAAACAATGTTTCGTAACTGACTTCTACACAATGGCGCTGATTGTTTTATTTTGAAGAAAACAGAAGTTTTATATTTTTCAGAAACTCTGGAATTCCTTATATTTAGAAATAATATAAACTTCTACCACAACCTATATCAGAAACATTCCCAAATATATATTTCATCACAAGGCTAGGTGACTTAAATATGAAAATGTTACCATGGGCTAAAAATTATCCAATGGTTTGTGTGGTACCAAAGTCTCTTTAAAAGTTGTTTTACAAAACCCAAAGCAGCAACAACAAGCCTGCGATTAAAGTCTGGGTGCCTTAGCCGTACACGACAGCTGCGGCTACCTGCTGTACGTTCCATGCCACCCATTTAGCCTTCTCGAGATGATGCAGCTCCTGTAAGAGGGCCAGGATTCGGCCCACAAAGTCGATCATCTCCTCCTGGGGAATCCGCATATCCACCGAATGCATCACCTGGTTTCTTACATTTATTACCTATTGGGATGAATGACAACACGCACACACACACAAACACAACTTTAGCACACTCATTCAGCACAATGTTTGTGTCACAACAAAGAACTGTTCCATCGATTCCTTAAAGCAATGCTCTTCGCTAATTTTCCTAAGGGGGCCACTTTCGCCGATAAGACATCAGTGTGAGGGCCGCCACACATTTTAAACCATTGGGTTTGACAACATGATGGGGCATTTTCACATTTGTGTATTGTTGGGGGCTGCACGTCAGGGGCCACACTAAAGGCCAACAGGGCCCACGGGCCTTGCAATGAAGAGCACTCCTTAAAGAGCACACAGACACACATGAACATAAACATATCCACCGAATGCATCACCTAGTTGCTTACATTTATTCCCTACCAGGATGAATGACAACACACATACACAAACACAACTTTAGGACACCCAAAAAGCACAACGTTTGTTGTGTCAACACGGAGAACTGTTCCTTCTATTCCTTAACGAGTACACAGACACATGTGAACATCCATAATAGAGGCTTATGGGTTAGATCGCGTGAATAAATGTGTCGTTAAAACCCGCCACCACCCGACACAGCCAACTCGTAAGGGTTGTCATGTAAGCAGAACGTGGCAATTCGTCACGAGTACAGCACACCGGTGTGTTGGAGAGCCAAGCCACAACATTTACAATCTGAGTATGACGTGTCGCCAGCAATTACAACCAGCTTCATCAGGCGACAGCCAGATTTGTGAACATGAACAGGTATAATCACGAGAGTAGACTCATAAGGCGCCTCACCGCAGACACAGTCATTGGAGTCACAAACTGGTGGAAATGCTTGCAGTTGTGCATGAGGTTGAGCAAGGCGGCGCAGTCACTGTGGCTTGCCCCTTGGTGCGCGTCCTTCTGTCCCCGCGGCATGTACACCTTCACACGACGCACGTGACACAAACTAGGAACCTCGCATCAGCGTGACCAACTTAGTCTAAACAAAATCTGTACACGTTTTTTTGTTCACGTTGATACACAGTTTTCTGAAAAATAATCTCGATCATCAATGCACAACAAGTTGAAACGTATTTAGGCAGCACAGCATTATGCAAAATACCCACAATACCACACACACTGCTCACACCGCCTGTGGCCGTGAGGTGTGCGGGGAGCGGGAATGATAGCGCAGTAGTTAGAGCACTATGCGATGAACCCAGCGACCCGAGTTAGACTCGCGGCAATGGCGACCACAAACCAATCCTCGGCGCCTCCTTCACCAACCAGCACTGACCAGCCGGGTGACGTAGACTTAAACAACCACCATGACAAACATATGCCTTCATCCAGTAGTGGATTGACAAAGGGCGGAAAGTTAGTGTATTGAGAAACAGGCTCACACAAGCCTACGTGCAATATATTTCTCACCACATTTGACCTTTGTTGGTGTATTAAACATTTGCACATGGCAAAGGAACCAACATTTTCATATTTATTGACTTTCTGCGTGAATAAAACACGAGGCCAAGTGTTGTGTGTGTGTGTTTTTCCGTGCGACTCACTCACTCACTTTGGCCACTTCCCAGTGTCGCACCGCCCAGAGACTAGGGTTACTGTTGCCCCAGTAGACCATGCCGTTAGGGTTGGAGTGATACTGGAGGATTGCTGCCTTCCAGTCAGTACACACCACACAGGCGTTTTCAAGCTGAAGGCAGAGAGAGCAACACAATTTACGCCTGAGCAAAGTGAACATTAAAATTTTACAGCGCAGTGGTTGGAATCAAATCCAAAGTTTACATTTAAGGAATGGTGAAATGTATTTACGAAGATTTTACAAACTGTTAAAAAGTGCTTTGTTCTACAAATGTCAATTGGCTTACGGCATTAACAGCATTCATCAGCTATGATCATTCACTGCTGGATGAAAGCCTTTCCATGGTGACACCATCTCCCACGATCTTGTCATGCTCCATCTTCTAGGTGGATGGCTTCTTGCATTCCAAACCTTGGCTGCCACTCCATTATTATCCTTCACCATCGTCCATCATCATCATCATCGTCCCTTCTTAGGGACTTGTCCTGCCCCAAGCCCCGCTAACCATTAACAGTAAAGCAACCGATGCTGTAAACTGCGTGCGTTCTCTGATCCACGTGTTCCTCTTTTAAAGCATTAGTATTCAGTATTGCACCATTGGAACCTCCTTTGCCAGTAGGCGTCATCTGGTCCAACGCCATGTGAGACTAGGCTCTAATGAAAGCTGTCTTGGGTGTAGACCAATCAATTTCAAAGACAGTGCATACATTATCAGAGTTGTGTTTTTTGTTTGCATTCCGACCGCAGGTATTGTGGTCAATGCAAACATGACTCCTTGTAAAAAAAAGGTGTCAGTTTTGTTGCCAGATACAAGGGTAAAAAACCAATTATCATATTCAGTATTGCTTACGCAGTACAGTACATAAAATGCCAGTGTTAGCGAAGGCCACGTGAGCATGGCAATTTTAAAGACAAGGAACCCAACTTCATAAAAGTTTACAGTTCAAACTTAAAGGCGCGTTGCGTAGTAAGCTCCCTTGCTTTTGTTTCGCGTGCCTTGTCACGTTCACAATAAAGCGGGTGGCTGATGAAGCTGGCGGGACAACCTGAACAACCAAGTGGGCCCTCCAACTCAGACCAGGAGTATTTTAATAAAAGTGTCTTGAGTTTGAATTTCAATCGCATCGAGTGATGTAGGCGGCACACAGGAGATGACACATCACGGTAGAAGACTTAGTGCACTTTTAAATCTCGTTTGGAAACTCTATTTCTTTGAAACTGCATGTTGTGTTTAGTTTGTTGTCCTTCCCCCCCGCAACTCCGATGAGCACGGTTGGCTACGTACCGTACATGTTGACACAATTACCAACAATTATGGGTCGTCACTCTAAGTCGTGATCAAAGTCACAAAAGTTAGTTTCCACTCAAACGGACTTGGGGGCGGGGGGGTATATTCTGCTTAACCCCTAGAGCCAAGTGGTACAAACTCCACATTAGTATGGCAAGGGTAAGTAAAGACAACACATCTGTAGGTCTCCCACTGCCGATTTTCCCACACGAGTGGAGATGAAAGTCACTTCAGTACGGTGTACATCTGTACCAACCACACCGAAGTAGGTCCCTGCATTCCAACCAAGCAACCACAATAAAAAAAATGTGTTAAACTATTATTTTTTATTTCACCAGGTAATGCCCACTGGCCACAAATGATAGCTCAACGAAGTGGCTTATCGCGTGTAAATTTATAGTAGCAGCCAAATAGTCTGAACGCGTGATGTTGATTTCTAAAATATGGAGTGGGGGGGGGGGGCCGGAGAAAAATCCACGCGACCACGGGGAGAGAGAAAGAGACGCAAACTCCAAATATACAGCAGCAGGCGTCAGGATCGGGATCGAACCCACGACTTCCTGCACACCAGGCGAGGTAGTTAACATCTCTTAGCCACTGTGATGATGATGATAGAGACACGCAAACTCCAAATACACAGCAGCAGCAGCAGGCGTCAGGATCGGGATCGAACCCACGACTTCCTGCACACCAGGCGAGGTAGTTAACATCTCGTAGCCACTGTAATGACGATTATGATGAGAGAGAAACACCGCAAACTCCAAATATACAGCCGCAGCAGCAGGCGTCAAGGATCGGGATCAAACCCACGACCTCCTGCACACCAGGCGAGGTAGTCAACATCTCCTAGCCACTGTGATGATGATGAGACGCAAACTTCAAATATACAGCAGCAGGCGTCAGGATCGGGATCGAACCCACGACCTCCTGCACACCAGGCGAGGTAGTCAACATCTCCTAGCCACCGCGGCGCCCAATACTGGACCCTCATGTGGCCCCGGAGCTTTGCCTGGAGTCCCCACAACGTTTAAGCGAGGTGACCGCACTTGGCCCGGGTTGAGGTGTTCGTGTGTGGGGAGTCAGGCGAGCGAGGCCACGGCTTCTAGACCACGGGGAGAGAGATGGGGGGTCCCCCCCTTACAACGCACCCGGTGTCTGCGGACGGGGCAGTCCGTGGCGCATCTCCTCCCGGGGCCCAGGCGCTGCGCCAGGCGGCGGTGGAAGCGTCGCGCCTCGGCCTCCGTGAAGGGGACGAGGGCGTCCCTCAGCAGGCCCAGGCAGTGGCCGGCGCACAGCCAACGCTTGTAGCCGCCGTCCTGAAGGCGCCTGGTCATCTCCTCCATGGCTGCTGATGATGCTGTTGCTGCTGCTGCTTGAAGGCTGGCTGGTCCCTCCACACACTCCTCACTGCGAGTGTCCGCAGGAACGCTCCCGATGCGAGGGCCCTCTCTGCTTCCTCGTTCTCCTGCCGCTCGGCGGCGGCTGCTGCCGAGTCGCTCTCCTCCACCAGGGGGCACCACCGACTTAGTCGCCGGTAGCACCACCCACCCACCCACCACCCACCACCCACCACCCACCCACCACCCACCACCACCACCACCCACCACAGCGCCGCTAGAGGGCGCATCCCCCAATTGTTGCAGCTGTCGGTGGATGATGACCTTAAAATAAGTAATTTTTTTATTTAAACACGCTTTTATGAAATGTACTGTAGTAATGGAATGACTCCACGCCTCCGGGAAGTGGCCCCGAGCTTGCCATTACGTAAGGGGCCGTGGTGATTTACAGCCAACGTGAGTTGAGCGTGGACAATTAGACCCAAGCCGAAACATAACATATAAAAAAGATTGTTTAAAAATATATATGTTTTTATTTCAATGATAGAATATAGTATTGACATCAGTATGACATAAGTATACCAAGTTTGTAGTCGATACCACATTGGGAAGTGGATTAAAATGAGTTACAAGATTTGGGATACGACAACAGACAGAGTGAGTTTATCAAAAGCGTGTAAAATAATGTTTTAAAATATTTTTTTATTTTTTTATGATAGAATATAGTCCTGTCATCAGTATGACATAAGTATACCAAGTTTGCAGTCGATAGCACATTGGGAAGTGGGTAAAAATTGAGTTACAAGATTTTTTGAGGATACGACAACAGACAGAGTGAGTTAAATAAAAGCGTGTAATAAAAAAATATGATACTCTTTTATGGTCTTGTTAAATGCCAACCTACGGAGCACGTGGTAAACCATTGTAGTCGGCGCACGTTCAACGGAGGAGGAATATGCAGCATTACACGGAACTCTGTCCTGAAGCCCACTCGACGTGGCTAAAATATCTCTGGGATATTGTTGGCATTTAGCTCGTGGACGTATTTGCTGCTGAGATCGATCATTCGCAATCACGGAAAACCCTTTGACATTCCACGCTGGTTTAGCCATTGGGGTTGTTTGACCATACTTCACCACGCTGATCAGTGCCGATTGGGTGAAGGCGTGCGGCAAAACTTCCCGGTTCAGATATCACTCGCCACTGATGCTGGCCGTGGACTGGAATCGCCACGTTCATGAACTAAACTAAAAACGAAACTATTTTATTTATTTAACCAGGTAATGCCTACCTGAGTGATACAGCTCCTTTTCAGAAGCGACCAGGCCACAGATGATAGCTCAACAAAGTGGCTTATCGTGTGGAAATTTATAGCAGCCAAATACTCTAAAGGAATGTTTCTAAATGTGGAGGGACATCTTTTGTTTTGCCGCCACATACTCTAAATGCATATTTCTAAATCTGGAGGGAAAACTGGAGGAGCCGGAGTAAAATCGCCGCGACCACGAAGGAGAGAGAGAGAACACGCAAACTCCAAATATGCAGCATGTGTCAGGGTCGGAATCGAACCCACGACCTCCTGCATACCAGGCGAGGTAGTTAACATCTCATAGCCACCATATATAGAGATGACTCCTCCAGCTCCGGCGCCACAGAAGTACAATACAGTAATAATAAAAACAACGCCCTCCATCCACAAGGGCATCGCCAAGTGTCCAGATTCTGTGTCAGGAGGGCTCTATTACACTGGCAACTCTGGCAAATTCCACGTATGAGTGTTTGGATAAATCTTGATCTTGTTTGGATAAAACCCACCATGCATACGAGGAGACAAACACCTAAGGTTGCGCTGAGATGAATTCATGAAACCTGTGCTGTCCCCATCTCCTGGCCACCACCTCGCAACCCAGCAGGGTTTAGACCAGGGGTCGGCAACCAAAATAACAAGAGCCATTTTTACGAATTCGGCAACGTTTTTACAGAATTTGGTATTTTTTTATTTTTACAAGAGACATATTTACGAATTCGGTCACGTTTTTACTGAATCAGGTATTTCTTTATTTTTACAAGAGACATATTTTTACGAATTCGGTAACGTTACTGAATTCGGTATTTTATTTGTTACTAGAACTTTTTTTAACCAAATTCGAAAACAGAGGCTTATATTTTCAAGAGCCGCAATGTATGTGAATTCCAGACGGTCCTTAATAACGTCAAGAAGCAAGCAGTCCTTGAAGAGCCGCATCATGCTGCTCTAGAGCCGGGGGTTCTTGGACACTGATTTAGTCTTTAGAGCAGGGGTCTCAAACTCGCGGCCCGCGGGCCAATTGCGGCCCTCGGGACGATATTTTGTGGCCCCCACCTTAATATGAAAGTTTAATGTTAGTGCGGCCCGCGAGTTTTATATTGTAGCAACCCCGCTGTTAGCTGCTGTGTGGGACAATGTTATGACGCTCTGGTTTCCTACTGTGCCTGTCCAGTGAATGCGGCATCCATGCGAGTGACATGGGGGGCGGGGTCGTGTGTGTGTGTTTGTGTACGTGTGAGAGTGAGAGAGAGCCGGGAGAGAAAAGAGTGGCTTTGGATGTGCGGAGAGCAGGAGGGTGAAATTCATAGTTTTCCTGCCCTCTTTCGCGCAGATCATGATGTATCCAATGCTTCATTTGTAAATCACAAGGTGCCGGAACGCTAAGTACATATGACAGCGCAGGTACATAAAACGACGCTTAAAACAGCACACACATGCCACTTACAATGCAGTAGGACTTATTTAGGCTATACTGCAGTGACGGTATCCGTCTTTGTGTCAGTGATTAATAAAGTGGCATCTTGAGCAAAGGCGACTTCTGTGTCCAGCGGAGAAAACGAACGGAACACACACACACACAATTTGTTAAATTGAAGGCAAATTCAAGGGACACCACGGCTCCTTTACGCACACGCTGCGCTGTGAGGTGTTGGGAGCTTCTTTACGCAGACGGATTATTCTAAACCGCAGCAGTTTATAACACGTCATTGAGCTAATATCTACATTTTACAGTCTGGGCTGTTTTACATTATTATTTACACCTAATATGTGTGGATTCATTTTAATGATTTAAATTCCCTCATCCTCTGGTGGTGACATTTACGCACCGAGCCACAGACTGTACATGACGATGTGCATAATTATTTTGGTTCATCTTAGAAGTCTGCATTTGTTAATATTTTATGAAATTGTGATGCTGTTGTTAAGAAAGCTTTATATATAACTTATTAGATTATCTTGTTATTGCGTGGCCACAAATTAGTCATTCATCCACCGATGTCAACAGGGGCTCCGTAATTTTCTAGTGATTACATTATATTGTTATATTTTATTTTAATCATTTCTTAAAAAACTTTTTTTAATATTCATATTTTTTTCGATACGAGAGGTACCGGATCTGCTCAAATAAGTCCCGGAATGCAGGCAAGCCAACACGCCGGCACAAAGTAAGCACAAAAATGTATAGAAAAATGTGATGATGTGACTGAGGGCAGCGAAAGCCCCGACAGTGGCCAGCAGCATTTGAACCCCGTGGTCACACAATGACGCTGCCTCATATAGTCCTCTTCTCTCCCTCTTTCGGCTCTCCACTGTGTGCGCACCGGAGCGCGTCAAAGCGCAGATCCACAGCTCATCCTGGCTCAGATCCCCGTGCTTTGAACAGAGAAGTGCGTATAGTAGCAGCCGCTACAGCTGTGTCTGCCTGTGACTGCGGTGTGGGGACGAAATCTGATGGGAACGCATTACCCCCCCCCCCCCCCCCCATAATCTACGCACCTGTTGTTACCGGAAAAAGCGGAAATGACGTGCATTTGCGGAAATTACGTCTCCGTGCGTCGCTGGTTGGCTAAACAATTGACTGAAACTTTATTGCGTGAGCGACAGCAAGTGGAATGAATATAGATCTTGTCACACAGCCCTAATCATGTCTTTTTCAAAGCCTGCAGTGAAGAGAAAGGTTGGTGACGAGCACAGACAATTTCAGGAAAAGTGGGAGATGCAATATTTATTTGTTGAGCACATGAGCACCCCGACGTGTCTTATTTGTATAGAAAAAGTTGCGGTGCACAAGGAATACAACCTCAAACGTCATTACTCAACTAGATATGCTGAGGAGTATGCAAAATACCAGGGAGATGAGAGAGCCAACCGGGGTGCCAATCTTAAAACATGTCTACTGAGGCAACAAAATGTCTTCAAGAAAGCAACCAAAGCGAATAATGCAGCAGTCGAAGTAAGCTACGTGGTTAGTGAGATGATTGCTAAGGTAGGAAAGCCATTCACTCACAGAAGGCGAGTTTATCAAAAAGTGCATCTTACAGGCTGCAAGTATAGTCTGTCCGGAAAAGAAAGGTCAGTTTGGCAACATCAGCCTTTCTGCTAACACTGTGGCAGAGCGCATTTCAGACCTGTCAAGTGACATTTATGATCAACTGCGTGAGAAAGCCACATTTTTCAATGCATACTCAGTCGCTCTTGACGAGAGTTCAGACATCACTGACACTGCCCAGCTCACAATATACGTCCGTGGTGTTGATGACAATTTTGAAGTGATGGAGGAGTTGCTCACAGTAATTCCAATGCATGGCCACACCACCGCTCAGGAGATATTTTGCCAGCTGTGTGATGCCATTGTGAATGCCGTTTTGCCATGGAAGAAGTTTGTTGGAATAACAACTGACGGAGCGCCATCAATGACAGGGAGGAAAAATGGACTGGTGGCACTTGTTCAAAGAAAACTAGAAGAGGAGGGTGTGGAGGAGGCCATTGCTCTGCACTGCATCATCCATCAGCAGGCCCTTTGCAGCAAATGCCTGAAGTTTGACAATGTGATGTCTGTTGTTGTGAAATGCATCAACCAAATCAGATCCAGGGGCTTAAAGCACCGGATGTTCCGTACTTTTTTAGAGGAAATGGAGTCAGAATATGAGGATGTGCTCTACTTCACCGAGGTACGTTGGCTCAGCAGGGGAAACGTCTTGAAGAGATTTTTTGAGTTGAGAGCAGAAGTGAAAGCCTTCATGGAGAATGATGGGGTGGCTGTTCCTGTGCTAAGTGATCCCAAATGGCTCATGGACTTCGCTTTTCTTGTTGACATCACGCATGAGCTGAATGTGCTGAACAAGAAGTTACAAGGCCAGGGGCAGCTCGTCAGTGCTGCCTATGACAACGTGAGAGCATTCTCCACAAAACTTGTGTTATGGAAAGCCCAGCTCTCTCAGACAAACCTTTGCCATTTCCCAGCATGCAAGGCACTCCTGAATGCAGGCACACCATTCAGTGGTGAGAAGTATGTTGATGCCATTTTGAGGCTACAGGAGGAATTTGGTCACAGATTTGCAGACTTCAAGACGCACAGAGCCACTTTTCAATTGTTTGCGGATCCCTTCTCCTTTGATGTGCAAGATGCCCCTCCTGTGCTTCAAATGGAGCTCAATGACCTGCAGTGCAACTCTGACCTCAAAGCCAAGTTCAGGGAGGTGAGTGGAAAAGAAGACAAGCTTGGGCAATTTTTGCGAGAATTGAACCCCAGCTTCCCTGAGCTTTCCCGAATGTTCAAGTGGACCATGTGCCTTTTTGGAAGCACATATTTGTGTGAAAAGCTCTTCTCCACCTTGAACTTCAATAAGTCCAAGTACAGGTCCAGACTTACTGATGATCATCTTCAAGCCATACTGAGGGTCTCAACTGCTTCCTCCCTCAAGCCAAATGTGGCTCAGCTATGTGAGAGGAAGCGCTGCCAGGTCTCCGGCAGCAAGAAGTAGGCAAGAGAAGCCATGTTCAGAAGAACCGTTCATGTTCTTCAATATTCTATTCATGTTCAGAAGAACCCATTGAAGTTAAATAACTGTTAGTAATGACATTTGAGAAGTTTGGATTTTTTTTGCAAAGATTTTTTTGTGGAATACCTGATGCGGCCCAGCCTCACCCAGATACTGCCTCCAGCGGCCCCCAGGTAATTTGAGTTTGAGACCCCTGCTTTAGAGCATCACCTTTCGCGCAATTCACCAATACATTAATAGCATGTGTGCGTCATCCATTCAAGACCTGGAGCCTCTTTTCAGGGAAATATTACTGGTTTTCATGTCCACGTGTTTGTGTAAATGTGAGAAGAAAATGTGAGAGCTCACAACCAAGGCTTCCTATCGCATCTCCGATTAGCACGGTTACCCTACGAACGTTGCGAAAGAAGTTCAGCATACTGTACATACATATCGAATCCACCACTCAATGGGAGGTCTCCTCTGCTAACCCCATAGCCTGGAACACCCTCACCCCAGCCATCAGCTCTGTGGACATCTTGCTTCTGTTCCGTTTCAGGCTCAAAACTTGTTTTTCCTCTGCCTACGACCGCCTCTCTACATAAAATAAATATGCCCATTGTTTCTGCACAGGGTTTTGAGCTGTGGTCTAATTTCGGACACGATACAAATATACACACGTGGTATGAAATCTATTCACTAACTCTTATCAAGCAGTGGATCGATCATAGCTGGCGATTATGGAGCTGGTCATTATTATTTGTCGTTTGTGACGTTCTCACTCGCCCCTGCTGGAAAATCTGCGAAAAAACGAGCTTTAGAGCTCATCGGATTCCTCCAGCGTTAACAAATATTCTGAATCTCATTGAATGGGAGAAACTTGTGTGACTCCACGTGCTTCCGGCCTCCTCCCTCCCCCTGATGGCCCCTCCCCTCAGCACCCCTCTTCGCCCCGCCCCTCCTCGCTAAGGACGCTGGGAAGCGCAGCCTCTTTCTCTTCCGGCGGCCATAGCGGTGAGTGTGTCTGGAGTGGCGCGGCGCGATAGCAATCCATCGCGTATCGCCGCCATCCTCGCGTCTCCTCGGGCGAATTCCCTCTCGAAGGGTCGCACGGAGTCCACGGCGAGTCCCGGGCCCCGTATCGGAGTGAATTGCCGCGCCGGCCCCCCCCAGGGTTCGGGTCTCGCCGGGACCCCTTCTCGGTCCGAGCGGTGCTTTTGGGTCCATGGGGAATGGCGCCGTCGTTAGCGCGACGCGTTGCTGGCGACTTGGTGCGACCTGGTTCCTCCTGTTAGCGGCCACGGCTTGATGTCCGCGGCACGTGTTGTCGGCACCCTCCTGGGTACGGACTCGGCCTTAAAACACTTAAACGACTGGATTGTGCGATTACTAGGCAAGCAAGCAGTAATATTTGGTGCTGTTTTTGGCGTTAATAGGCGCTGGATGAACATAGTTTGTTCCAGCCCTTGATATGCGGGGAAATACATGCACATTTATCTGTGTTACAAGTCCTGCCGTGTCGGCCCGGATCTTCCACGGCACGCGAGTCGGGGTGTGTGTGAACGGGGTGGACGCGCTAGGCCTGGGTGGTAAAGAATTGTTTCCAGTAGCGCCAAAGCCTCGGCGCGTACCTCGTGTGCTTTAGACTCTGGTACAACTCGTAGGGGTTACTGGCCTGTGTGCAAATCGCCCGGGTTGAGCCCAGTCTTACCAGAAGATGGGCACGGTTGAGCCTTGGATGGTGGGTGCTTGGATTGACGGCCACCGTGCTTTTTGTAATGGACTTGGGTTGCTGCCGCTCCGTTGTCGGCAAAGAACAGTACAGAACAATCCATTGTACAGGGTATTGCTACTACAATATTTATGCTACCGCGGCTTTTAACAATCCTCACTGACCAGCGTGGTGAAGTATGGTCGCATAACCCGCATGGCGTTGGGAGGCCCTCGTCATACGGTGTATTGGCAAAAGGGCTGTGTAGATCCACAAGCAGTGCTTTATGTTCGTCACAGCTTAAAGGAGCACAAACAACAGTGTTGCGGATTTACATATCTGCCATTATAAATGTGCATATAACAAGTGTTGATTGGAATATTTATTTCGGTGAAATCACAGGTACTTTCGGAGCCTTCTGACCGGGCCTTACGCTTCGTAAATTAAAATATAACGCTCCTGGTACATGGATAGAATATTGTGCGCACGAATTGTATCACATTTACTATATGTAATCGGTTCACGCAGCTAATATATGCTGCATGCCCCGTAATTGTAAGACCTATTCTTGAGCCATTGGAATTTACTACAATCACAGAGGCAATTGCATGTTGACTTAACGAGTGCCCGTAGGTTTGGTTTATTTTGGCTCTGGTGAAATCCATTGGGGCAATTAATGCCCGTTTTCTAACGGGCACCTGTTTCCACGATGGAAACCTGGTTACAGCAAAAAAACTACCTAAAGACACGAGTACTAGTTCTAGTTCCTAATGGCAAAGTCGTGCATCAGCATACAACCACCAAAGAATACAAGGCTTGTAGAACACATCACACAGCGTATTGGGTGAAAAATAGCACTGAGGTCGGTGTGAGTGTCTTAAAGTGGCTGTAAGTGACTCCGTTTCGCACAACCCATAACACATGTGCTGATGTGCCTCTTTGTTTTCAGCTGAGCCAAGATGGGCGCCTACAAGTATATCCAGGAGTTGTGGCGCAAGAAGCAGTCCGATGTGATGCGCTTCCTGCTCCGGGTTCGTTGCTGGCAGTACCGGCAGCTGTCGGCCGTGCATCGTGCACCGCGGCCCACCCGCCCAGACAAGGCCCGCCGGCTCGGCTACAAGGCCAAGCAAGGTGCTCCCCAGGGCTGCGTGCGCATCGTCACCTGAACCCCCCCCCCCTCCCTGCTGATTGCTGGAAAAATAGATTTTTTTTTTTTTATATGGCTGACGATGTGAAATGGATGGGCAACCTCGGGTCACACTGGCAGGGAACAGCCTGTGTGGACATCTGTGAAAGAGAAATCATTTCTCGGCAGATTCCTCCAATATCAATAAATATTCTTATTCTGAATTAATTTTGCGTGGCCTGTTTACATGAGGTCTCCCAAGTCGAATTGGCTGGCAAGCTAAATCGGTCACTGCACGCATTTAAGCAGCGCGAACCCGGTAATAGGAGGGAATGTGTTTTCACTTGGCTATGCTTGCAAATTTGAGTACACTTAGTCACCTGTTGAAAGTGAACCCTAATTGGCCATTGTATTGGATAATGCTAAGCTGTCCATTTAATCAGTGGCCCACCAAAAGTGTTTTTTAAGTTTTATTTGGCCCTCAAGGAAAAGGTTCTCCACTACAGTATGGGGCTGACCATGGCAATGTGTAATTTCCTCCCCTGATTTGGGGCCACCAATTGAGAGTGCTGCCTTGTGCTTGACTGAGCATGTAAACGCGGAATATGCAATTGCTGAACTCGTCTCTTCCTTTACAGGCTACGTAATCTACCGCGTGCGTGTGCGCCGCGGTGGCCGCAAACGCCCCGTGCCCAAGGGAGCCACCTATGGCAAGCCCGTCCACCAGGGTGTGAACCAGCTCAAGTTCGCCCGCAGCCTGCAGTCCGTTGCTGAGGTGAGAAGTTGCTCCTGTGTGTTGGAGCACAAGGTTTAACAGTATGTCAAATGGAGTGACAACGCTGCCCTGGAATGTATTTGGTTCCTTTTGACGGGACGGGGCACTTATGGGAAAGACTAAATAGTTTTATCCAATGTATGAATGTGAATTGACTAGTAAGGGGCCATCCATTTAGTACATACACAAACATCTGTCAACTTGACCCCCCCCACCAGCGTACGTACGCTTGACCCCTCACCCGAATCCTATAGAACGGCATATATTTTATCCATGCAGAAACGATAAAGGATTAATAATATTAACGTGTTTAAGCAAACAGTCCACCGCCAGACTATCTAACTTGGAAGGCTGTGAGGTGTTGTACTGGTGAACCTGTGCAGATTTTTTTGCATATCCCTCCCGCATGCATGGATCTTCTCCAGGTTTACATCCACAATGCTTAATACTTGAAATGGAATTGGCCTAACCTTCCAAAGTGGACTTTCCTGAAAAGGTCTTGAAACAGACATCCCCATTAAATGAATACCATTAAGGCATATTTAAATAAAAGTGACATAAGACTTTGCTGTTGTCTGTCTTCATGCGTGTGTAGGAGCGCGCCGGCCGCCACTGCGGTGCCCTGCGTGTGCTCGCATCCTACTGGGTGTGCGAGGACTCGACGTACAAGTACTACGAAGTGATCCTCATCGACACCTTCCACAAGGCCATCCGCCGCAATCCCGACACACAATGGATCACCAAGCCGGTGCACAAGCACCGCGAGATGCGAGGCCTCACTTCAGCCGGCAGGAAGAGCCGAGGCCTGGGCAAGGGCCACCGCTTCCACCTCACAATTGGCGGCTCGCGCAAGGCCGCCTGGCGGCGTCGCAACACGCTGCAGCTGCGCCGCTACCGCTAGGCCGCACCACATCGGGCCCCGGGCCCTGCTTGACTCTCCTTCGCTTCTTGAAGCTGTACCTGGCTGGATTGACATGGGTAGTTTATACCATGTCCGCGTTTGCCTGGTTGTATCCAATCGTTGTGAAATCTACAACCACTTCTTGAGCTGGAGCAGTGCAGTCTGGCAGGTTTGGGTGAAAGCTGTTGTGTATTATTTCAAAATAAAGTACAAAACATCCCATGCCCTTGAGCAGCCTGTGTTGTGGGTTTTTTTTTACCCTAGATACAGCATTGTTAACTTGTGTTTCATGAATTGGAATGCATGTTTAAAGAACGGGTTTTTGTTAATGTCAGTAATGATCAGTCCACTGCTGGATGAATAGTTCCCTATGCATGCCTGCATGCGAGCTAATTCAATCTTGATTTGAAGCTTTTGTGACTGCAGGAATCCATACTCTGGTTCTTTTGGTAAAGTCACGTAGAAAAAAAAAAACACGACGTTTCAGTCGCAACACAAGCGTCTGTCGTCAGGTGAGAAAGAATGATCTGCTGTTGTGGCTTTGGAGGCACGGGGCGGGGGGGGGTTGTAGAGTTGTAGCTGCAGGAGTTCACGGGGAGAGGGGGTATGGAATTGATGTTGAAAAATTGGTACAGTGCCGGCAGGCCATGTGACCATATGACGAACGTGTCATCTACATCTCTTCCACAAGGAAGGACGTCAGGTGGGTGTCTGGATGGCATCTGTCTCAAATTTCTCCGTGAAAACATTTGCTACCACTGGTGATAGGGTAGAGGCACATTGTGGTACCTTCATTCTGTTTGTAGAAAGTACCATTACAGGTGAAGTAAGTGTTGGTAAGGCAGTGCCTTTCCAACACCACATCAATTCCATACACCCATCTATCAAATTCACCATGGAAATGGAAAATGATGGTAAGCTACCATTCCTGGATGTTTTGATCGAGAAAAGACCTGATAGCTGGTTAGGACACTATAGGAAAGCCACCCACACGGATTCTTATCTCAAGCCTGCCTCTCGCCACCATCCAGCCCAGAAGAATTCCCTCATCAAAACACCACCATAGGGCTCGTTGCATCTCCGACCCTCACCACCTCATCAGTGAGCCGGAGCACGTACGCCAGGCTCTCAGGAGGACAGGATATTCTGACCGCACAACCTGCAAAGCCACATCCCCAGCCATAGGTAAACCATCTGAGGACCCAATCAAAACCATCACCTTGCCATACATGAAAGGGGTCACCACAAGGATTTCCAAAATCTTGAACAAACAAGATTGAAGTTCGGTTCAATACAGTACACAATCCGTGATTTGATCCCATCTGTGAAGGATGCGATTCCGGACATGCAATGTCCTGGTGTCTATAAGCCGAGTTGTCTGCAGCAGTAGTTACATTGGTGAAACGGAGCGACATGTCTCAGACCGGGTACAGGAACACAAAGCGGATTTGAAACACTAGAACCAACACCTCGGCGGTGGTGGATCATTGTTTCAACGCTGTGGGCACACATGACATTGTTTTCTCTGAGACCAAGGTGCTCTGCAAACCCTCGGGCGACCATCAGAGATACTAACAGACAAAACTTTAATCGAGAAGATGGATTCAGATTGAGTAATCGTTGGAAGGACGTGATGAACCACGTCAAGTTTTAACTGCTGTGATTCTCTTACACCCGTGCTGTTTTCGTTTATTAATTCAAGCTCATGGACATGCTAATTTCTCCAGCCCCCACCTGTGCCTTTACGCCACAAACCCTCCCCACTCCGTAAACTCCTGCAGCCACGACTCTACGAAACCCCCCTTCCCCCCCCTCCCCGTGCCTATATAAAGCCACAACAGCAGACCATTATTTCTCGCCTGATGACGGACGCTTGTGTTGCGACCGAAACGTGTTCTTTTACTAATTTAATCACTCCATAACAGTGGGTTCCATTTTGATGCTTTCTCTCTTGGCTGCCACCCACCCACCAGCAATCATCACTGATCTGTTCTGCCCACGACACAATTGACTTGTATACTCTTAAGTAGTCGGGTGTCCAAGCTTACACCATTTTCTGATCCTCATAGCAGGTACTTTGCATTAATTGCAAACTTAAGCAAATGAGTATATTGCTTTTCATCAATTTAAGCTTTTAAAAAACGCACACCAACCTGCTCTGCCTAAAATTCATGAATTTGATAAAGTTACTGCACAGAGGATACATGTCCACAATAGAGGTTTTTGGGTTACATCGCGTAAACAAATATCGTTAAGCCTGCCACTACCCGACAGCCAACTAGTGTAAGGGTTGTCACATAAACAACATGCTAGTACATCACACCGGTGGGTTGGAAAGCCAAGTTACAACATTTACAATCGGAGTCCTGTTGTGGCTTGGCTGTCCAACACACCGGTGTGCTGTGCTAATGATCAATTCACATGTTCTATTTACGTGACAAGCCTTACTGGTTGGCTGTGTCGGGTGGTGGCGGGTTTAACGACACATTTACGCGATCTAACCCAAAAAACCTCATGGATGGTCGCGAAAGCCTGCGTGTTAAACTACATACATTTTGTGTTTTGCATTTTTCGGTGTGCATGCATCCTCTTTTGTATTAAGTTCATAACGTATGCATAAAGAGTGCCATGTGCACTCTGTGCAGTGTTTGACGCACACAGTCGTTTGAAATGTGAGACTTTTGTAAAAATACATAAACTTGGCATTAGGAAATGTAATCTCAATGGGCTAACCTGTTCATAAGTTACGGGATCAAGAACAACGCGGTGGACTCTAATCGGGATAAAATCGCACGAAAATATAATGGAGTGGTTGTCCACTGGTTAATGGACTCGTAAACCTAACAACCTGAGTTTGATTCCCAGCCATGGCTCATTGGTGGCGAGTGATAACCGGTCCTGGGCTTCATGCCAATGTGGTGAATTATGCCATAACACATTCCTGCGGAGGGAGCTGGTAGGAACTTTGAGTTGCTCGGTCAATGGCCAAGGTCAACGGCGGCGTGGTGTATTCCGCAAATATGCCCAACTGTAAGGGCGGGCAAAATCCGGCGTGATTAGGTTAAACGTTGAGTTTGATAAGGGCACCACGGGGTGACCAGCCCCTCCCCACCCAGCCCCACTCCTCCCACCCCCCACCCAGCCCCACCCTCCCCACCCAGCCCCCCACCCTCCCCACCCAGCCCCTCCCTGCATGACGGACGGACACAATAATCCCCTGTGGGCTGGTGTAACCAGCCCACAGGGGATTGGTGTGAGTAGGCCTCGAGTGTACTGACAAAGACTGGACGTTAAATAAGTTAACAGGTTTTATCTAACGGTAGAAAACAATCAACGGCCAGGCGAGCCCTCTAATAAGTGTGGATTGAAGCTGGTTAACTTAAGGGTGGTTTTCATGCCGACTGGAGCACTGACGAATCAGCAACATGGCCATTGACAGTATAGGTAGAACAAGTGGTCTAAATTACACCCAATAATCAGGCAATAAACAACGCAATCACAACATTGCTGGGATACGTGCGCTTGAACAAATCCTATCGTAAGAATGAATGTTGGAAGAAACGGGTGATTCCTGGCAGTGCTACCACCGTGGAGATGGGAGCTGTGAGATCAACTCGTCAACGAGGGGCGCTGTGGCGAGGTGTTAACTACCTCGTCTGGTACACAGGACGTCGTGGGTTCGATCCCGACGCTGACGCATGTCTATTTGGAGTGTGCGTGTTCTCTCCGTAGTCGCGTGGATTTTTCGCCGTGTCCTCCGATTTTTTTCCCTCCACATTTAGTAACGCGCGTGTCAAAGTTATTTGGCTGCTGCTATAAACTTCCACGCGATAAGCCACTCCGTTGAGCCATCATTGGTGGCCAGGTCGCTTCTGAAAAAAGCGATGTAGCTCGGTGGGCCTTAGCTGGTAAAATGGAAATGATTTAAATAGTTTTATAGATGAGATTGTGACATTGCAGCAGCGAGAGTGGATAGACTTGCTCATGATCACAATGAAGATGATCGTGATGCTCACGTGCCATGGAGCCATGATATCAGTTGTTGTGACGGTGTTCGATGACTCGCGCTCATTCAGCAGTCTATAAAAACAACGGCTACTGCAACTGATGATCAGCACTTATCAAAGTCCTCGATGTTGCTACCGTTTGCTGATGAGGATCCTACTTGTTTGCATTTTGACTGCTTGTGTTGTGGTTATTGCAAACATGATGCCTTGTATAAAGGTGTCAGTTTTTGTACCAGTTGAAAGGGTAAAACCCTATTACTAGATCCTACTGCTGTTGAAAGCCCGAGTTTGCTGCTCATGTTGGAGTAGCTGATGATCCTCCTCCTGCTGCCGTTGATGCTGATAATGATTATCCTGCAGCCGTTGATGATGATGACGGTGGTAATGATCCTCCTGCTGCCGTTGATGATAAGGGGCCGTCCATAAATGACGGCACGCACCTAGGGGGGGGGGGGGGTCGGACATTTGTGACGAGGGGGTTTGAGAAATGTGACGTCACATCAAAATGCGCAACTTTAAATAAATATAGACAACACGTTCTACTTAATTAGACTTTTTAATACATTTTTTCCTACAACATCAGAGTGCAGCGCCACATTAAATACGCACTACAATGACAAGAGTTTAAAGCGATTTGAAGCATGTTTTATTTTTTGGTGGGGGGGGGGGGAGCAGAGCTTTGTGACGTCATATTTGAGGGGGGTCTGACTTTTTGTGACGCCGTGTGACGTGGGAGGGGGTCAAAAATCGTCCAAAATCGCGTGACGTCATTTATGGACGGCCCCTTATGATGATAATGATCCTGCTGCCGCTGCTGATGTTGCCACTGCTGCCACTGCTGATGGCCGCATGCCGAGTGGCGGCCCCCACCGCCAGCCGCGGCACAGACGGCCCGTAACAATCAGCACACTCCCCCACGCGGGTCAATTGCGCGCGGCCGCCGATGAGTCTCGCCGCCGCCGCCGCCAGGGGGAGGCCGCGGTCACCAGGCCTGGGCCCTTCCCCGAGCCTCCTTCCTGAGTCGCAGATTCACGTGCAAGACGGCGGTGGCGGCGGTGGTGGCGGCGGTGGTGGTGGCTTTCAAGGAGGCGGGGTGGGGTGGGAGGCCGTCTAACGTCCCCGGGGGTGGGCCACAGGAGCGAGGGAGGTGGTGGAGTGAGGAGGTTGTTGTAGGAGGTGAGGTTACCGTGTGCGACGTGGGTGGTGGTGGTGGTGGTTGTGCTGGTGGTGGTGGCTGTGTGGTTTAAGTTCGTGCAGTAGCGGCCACGCCGAGTCGCGGAGACCGCGACTGTTGGAGCGGTCTCTGTGTGTGGATGCGCGGGTTTGCGGTGATGTTTCACTCCGGACATGCCTCGCGTGTCTTGCCGTGGCTCAAGCACCGCACTGGTGTCTCATCGTGGTGACGAGCACCTGCAGTTGTCCGTGACCTTAGAGTGCAGTGGTTGTCCACACATGGGCCCCCTCCAGCAGTGGATGAACGCACGGCTGCGGACATTTGCTAATGGGGATGCCGCTGAGCACGTTATTAGCTTTTGGAATAACAATTAAAAAATACATTTTAACGTCACCCTCTTCGTTGCTTTATACGACAAAAGTTGATGCCCGTTGTGATTATTATAGAGTCGGGGACCAGTTGACGAGAGGGCCTTGCGATGTTTGGTTTAATCCCATTAATTATCCCATCAGAATCCAGATAGGTGCATGCTGTCCAGCTCCTGGTCACCTTTAAGCCAAGTCTGAAGACACCTGCAGTCGGCACTCTCTCATCCAGGTGCAGACTGACACATTAAGGTCAGTTTAGCGCGTAGGCTTTGGCTACCAAAATTATATCCATTCCCAACTCGTAACTAATTAGCACGTTTTGTTTACGTGACAAACCTCACTGATTTGGCTGTGTCGGGTGGTGGCGGGGTTAACGACACATTTATATTTATTTGATCTAACCGCGCCCCAACCCCTAAAAAAAAATCTTTTTTTTGACATTAAAATAACTGACCATTCCCGGGATCAGAGGAGATGATGGTAGCAGTGGACTTCAAGTGCGGTACTGTTCTAAGATGGGCTGGGGTCAGAGACCCTGTGCCGCCCTCTCTGTCACCCACGGCACACTGCCACCTGCTCATGCCATGCGTGTGGCTACGTTGTGGTCAGCAGAGGGCAGCACAGCGTAGTACAGCAATACCCCGATTCACGTCTCTCCCCCCCCCCCCCACTTTTGCGTCGTTTCGCTAATACGTTGACACTTTATTAATGATTAACACCTCAACGTGATTTGCGTTGCTTCAACCCCCACGCATCGTCCCTCCTTTGTCGTTTTCCGTCGCCTCTCGGCCTCCGTCTCCACCACCTCCTGCCCTGTAAATCGCTTCGATTGACGTCGTTTCGATATTCATCGTCGCACCTTTCAGGAACGCATCACGTGACGTAAACCGGGGTATTATTGGACTCTACATTGTACCCACATCCGTGCTCACAGCCTTCACCAACCCGCGCTGACCCAGCGGTGAACTATGGTCAAATAACACCCAGGACCCGCAAGGCGGCGTGCGGAGGCTCTCATTCATCAGTGGGTCAACAAAACGGCCGCGTGTGTGTATACGTCAAAAAATGTCCTCCATCTGTTTCCGATTGCGCAGGGTTACGGTGACGACCTGCAAGATGGCAGCTGGGGTGGCTGTCGGCGGCCCCACGAGTTTTTCAGCGTGGCTGGGCACGCAAGGCGCCAGCGCGAGCATGGCGCTCGCACTGGAGCAGGAGCTGGGCATCGGCAGCGAGGATACGCTGCTGGCCTGCGCCGAGGACCCGCACATCCGGGCCGAGTTGCTCTCCCTCGCGCGGCGCCGGCTTCCCTTCGGCTCGTACGCTGTGCTGGCGCGCCTGCTGCGAGGGGTTTGGCGGTTGCGGATTGCGGCGGAAACGTTGGGGGGCGCGGAGGCGGCGGCGGCGGCGCTGCCGACGGACTCGTGCCAGCTCCGCTGCGGGGAGCACAGCCTGCTAAGCAGCCTGCTGCACGCCATCGTGATCACGCTCAGCAGCTTGAGCCAGGAGCTGCAGGAGTCGGCGGAGAGGTTCAGCTGCCTGGACGGCCTGGTGCAGGCGGGCGCCAGCCCACGGGGCACAGGCTCGCCGGTGCCAGCAGGTCTGCGAGCGATGGGCACGCAGGGCTGTTACAACGGCCAAACTTTGCGCAAGTGTGCACTGGCTGCCAGCGGATGGCACTTGCGGTGAAATCTTGTGCTGTGTGAGAGGATAGGCCCTTATGTGTGTCATTGTTAGCGGAGTGGTAGAGTCGTAGTTAGCGCGCTGCTCTACCAACGCAGCGACCCAGGTTTGATTCCTGCTCACGTTCAACACCAGTGATGATTATCTGAACCGGTTCTGGGCCTCCCCTAGGTCGATTCAGCCTCAAACAAGTACCTAGTGCGGTGTGTAAACATCGCCACTCGGGAGACAGAGGCGGTCAGGCGTGGTGCTGGCCACCCACCCCCTCGTGTACCGTTTCGGCATTCGTAGGTACTCGCTAACTGCACTTGCCCCTACAGTCTGTTAAGGCTATACAAGGATCTTTGTCTTTGTGTGTTATTGTGCAGAGGTAGTGGACAGCCCTGTTCCAGTGGAGTCTTCGTCCCCTGTGGATGCTTTCGGAGCGCTCGCAAACGAGGACCAAAACCCATCCCGTGCGTGGGATGTAAACATCAAAATGGAACCGGTCAGTGAAAGTAAGTCTGGCATTCGTAGAAATTGCAGTGGGGCCTTGTTTTCTTTCGAAATTAGCCACGTGGATGGTGGTGAGTGAGCCAGTGGACAGCTTCTGGAGTAGCCTGATGAGAAATATCTAAAAGACTGATGGCTAATGATGGAAGTAGCGCTACTTTCTGGTCCATGGTTTTAGATCGGTGACTGCAGTTGCACTGTGGGCTCGCCTGAATTTTTCCATCGGTGTAAGTGGTGGCTGCATCTGCTGTCCAATTGTTGCATGCGATTCAATACAAAGTCACAACTGTGACAACACAATGCAGCAATGTAAGCACTTGAGTGCAGTTGAAGGTGCCAACTTGGCTATCGTCGTAATTATTGACACACATTCAAAGTGTGAAAAGCTTCAAGTGATGTTCGATCATGTAAGGTGCCATTGGGCTCTTTCGTGTGCTGCGATGTAGGTACACCTGACAGCTCTGATGGGGTTTCTGGCCACAACTTGGATGTGTCTTTCGTGAAAGTGGAAGTGGAAACCGATTGCCTGGAGAACGGTGGGTCCAGCTCATGTTTCATTTTAAACTGGGCATCTATAGCATTAATGTTTGAACAGTTGTGTGTCTGTTTAATATAAAGAACGTGTTTGTTTTTGGTATGAAAGCAATGTTTAGCGTGCTTGGTTCTCCTGTGTGTAGGTGATGTGCCAGAGTCCAGTAGAAAAGAGGCATTAGAAGATCTGGCATGCCCGTGTCATCAGGGCGCTTCTGCCCAATGCTGCAGCAAGGAATATTGCAATAACGTAAATACGTTAAAGCAATGGAAAGCAGCCAGACTCACATACAAGTGGAATGACGACCAGGGCAGGTCACCGGACTGGGCTGTTGATAAAACGTCGCTCATGAGGAATAGCTACAATCCACGCTGTGGCAAGGGCAGTGGTAAGAAAGATTTGGGAGAAGTCTGGAATCCCAACCTGACTCTTGATCAGAGCGTGGTTCTCATTGAAGATGACAATCAGTTTACGGCTGAGAACAGTCTTGGGTATCAACACCGAGTGCATGCGACTCCAGGTGCTCAATCGCTGACGATGCACCTGGATAACGATGGCTCGCCTGTGCAGATATTCACACAGCCGGAGAGGACTTCTGCCACGGTCGACGAAGTTCATGGCACTGAAAATCAAGAAGACGCTGTTTCACCAATGGAGCCGCCACCGTCTCTGGGAGCGGCACAGGCAGAGGATGTGCCGTGTGTTGGCTGCGCGGAGTGTGGCCAGGAGTTTTTGCTGCCGGCTCAGTACGTGGAGCACGTTCGTTGTCACCGACGCGGCCGGGACGGCGGCGCGAACGACGGCGCCGCGGGAGGCGGCCGTCCCTTCACGTGCCCGCTCTGCGGGGCTTGCTTCTCGCACCTGTCGGCGCTCAACCGCCACCAGCGCACGCACACGGGCGAGCGGCCCTTCTCGTGCGAGGAGTGCGGCAAGCGCTTCACGCAGTCGTCGCACCTGAACCGCCACATGCGCACGCACACGGGGGAGAAGCCCTTCAAGTGCCTCCACTGCGGCAAGGGCTTCCTGCAGTCGTCCGACCTCGCTCGTCACCAGCGCACGCACGCACGCCGCCCCCACAGCCACCAACGCGATGATTCATCAGCATAGTCAACGAAGGACCGTTGTGCCAAATGCGTGACCTCTTGCGACAGCATTTGCATTAACTGATCTTGCTGCCATATACCAGTGTCTCAAGTAATTTGTTTGATCCACGTATCACGATGGCGGTGCCATTCGTTTGAGGGTCGCAGTCCACCTCAAACGTTAACCGCCAACTGAAGTGCACAATTTGCTGGAGATTGTGCATCCAGACAGGCGACGTATCTAAAAAGTGACAACAATCTCCCTCCAATTGCGAGGAGACCGGTCGCAGATGCTAATGGTGACATTTCCGACGAAGTTGGATGCCAAAAAGACATCTTTGGCATCGCATGTGGAAGAACTGTAGCCGATCCAAATGAGCTTGAAGCAAACTGACAACGCAGCTCTGGCAGACTCTCAATTTGGTGCCCAGACTGAAACGTTTCTGGGACCGAATGTGGCTCAGACCTTTCATTATACCTGAGGCCAGGCCGATCCGGCGCATAACTCCAGGTCTACGTCGTCCATCAGTGGTCTGTTCAGATCCCAGGTAGAGAAATTCCTCCACTGCTCCGACAGCATTACCATTAATTATGCAGTTTGCTTCTGGAGGTCCAGAGCCTAAGTTCAGCAATTGAGATTTCCACCCGAGATTGGGGTGGCTACAAAATATCTCCACGATTGCCAAACGTCTTCATTTCAATAACATTGACATCCCTTTGACTTCACCGATTTTTATTTTGTTTGAGTGTTCACATGTGTAGGTTACAAAGAGGTCGTGAGAAACCTGTTCTTGGCATTGGGAGAGGACACTTCTTTTTTTAATATCATTACTCTGCTTGTTTACCCAGGAAAGCCTAACTTAGTCTCGACTCTTTTTCAGGAGGGTCCTGCCAGGAGGTTCGCAGTTGTTTCCCAGTTAAGCGATTTGCAAGTTATTTTCAAATTGAGCAAATCTGGATCATGACACGAGAGTACAATAGTCTATTGTTCGTCTAATAATGTCATGGGATCATTAACGTCCACTCTGAAACAGACGGTGTGTATTTTATTGTTAATACACATGCAGTATTAACCGGGGCAGCCTGCCAGATTCAAACCGCAAACCTCTGCGGGAAGCGGAAAATCCAACCGACCAAACTGAACACACAACCATCGTTTTGCACTCGGAAAAAACAAAAATGCTTTTTATATGATTGCTTTGTAACAGTTCTTATGTGTGCCAGCATTAATATTTGTACCAGAAACTAGCAGGAATAAAACTTTTTTTATAGAAACGGATTTGTTTGATCTTGAAATTGTATGCACTATCACAGTGGAATGTGAGAGAATGACTGAACGATGGGCTAAGATGTTTAATGTGCGAGTACATTAGTGACATTCACAAACTCAATCCAGTGAATATTCGCTGCTTGCCAAACACTCTGCCAATAAAATAAAAACTCAACACTATTGTCAATATTGCCTTAAAACAGAAATATATATATAGTGGGCTAAAGTTTTTTGACGTTCGCCCCTAAAAAAAGATACGATCATAACATTCAATGTTGCACTACACTGCCTGCTACCTTCAAATATTAAAGCTGATTTATGGACAGCATTTCCATTAACGGATGTTGAATAGCTAATCCACCCACAAAATTGTTGATAAACTGGTTTCACCGAGTTTTTTTGTTTTATCTCCAACTAGAATCCACTCTGTCATCTACTCTAACGAAGGTTCATTTCCCGAAACGGCCGATTACTGTAAATGTTTTTCTTTAGCTACATTGTTAACATGTACGGCTGCCAACACTTGTCATTTCGCTACTGAAGGCTCTCCCCTATGCCGTTTCAGTCAATGTACCTTAACCAGCACGTTGAAGTATGGTCAAACATTGTCCATGATGAATACTGCGTTGTGAGACCATCTAGCAGTGGATTGAAAAAGGACGATATACTGTACATTGTTTTGTGTTATGCACTGTTCTGAATCACGCGTGCGTTTGCCCATGCACTTTGCAAAGTGTGCAATTACACTCCATTCCTAAAGCATACGAACATTTCGACGGAATTTACTTACCAGTGATGTTTAAATAATAGTTGCGGGGCGGGGTTAGGGTGGAAGTGTCCAGGACATATAACCCTTATGGCGGGACCCTGGGGTCCCGAATAAACGGAAGTCTAAATCGTAATTATTTTCCTTATTTTTGGCGACTCCGTCCCACCGCGCACATAAACGCCGCGACTCACCTGGCGCGGAACATTCTGTTGTCGCGTCGTCCAAGCGCAGCAGCGAAGACGAATGCGCAGAAGAAACAAAACTTTTCTACTTTGATTAGCGCATCGTGTAGAGCTCGTCGACAGGAATAGATTGCCGTATCGTTCGCATTCAACAGACATAAAATGACGTTGCAACGCAGTTTATGCGAGAGCCGGGGGCTTATGGAACCTCGGGGTCCCGCCATAAGATGAATATGCGCTGGGCTCATATTCTTAGGTTTTTTCGGTAAAGTCACGTATGTGACTTTACCGAAAAAACCTAAGAATATGATTCCTTGCAGTCACGAAAGCTTCAAATCTAGAATTAATGCGCTGGGCTTTAGACCAACAGTTTTGGATGTGATTCAGAGGCAAAAGGCTTGGCTTGGTTCAGGCAGTAGGTGGCGACACGAATACACTCACTGTAACGCCGTGTCTGGCAATCCGATCTCCCCTGTGCCCGAGCTCGCAGAGCGCCGCGAAAGAGCCAGGGGGTACACGATGCACACCTCCCCCAGGGCGGATGTAACAGGAATAGGGCCGCTGGCGAAGACACCGGCGGGCGAGACCTGTCCATGATCCAGACGCATCCACCCGTGTTCAGTGGAAATTTACCAGCGTCCCGACCGTGAAATACAATGTTCTTGCAGTCCCCGTGTTCAAATAATGCCTGATTGATGAGCATTTACTGGAATTGCCCGTCCTGGAAAGCTGGTTGAAATCTCATTTCAAAGCACCCGAGCTTTGCTTTATTCTCCACAAAGGCCCTTTGAGCTAATGAAACCCAATTCGGCGAGTCGACCAGGCTTGCCCTACCCCCACAGCCCCCTACACATATCACCCCCCTACACACACACACACACACGCGAAAGGGCGTTGATACGATCAGTTGCCATGGGTTATGGCCAAGCATGATGGTGCTTTGGAAGCAAGGGTTGGTGGAACACGGAGTATTGAAACTTCAACTCAATGGGCAGAGACAGCCAGCACAGCAAGTAGGTTCTAGAATCCGTCTGTCTACCATTGGACATTATCTCCTCTTACGTGTGGGTTTTCTCTGGTTCCTCCCCGACACGAACACCTCTTAAAATAAAATGACTCGAAGATCCATCTCGAAAAGGTTACGAGTCAGTGATGCTGTCCTGGGAAGTCATTAGCGCGTGCATTTCTTTACGCGTTCACGTCACTTGGCTGTACCTGGGGGAACTGGAAAACCAGGCTTCCCCCACCCCCCAGTTGCATAGCTTAGAGCAGAGTCCAGGAGGCTCGGTTCTGCCCGTGTACCTACCTGGTTGACACACCGCTCCCTCTTTCCTCAGCTGAATGGGGGTAGCAGTTGCTTTGACCTTTGCTAGAATGCTCAGGGGCAAGGCAATGCGCACTTTGAATGCTGCATTCGTTTTGTTTGGAGCGTTGGTTGGCGTTAACGCCCTTTCCAAACACCTCGCGTAACTGCACCCCCCACTCCCTCCTCCTGTGCAACGAGGCCATTCAGTTCTGCTGCGATGTCGACAGCAGTTAAAAGCCACCCCCGTGCCTTTAACACAAGTGCCGGCAAGGTGCAGCTGTGCGCCTGTCAAAATTGTGGCTCCTCCAGAGCCACACAATGCACACTGCTGCTGGGTCTCGTCAGCTCAAATGTATCGGGGGTAAAAATGATGCTACTCTGTGGAATTGTGCACAGAATACGATCGCACACGGTGGCCACATGGGTTTTGACTTTTATTTTAACAACCAGACACACTTGCACGCACCTAGAGATGTCCACGTTGTTGCTTCAGTAAGTTTCCATTTCATTACTGCAAACATGTACTTCACAGATGCGTGTTAAAGTAAAAATGTCACATGGGATGATTTCGGTGAAAAAATTACGGAGGCATTAACCTGTAACACAAAATCCAACACTTAGAAAGCACAATTGCGAAAGGGGGAAAACAAAACATGCTTGTCAATCGATTAGAGCAAGAAAAATAACATACAAGGCAACAGACATTTATCAGTGTGTGCTTGTTATTTTGTGTGCGTCGTCTGTAAGCCTTCCCCGAGTCCACGTTCGGGATACTGCAGGCCAGAGGCAGCGCACAGACGCACGGAGGCACTGCACCGTGCCACCACGTGCGTCTGATGGGAGAGGGCCCCTGCCCTACAGCTCGTTCTTGAGCAGCTGCTTGGCCTTTTTCATGTTGTCCATCACTGGAGGAGAAACCGGACAGAGGCAGTTTTAAGACCGGCACATAGGCGAAGGTTGGGCACACACGGTTTTTACATTGTACCAGCTCATTGTATTGATCCACTGCTGGATGAGAGAGGCCCTCTTCCATGCAATGGAAGTTGTGCGGGTTATGATGTTTTCATACTTTGCGTTGGATCAGTGCAGGTCGGTGAAGGCGGTGATTATGGACGTGAGAGCATAGATGTGCAGTAACAACGACGTATTTCACCCAAGTGTGCCCTCTCCTGCCCACCTTGTCGTCTCACAGCCCCTTACAACCTGTTTATGGGTGGTGCTCACCCAGCCAAGTACAACGGAGGAACAAACCCAGCTTAACTTCCTTCATCCGAGGTGATCAGGCACATTCTGGGCGGTTTTGTCACAGGGGAAAGGGGCATGCATTTACATGGAGGAAAATGTATTGTAGGGCTTCTGTGCAACTTGGCAAAACAGGGCTGTGGTGGTACTCACGGAGATCGATGTCCTTGGGCTCGTAGGTGTACAGTCGGTTGTGGTAGGGTCCCGTGATGTCAGCTCGCACCGTCAGGGATGGATCTGCCACAGTACATGAACGTCACCACCACCGTCTGCTACAAGACTCTACAGACGGCAGCAACAAAGCTGACATATTTAGACAGTTGACGAGGTTCTCTGAGGGTTTCCCTGGCTGCTCCTCTTTGTGCTCATGACACGGGGTGTGTGCGCGTGTGTGGGGCTCAGCAGGCCGTGCTGGGAATCACTCACCCACAAACATGATGCGCGGCACGTAGGCCCCGTCCGGGCTCAGGTTCTTATCCGTCGTCTCGTGCTGTTGGCGCGCGCGTACGTGGGACACCCTTGTGCATTAGTCGCGGCACAACAGGACGCTCGCAGCGTCGTAAAGCAAACAAGCAGGAGATGATGCTGTAATCTCATTAGCAGCATGTGTGTGCGTTCTTTCAATTTAGTGAAATTGCATTGTGACATACACAGTCCTCTGGAGACGCAAGAGAGAGTTCTCTTGTTCTCCCGCACATTTTCCCCCCACGAAAAATGGACGCAAAAAAAAAGACCCTTTACCATGAGATTGAGCATGATGAAATCTTCATCTGCCATCTTCTGCAGCCCTTGTGACGAGGCAAATGCTTTTTTGAGGGCTGGGTAGAAAGAAACATCAATGAACGGATGTTTGTGAATTGACCGGGCACACACGAGTTGAACATTATGATACCTCCTTTACCAGTGGCAAAATATAGTAATAGGTTTTTACCCTTTCAACTGGTACAAAAACTGACACCTTTATACAAGGCATCATGTTTGCAATAACCACAACACAAGCAGTCAACGTCATCTGGTCCAACACCAATGGAGACTAGGCTCTAAGAAAAGCTGTCTCGGGTGTGGACCATCAACTTCAAGGACAGTGCATATCATTATCATCATCGGAGTTGTTTCTTTTTGTTTGCATTTTGACTGCTTGTGTTGTGGTTATTGCAAACATGATGCCTTGTATAAAGGTGTCAGTTTTTGTACCAGTTGAAAGGGTAAAAACCTATTACTAGAGTTGAACATTGTGCCATGATTGGCCGGTGTGTGTGGCAGTAAAGACTTACACTGGCAGTATTCGCAAGACTCCAGGTGATGAATCACCATCAGTGGCTTGTTGCTGTTGGGGGTGAGGAGAGGGCAGGGTCACTTTACACCACAGCCAAAGCTGAGAGCAAAATGGGACACAAAGGCCTCCCTAAGGGCATCACACACAAAGTGGCCATGAAATAACTGCCCACCGTTCATTTATCAGAATATTTATTTATACTGGAGGAATCCGATGAGCTATAAAGCTTTTTTCACATGTCTAGTAGCCACGAGGCTCCCCTTAACTGCCCAACGCTGATAGAAATGTTCAAATCAAGGAAGTGATTGGCATTTGTAGTGAACAACCCTTAGCAGGATACAATTGATAACATTTGCAGATAAAAAACGGAACTTTGAAATGAACTTACGAATTCTGGCTCTTGAAGAGCCCCTCCTCGTAGGTCTGCACCCACTCGATCTCATCGCCCCACCCTGCCAGGAGACCGTGACAGAAGCGAGGAGGGAAGATCAGAGGAAGAGTCAGAAAGGGTGGCCAGTGGAAGCAATACAATTCATTCAATAGCAGCAAAGTGATTTGAGGATGGAACTTTATGGGTTTTTTTCCCCAATCAAAGTTGCCGAGCACAACAAGCCCAAAGGTCCAAAACACCAAGCAGTCAGCAACCAAAAGAAAATTATTCAAGTTGCATTTCTTGAATAAAGCAAGGTTATAAGAACTCTGGGGAAAAAAACCACACCAACGATGGGAGGGAATTCCGAACAATGTTGCGAGGAGAGCAGGGGAACGCACGACGTGCATCTACTGGATTGACGATGTTCCCTCAATCCGCTTCGTATGGATATTGAACTTCTTTTGCACCGTACGTAGCCAACCGTGCTAATCGGAGGTGCTCAGTGACGAACTGGGACTAAAATCGGCCCAGGCACCGGTCCAAATTGGCCTTTTGGGCTGGTCAAAAAAACAAATGGGCCAGTGAGGACGAATCTTTGGGGCTGCTGAATACGGGGACTCAATGCCAACTGAGAGGTTGAATAAGCAATGAAGCATTCACATTAAACGTGCTAAAATATTTTTTACTTCATATTTTTTATTTACAATTTCCCCACACATACCGGCCCACCGGGTATTTGCCCTATGGCCAATGCGGGCCCAGAGAAGTTCTTCACCAACAGATCGCCGCCGCTCGTGTGATCGACACGTTTTGAAATCAAAATTGGAGGTCCTTCGCAGCTGCACCCTCCCGGAAGAAGGCCGAGATGGCCGTGTCTGGATGCGGGTGGCACACCTCGAGAGAGTGTCTGCGGCTTCCTCTTGGTCATGGATGCAGTGGCGACCGTCAGCACCGCCGTCAGGCACATCACCAGGGTTGTAATACACAGCTTCATGGTAGCAGCTGCGATGGACAACACAACACAGCAGCGTGCTCATGCACCAGCAGCAGAGGAAATAATAGCCTCGATCACCGTTTCAAACAAATTAAATGTTGCTCAGTATCCTTGATTTGATTTAAGCAGGAGATTTTATAAACGCACAGCACCGCGGTTGTAGCGCAGAAGTGAAACGGTTGCTTCGTTGGTAAGGATTTCTTGGGTCACCTGAACTAACACAATGTTTTTTTAAATATACATTTTAATTCAACACGTGTAGGTGAAACGTTACAATATATTAATACAGCACAATGCGAATAAGGCCAAGTAAAAAGAAAATCTAAATAGCAATCACAATTATAAATACTGTATGTACAAAAATACCAAGGTGGCTATTTACAAAGGAGAGTGATGAGATTTAGGCGACTTACAGTCGAGGTGGTAGTGAAGAAACTTTGGTCACACGCAATCTCATCAAACGTGCACCGGCTTAGGCAGTCGGGTGAATAAAAAAACCCGAAAACGAGCGTGGGTCGCAGCATTCACTTAAACGTTGCGGTCGAGGCCAATGCTTTGTCGAGACACCCAGTGGTGTTTGTCGAAATCGCGCACGTGACGAGGAAGGTAATCTCACGTTCAAGGTGATCTCGCTCACGTTGAGCTACACGAGGAAGCGCGTCTGACGACTTCACGCCGGGATGGGCGGACACCACCGGCTCTCTCGCCCACCTCTTCGACGCAAAGATGGAAGGGAAAGAAAAAAACCCCAAGCCGGCTCACAGACACCGGCCACTCCACCCTGGCACTACTGCCTACATCTGATCAAGTAACTGTAATGGTCTATTATTAGTTGTGGGGGTGGGAATGCTTGCCACTAACCGCCCAAGGTTTTCACGATTACAAAAGGTGGTACTGTAAATATACGCGATACTGTGTCGATCACGTTCTGGCTTCTTAAAACTTCGCATGACCGAATTCAACATCAAACTGGGGCGACGTTTCGCTCAAACTGCTTTGAGTTTCGCCAGGTACTGTGTGTGGTCTTACTTGCAAATCTAGCCTGTGGCCGAAGGTCGCTCTCTCTCTCTCTCTCTGCTTGCACTACACTCTCATCGTCTCCCTCCCTCTCCTGGAGCCTCGCGGCCGTGAGTGCAAGCAAGATCGGCCTCGCCGTGAGTGCAAGCAAGATCGGCCTCGCCGTAAGCGCTCACCTGCTCGCAGGACGAGACGACAGGTCGGACGCAACGAGGAAGTCGGCGGTCTCCCTACTTCTTCACACCTGGAGCTGCGTGTGTGGGCGGTCACCTGTGCACGCCCACACACACATCTACACGTCGACACGTGCACGCCCCACACACCTCTACACGTCAACACGTGCACGCCCCACACACCTGTACACGTGTACACGAGTGCACGCCCCACACACCGGTACACGTGTACACGTGTGCACGCCCCACACACCTGTACACGTGTACACGTGTACACGTGTGCACGCCCCACACACCTGTACACGTGTGCACGCCCCACACACCTGTACACGTGTGCACGCCCCACACACCTGTACACGTGTACACGTGTGCACGCCCCACACACCTGTACACGTGTGCACGCCCCACACACCTGTACACGTGTACACGTGTGCACGCCCCACACACCTGTACACGTGTGCACGCCCCACACACCGGTACACCTGTGCACGCCACACACACCTGTACACACCCACACACACAAAGACCCCCTCCACCACCGCCCGAGTGTTTAACACACCGGGACCTAGTTACGCATTTAAGGCTGAGTCGACCTAGGGTAATCCCACAACAAGTTTATGTGTTCGTCGTCGATGTTGACTGCGAGCGGAAAACGAACTCGGTTGGGCGGGTTCGTAGCGTGGTGCGCTAACCGCTGCACCACCGCTCCTCTTTGTAGAACATTTTAAACAAACTCACACCTGGATACTACCATGCGGTGCGAGCCTCCGTCTCACCTGTAGTGAGTCCAGGCGTGGTGGTGCACACCTGTGAGACGGCGCTTTTGAAGGCAAGGGTTGGTGGATCACGGAGAGATTCGTGAAGCTCCCAACGCCTCCCCTCCCCCTCCCGTGTGTCCCTGCAAGTCTCTACGGGCTGCCGAGTGTTAGCTCCTGGCGCACGTGGTGGGGTTTCTCCAGGTGCTCTGCATTGCCCCCACGCGAAGCAAAACGCCGAACATCCCAATGCAGAGGAGACTCGATTGTCGACTTACTGCGGCTTTTATGGACAATTCGATTAAATACGATGATGATGATGATAGTGCTTGCTTATGAACCGAATTCAACATTGGCTGAGAAACGGTAGATGTTGATACACTGCATATGCGCCCGGGAATTTGAGTTCTTATAAAATAATTAACCACGCGCACTAATCATTGACTGGGCCGCCCTTCGTCGTCGTCTGTGCGTGTGTGTCACACTCCAGTCGAGTGCTACAGCCGAGTGTGTGTGTGACAGTGGAGTGTTTTTAAGTGTGTGTGTGTTTTATTAGCGTGTGTGTGTGTGTGCCTTACATAGCGCGTATTTTATAGCGAGCCGTCTACGTTGGACTGTGTGGGGTTATCAGCAAGGTTTGTGCAACAATTCATTGACTCAGCGGGTTCGGGTGTTTGGCCAGAAACCACTCGAGCTGAGAGATGGGAGAGGGGGGCTCCGTTGCCTGGAGTGACGGCAGCGGCCTCACTCCACGTGGCCGCGGGGAGACGCCACGGGGCGGGGCTTAGGCGCTCGGAGGGCGGGGCTTAGCGCCTGAGGGGCGGAGTCCCCCGGCGCAGCAAGGATGATTCGTCGTTGTGTGATTGGCTGGCCGTGCAAGGTGGGGGGAGGGCGGGGGAAGAGGGCTCTCCCCCTCACCCCGAATCTCCAGGCTCCACGAGGCGGCCCCCCAACCCCTCCCGAGTGTCCAGAGTCGATGCAGGAGACACGTGTGTTGAGTCGGGCACGTGTGTTGAGTCGGGCACGTGTGTTGAGACGGGCACGTGTGTTGAGTCGGGCACGTGTGTTGAGTTGAAACGGGCACGTGTGTTTGCGGCGGGCACGTGTGTTGAGGCGGGGTCGTGTGTTGCGGCGGTCACGTATGTTGAGTTGAGACGGGCACGTGTGTTGCGGCGGGCACGTGTGTTGAGTCGAGTCGGACACGTGTGTTGCGTCCAACACGTGTTGCGGCGGGAGCGTGTTACGGCGGTCAAACACACACACAGTCAGCTGGCATAGCCGTTGCTGAGCAAAAACTGGCATAGCTGGCTCAGCTGGTAGTTTGGCAAAGCTGTTCAGCTGGTACAGCTGAGCAGGTTTCTGAATCTGAATATTGATTCTGGAGGAATGCGATGAGCTCTGAAGCTCTTTTTCACAGATGTCCCGTTGGGACGGCTCAGAACGTTACAACAAAAACACGATAGGAGTGTAGCATATAGGAAAGATAAACAAATCACTTTAGAAAAGATATGTAAAAATAAACGATTTTTTTTGTCTGACCAGGTAAACCCACTGAGCTATTAACTTGTTTTTCAGAAGCGACCTGGACACAAATTATAGGTCAACAAAGTGGCATACCACGTGTACATTTATGGCAGCAATCACCTTCCGTGCAGCTTCCCGCACTATATACTATATCGTAACCGGTCCACGTGATGATAGCAAATGGACAAGGCTGGTAACGAAATGGCAGCCAAAGGAGGGCAACGCGCCCGAGAGAATGACCGCCTCGGAGATGGGGCGATGAGAAGGAGCTTCGTTGTGTGGGCGCGAGATGGATTGCGCCATCGCAGAACTTCGAGATGTTGATGGCGTGGGGGGTGCCTTCACTTAGCAGTGGATCGATCATGGCTGACGATGAACCGGCAGCGGGCTTTGCTCGCTTTCTTCTGGATATCCGGCTTTAGCGTCCACTCCACCAGAGGCGAATTACGAGGTTCACCGATTATGCCGATCGTGTATTTGTAAATATTTATCACGAGACATAGGTGATAGAACTTTAGGCCAATTCTGATCTGCCCTATGAGTGAATCCGTAAATGTTGGTTTTCGAATTTCCCCCCATATATTTGAGTCCAATATTGGCTTTGTAGCACTGAATGTAGAATTGACACCACTCTATTGCACATGCAATATTGTGGGATTATTGAATAAAAAAACACACATCTTTATATTCTGCATAGAAGGCGAACAAGGGTGAGGAATGAATTCAAACAATAAGCTCAAGATGCAACGTTTCCTGGTAGTGCTTTAGATTACACAAGCGATAGTCAAATACAAACAACGCCATCTGACTCACCCCAAAATCCCCCGCCTACAGGATTTACATCATTGTATACAAATAAATGATTGACAAACCAACCTTTCTTTCAGTGTGCAACAGAAGTGAACTACAGCACAGACATCAGTGACAGTAATACGCTCTGGTTGTGGGACTCTTGTATAATGGACTGAGGTCAGAGAGTTCCAAGGTATGATTTCCCACTTGTGCTAGGCTGGCTTAAGAGTATGGATTATTAGCGTAAGGCACTAACCAATAGAGTACATAGTACGCTGATGAATAGCAATCCTATATTATTGTCCTGTCACAATATAAACTAGATTCAGAAAAAATAAGGCGATATGGATGTGGCGTGTTAAAATGAGTCCCGGATTAGAATTCGAGACTGCTCCGGCTGAGTTAAGGCCTGGAGAGTTCCATTATTAAAGGTTTAACACGTAGACTTTTGCGACCAATATCCAAAATAAAGGGGTTTTTGGGGTTAGATTGCGTAAATATAAATGTGTCGTTACCCACCACCATCGGGCACAGCCCATTAGTAAGGTTTGTCACGTAAAGGAAACACGCCAATGTGTTACTCCGTCAGCATACCGGTGTGTTGGAGAGTAAACCCACAACATGCACCTCCGATTTGTACGTTTGGCGTACGTACGGTGCAAAAGAACTTCAACATACATACAATACAACATTTATCCATTATTAGAACAGATAGTTCTACACAACTACTGTGGCATGTGCACACTATCAGAACCCCTGCTGATACACTTGTGAATGGACCGCACTGTTGTACAAATACTCATCTACAAGCCTTTGTCTGGTTTATTTTGTTTAGCCGGGTGAGAACTCAAGAGACAGAGAAAGTCTCATTTGCAACAGTGACCAGGTTAATTAAAATTACAAAAGCAATAACAAGGAACTAAGTACAACAATGAATCAAAAATAAATCAGTGAAATAACAAAATACAAATCAAAGCAAAAACAATTGCATTACAGAAGAAATCGAAAATACAGCACGAACTGACGAACATAAATCAATACCGTATTAAATGAAAGCAACTTTCTGTAACGTATGTTGTCTCGGAAAAAAAACTCCTAAACGACGTTTATAGTCAAATTTTATTTGAGAAATATTCACCTGGAATAAAGTTGAGTATCGCACTCGTATTTAAACATACGAGGACATGACATACATGACAAAGTTGGATTAATGCCGATGCCGATGATGATGGTTCCTCGACGATACTTCACCGCGCTGGTCCGTGCGGGTTGGTGAAGGCGATAACCCCACACAGTTATTGCATCTTGCCCGTGGGTAGCAATGTTCTCAAGGCACGGCATGGCCTAGTTCCGCGGGGAATGCGAGGAATGCAGCAACTTTGAAAGGGTGCCAGGAGGCGAGACGGAGAGCCAGGAGGCGAGACGGATGAATGCCATCGCTAGATAATGACCCGCGGGTCCCGTCTATCAGTGGCGGCAGAACACGAAGTCAACTTTTGCTGTCCGACGCTCAGAGACCCCCCCCCCCCCACTCCCAGGGACAAGCCCGTCCAGGTGAGGTGTCCGTGCAACAGGTGAGTGAAGGGTGAATGAGTGGGTTGGGGGGGAAGTTGGTGGGGCAGTCAGACAATTGAGACGCACGCATACAGACATGGAGACGCAGGTTATGGAGCAACCGGAGATAACCAGATATGAGAGATACACACTAACGAACATGTTCACAGACTGGTACCCACGCTAAACATACAGGGCGGACGGGAAGTCTCCATATCCCTTTACCTCTGTGTTCAAGTAGAACATGGTGAGGCGCGGGTATAGGGACTTCTCGCCCACCCTCTACACTCTACAGGCATGCACACCGAGATAGAAGGTGAGATAAACATACCCAACACACAAAGACTCGCACACACATATATACACACACAAGCCTGACCGACAAAAATACATGCATACAAACAAAACAAAGATCTCCCGTATAGTCTTAATAAACCGGTTGGGGCAAATGCTGTGAGCGAGCACTTATGAAGTCCAGAATGGCACACGAGGGGGTGGGGTGGGTGGCCAGCATCACGCTCGAACGCCTTTGTCTCCTCAGTCGCGATGTTTACACGCCGCACCAGATACTCATTGAGGCTGAGTCGACCTAGTGAAGGCCCAGGACCAGTTCAGATAATCGTCACTGGTGTTGGCCGTGAGTGAGAATCGAACTCGGGTATTTGGTTTCGTAGCGCAGCATGTCAACCGCTATGCCACCGCTCTCCACACAATCGCAATACACTGGCTTGGCTTTATGTCTATCTATCTCTATGGGTTTATATGTATCTATGTGTCTCTGGGTTTACTGTAAGGTCCTTAGTTTGGGTGGCATGGCCGTGAATTGTGTTTAATGTGTCTATATGGGTCTCTGTATCTTTATTTGTCTCTATGTAACTCCGTGTAGTCAATATGTACGTCTTTGTGCCTCTAGAGGTTTACTGCGTGGTCTGTAGTTTGGGTTGCATGGCCGTGAATTGTCTTTAATGTGTCTATATGGGTCTCTGTGTCTTTATTTGTCTCTACAGTATGTTTCTCCAGAGGTTTACTGCGTGGTCTGTAGTTTGGGATGCATGGCCACAGTCGCGCTCCATTGGCTTGTGTCTGTAATTTCCCATGTACGCAGGAGATGTGCTCATCGGCTGTTGACGATGTTCCGATGTGGTTGATGGTTCCACCGGTGCCAATTCAGAAACTGAATATTTATTTATACTGGAGGAATACGATGAGCTTTCAAGCTCTTTTTTCACAGATGCCCAGTAGGGACTGATCAGAACGTTACAACAACAATAAACACTCTATGAGTGCAAAGTTTATGAAAGGTTAGCAAATCACACAAAAATATATACAAAGCACTAAACTGTTTTATTTTACAAGGCAAAGCCCACTGAGCTATTGGCTTCCTGGGATTACACACCGCCCCGTACTGCCATGCAACTTGACAGGGCCCTCCTGACAAAAGAGTATTGGGACTCGCTGAGCCTTTACTGGGGCAACATGGCAACGAAACATAATCTTGTTAATTAAACGATTGTAAAATTCATCATGAGGCCTCCTTTGCCAGTACCAAAATATAATAATAGGGTCTTTCCCTTCCGTGCGCCTTTTGACGTCATCTGGTCGAACACCGTATGAGACTAGGCTCTAAGGAAAGCTGTCTCTGGTGTGGACCAATCCGTTTCAAGGACAATGCATAAATTATTTTTTGTTTGGATTCTGACTGCAAGTATTGTGGTTAATGTTAACATGATTCCTTGCAAAAGGTTTCAGTTTTGTCGCCAGAAAAAAGGAGAAAACCCCTATTATTGATTGTTAATTCGTTGCTCACAAGAGGCATTACGTTATTGTGAAACATTCCTTGAGGCCCCTGTAACTCGCTCTCTGCAATATTGAGGGCTTTTTTCCTTCGTTCCATTGCTGCCGCGGTCACGGACTCGGGAAACTGGCTAAAAGGAGGGTCCCTTAATTCGTGGTAAGAAAAAAATACGTACGGTGCTATCTTACCTATATTTGGTGTTTAAACATCTTTACACATCTCTCTGGTGTAGGCCAATCAGTCTCAAAGACAATGCATATATTGCTACACTATGTAACACAATTTTTGTTCCTGGGTACTAAGTGTTAATTTTGTATTGCTTATGTCTAAAAGTATAGAAACTGGCTATTATTCCTCACAAACTTTGCTTTTGTGACCAGGGCTTTACGTGAACGAAAAACACAAAGTCGCCCGTCTTCTCATTGAAAATAAGTACATTTCAAAATATCATTGTCTTGGTCACAAAAGCAAAGTTTGCGGGGAATAATAGCAATTTTTTGTACTTTTGAGGCATAAGCAATTAGGAAATAACACTTCATACCCAGGAACATTTATTTTGTTACAGTGTTATCAGAACACGTTTTGTTTGCATGCTCACCACACGTAGTGTGTGTGGTTAATGCTGACTTGCCGCCTTGCAAAATGCATCTATTTGGTGTTTGAACATCTTAACGCTTCCTGTTTTATTGCCAGAAAGGCTAAAACCTACTCTTGTTTTTTTTATTTTACAAGCTTTTATTTAACTCACTCTGTTGTTGTCGTATCCTCAAATCTTGTAACGAAATTTTAACCCACTTCCCAATGTGGTATCGACTGCAAACTTAGTATACGTATGTCATACTGATGACAATACTATATTCTATCATAAAAAAATTAAGCAATCATTGTTTATATGTTATGTTTCGGCTTGGGTCTAAGTAAACTCACGTTGGCTGTAAATCACCACGGTTCCTTACGTTATGGCAAGCTTCGGGCCCACTTCCTGGAGTTCTGCCATTACTCGTACGGTACATTTCATTAAAGCGTGTTTTAAAAAAAGTTTTTTTTAAATATTACTTATTCATTCACTTTCCACGGGATCTTTAAACTTTGTGAGCGCAGCGTCGATGGAGTCACAGCGCCACCTGCCCTCAGCAGCCGCACCAAGGCAAAGCGTCAGTCGCCGTCCGTTCGATCTGCCTCCAGCCATATCGATCCGGATCAAATAAACAAACAACAACGCGATCGATAATTCTCGTTCACGTAGCTCCGCAACTCGGCCCCGTTCTCTTCGTGCCTCTATGCGTTCACACACTCTCACTTTGCTGATGTTGCTGATGTTACTTCTGCTGTGTTCTGGAGGATTTGCACGAAATCTCTCCCAAGCGATCGATCCCGACGTGCGCGCGTTGTCTCTGCGTGGGATCGGGAACGCGATCACCGATTGATCGATTGACGCGATCGCTCCAATGCGCCATCGCGAGTCATCAATGAACGGCTTCGTTCGTGCCCCGCGTTGCGATACAAACACCGCGATGGATCAACCCAAACGACGCCTCCCACGATATCGAGGACTCTAGTTGGAATCGGTGCGAGGGAGAATCGATACCCGACTCGTAGTCGCGTATCGGCGGCGAGTAACGGAGCGCACCCCCCCCCCCCTCGTGCCCCCCCCTCGTGTCTACCTCTACCCCCCCCATCTCCCGCTGCCCCCCACCTCCCTCTACCCCCCCCCCCCATTTCCCTCTGCCCCCCCCCCGTGTCTCCCCTGCCCCCCCACCTCCCCCTGCCCCCCCATCTCCCTCTACCCCCCCACCTCCACCTGCCCCCCCCACCTCCCCCTGCCCCCCCCACCTCCCCCTGCCCCCCACCTCCCCCTGCCCCCCCACCTCCCCCTGCCCCCCCCCACCTCCCCCTGCCCCCCCCCACCTCCCCCTGCCCCCCCCCACCTCCCCCTGCCCCCCCCGTGTCTCCCCGGACCCCCCCCCCTGCCGCCCCATGGCCGCCGCTGCCACCACCGTCCCGGGCCTCGCTCCTTGGCGCCGCCGCCGCCGCCTTTGAGGCGGCCCCCGCTGCCGCAGCGGTGAGGACATCTCCCCTCCTCCACCTTCCCCTCCTCCTCCACCTCCTCCTCCATCACGAGTGAGCAGCAGCAGCAGGAGGAGGCGGCGGTCGCGAGGGCAGTCGCCTGGGTCGGTGGTCGCTGTGGGGCGCGGTAGTGTCGTGGTTGGCGCGCACGGCGCTCCGAAGGCGGCGAGCCCGAGAGGCGCGAGAGCCTCGCGCTGGGTCCACTCGGCTTCGCACGGGGAGCTGGCGCCACGCGTATACACCGCCGCGAGGGAGACAAAGGCGGCCGGGCGCCGTGCTGGCCACACACCCCGTGCCGTGTGCCGTGTTGGCCCTTCGTAGGGGCTCACGGAACCATCAGTCTGCTCCGGCTATACGGGGGGTGGGGGCATCTTTGTCTTTTGCTGGTAGTGATGATGATGGTGGTGGCGATGATGGTAGTGATGATGGTGGTGGTGATGATGATGATGGTAGTGATGATGATTGTAGTGATGGTGGTGGTAGTGATGATGATGATGATGGTGGCGATGATGGTAGTGATGATGGTGGTAGTGATGATGGTGGTGATGATGATGATGATAGTGTTGATGATGATGGTAGTGATGATTGTAGTGATGATGGTGGTGGTGGAAGTGACGCTAGTGATCGTGATTGGTGATGGTTGTTGATAGTGGTAGGGATGCTGGTAGTGGCGGTGTTTATGATGTTGATGGTGAGGATGGTATTTGGGTGGTCGTGGATACTGGTTATGGAAGCGATGCTGATGTTCAGATGGTGGTGATGGGGGTAGTGATGATGGTGGGTGGTGATGTTGATCATGGCGGTCGTAGGCATGATGGTCATTGCGATAGTGGTAACGATTGTGGGGTTAGCAAGTGATGATTGAGAGTTTTCGCGGATATTCACGAGATGTTTGTGATGGAGTGATGGCTTAGACGACGGCGGTAATGTTGGTTAAACGTGAACGTTCATTTATTAGACTGATCGCGGGGCAGAGTGAGAGTTGAGAGCTGTCATCCTGATTGCGGGAGTTGAAGTGTCAACCTCGTGCATCGCTTGGGATGGGAGAGGAATGGGGGTTTGCATTACTTCCACAAGTTTTCGCAGGGCGACATCTAAACACATGGCGCTATGCAGCATGTGTCCTTGACGCGTCTCGCCGAGTCTGGAGGAGCACGGGGCGATGACAGAACGACTGCTGCAGGAATGTCGCTTTGATTGTCGCGGTTCCGCGTGTTGTGCGCCAGAGGGCAGTGCAGTCAACTTTAAAAACAATTTCCACAGGTAAGGCCCACTGATCTATATAGCTCTTTTTCAGAAGCCGACCTCAACAGATATGGCTTATCATGTGGAAATGTATAGCAGCCAGATACTGTACTCCCAACGCACGTTTATAAATGTGGAGGGGAAAACTCGAGGACAGAAAAATCCACGCGACCATGTGGAGAACATGAAAACTCCAAATATACAGGCGGTCAGGGTTGGGATCAGTCCCACGACCTCCTTCATACTAGGCGAGGTAATTAACATCTCGCAAAAAAATGTAAATTTATTGTAAAAACAACCCCGACAACCTGAACGGTGTGGGGAGACCCTCATCCAACAGTGGATTAACAATTCTCTCATCATCCCAATCTCCCTGCAGGTGCTTGGGAGGAGAGGCCTCGTCATGGGCGAGTGGGGGCCGTGGGCCAACGAACAGGCGCTCGCCTCGGGCCTCATCCTGGCGGCGGGGGGGCTGGTGGCGGTCGCGGGCCGCTTCAGCAGCTGGGGCCTCGCTGCCTACGCCGTCGCGGCCGGGGCCCTGGTCGTGCTGCTCGAGTACCCGCGCGGTCAGGCGGCCTCGGGCGGCACCGTGGAGCGCGACGGCCAGCGCTTGGTGACGGCGGCCGTGGCGGCCCTGGGCCCTCTGTCCAGGAGCTACTACGCGCGGGCCGCGCTGCACATGTCCCTGGCCGTCCCCGGAGGCCTGCTGCTCTCTACCGTGCTGGGGGCCATCTGCCTCGCTATCGCCAGCCTCGTCTACCTGGTGGCGGCCATAAAGGGCGAGGTGTGGAGGCCCGTCGGCAGCCGTGGAGTGGCAAGCTGGCGGGGGACGCGGAGGGAGCCGCCCGGAGCCCCTTCGCCCGTGGAGATGGGACAGCTCAACGAGACTGCGGTGGTCGTGCCTGCCCTGGTGCACGCCACGGCGCTAGATATCAGCTCCATGTAACACTATTCTATTTAAGCACCACCCCCCTTCCCACCGTTTCTCCGTTCTCTGCGGTGTTGGCATGTGACGTGTGAACAGGCGTGTGGGAATGATTTGGAATCTGGGCAGGCGAGAAGCCACTGGGGCGCCTTGTTAAATAGCCAAGGGGGGAACCTTGAGGTGGCACAGTAAATGGCTTGGGCCCCCTGTACAAAAGTTGAAAGTGCACCACTGTGCCTCCCTGCTGCTGGTGTTCCCACACCTATGTTTTGCACAAGAATATGGATGAATCTGCATATTTTTTTAGGCAGATGAGTGTTGACGATAACTATTAACTGTGGATTTCTTGCCCAGCTTAATCCAGTCTGATTTTATAATTTTATAAAGTATTTCTATAGCTATTATATAAACCCGTATGCAATTAGCAGTGTTCACTTTTTACATTTGCAAGCCACTGAACTGGCAAATTAGTCTGTTGTACTCAATACTGTAGTGCCTTTGTTATACCTGATAGTTTACCTTGCATTCATATTATATGATACTAGTTTACAAAGAGCTGTCACTTTGTTTTCAATACACTTTGGCATTTTAAACTGCGAGTGACATTCAAATTATTCGACGACACTACCTGTGCTGTTCTGTTCCCTTTCTACAGTGTTATCACTCGCCACATAAGCTAGCATATTTTTACTTGCACCACCGAGCCTGCTGCACATGGTTTTAAGGACATGGGCATTTGTAAGCATCTAAATTACTGGCTATCCACCCACCCATCACAGTGCCTTTTTCCTCCGTGTCCTCCTCATGGGCTTGCAGCTGTGTGGCCTGAGTCCAGCGCAAGGAGAGCGTTGCCTGGAAGGAACCAATAGCAGAGCAGAACCGCTGCTTGATGCGCTGGATAGCAGCACTCCATGTGGAGGCACACTCTAATGATGGAGCTGTAGCGGGATTAGCGAGGAGTGTGCGAGACCCCAGTTTCTGTTGTCCATCACAGCTGTCTCAACTACCCTTGCCCTCATTGTCTGGGGTGAGTGGAACACACCGTCAGGGGTCTATAAAATACTTTTGAGTGCTGCATGATATTAAAAGTGCTTTAATATGTACATCATGAAGTTGCTTGACCTATGCATTTACAATAAAGATTAATTATATAATGTTTTGGGCTTAAATAGTGTGTCATTTAAAATGCTTTGTAACTGTCAGATTTCTTGTAAAAGTACATTTTAATGCAGTAGAACCTATACGAGTTGTAATGTGAAAAAAACAAAACATGCAGTTCAATATTGAGATTATTGGTAGAACTTATTCTCTGCTGAGGAATAACCCGATACCAAAAAAATGCAGACAGTCCATGAATGGAGGGACTTGATAATGCTGCCAATGGAAAGGCACCAATCCCCCAGCAGGCAAATGTCCATCAAATGACAATATATTTGTGGATGGTAGCCCGGGCCATATCAGGGTTGCCGCTGCTCTGGTAGATCAAGGAGAGGTTGTATGCAGCCTCCCTCCTCAAGTCCAGCTGCTGTGGATCCATTCCCTGGAACGAGTACAAAACTTTCAAAAACAGTCTTTTGTCAAATCAACGACTGGATGAAGGCTTCCCCATGCCATGTCGGCTTGCGGCTCTGCTGCCTCCCCTCCAAGTTTACGATGGCAGATAAAACCACCAAAGCTCATGTATTTATTTTAACGTTTTAACATTTCTCACATGGCAAACGGATAAATTATGCCACCGAAAGCATGCCTTCAATGTTACAAGCACATTGCAAATTCGTGCGTGGTTCACCTGGCACTCTGGGGGCGGGCAGGCGAGGGTCTGCTGGTAGTAGTGGATGGCGAGGTGGGTGAGGCCCAGCTGATGGAGAGCACGGCCCACGTTGTAGTAGCTCTCCTGCCCATGGCCACGCAGCTCCAGGTACTGCATCAAGAAGGAAAACCCCTGCAAGCACAAGCCGCACATCCTCCCTGAGCAACGGCATGGGCTGTGCCATTTGGGCAAGGAGCAATTCATTGATTAAAATAGGTAATTGTGCTTCTGATAATCGATTCTTCTTAATTCATGCAAATTGAATATAAATTACACAGGCTAACGGTTGAAGCAAATTAAATGGGATAAATTAAAGCCCAAGACAAAAAACTATTGATTATTGGAATAAAATGTGACAATAAATGGTGGCAATGTATTTATTTACAGGAGGTAAATCGTTACATGACTCGTTTCAATGCATCATCAGTTTATGAGTGTCAGGTCGTCTGCTTGGTTTGTATTGGTTACTCAGTCACTTTGGGTGGCCGCCTAGTTATCGACTTTGAAAAAGTCAAACGTCACCTTGTAGTCGAGCTATGGCTGCAACAACACGATGTGCATCATAACCTGAATGATGAGCGGATGCCTTTTGTTGGCGAACTTCTGAGATGCCATATGAACAAAGGTTAGGCCGATACACAGGCAGAACATGGGCTCCTTCGTGTTAGTCCTGTAGGCCTGAACATATTGCCCTGAAATGAGAAACATGACAACGTAATGGGCAAAAGACGCAGATGAAATCTCACGCCTCGTGCATCTCGAATACGGCATCTCGGCGCCTGTGCCTGACTAGCGCTGTCTGCATGAACACTCACCCAGTGCGTGTTTGAAGCTTCCAGCCACAAACGCGTTGTGCCCATTGAGAATACATAGCGGCAAGTTGTTTGGGTTCTTCAGCAAGAGGCGCAGGCAGAACCGATGGTGTCTGATGTCCTGGGAGTTTGCCGTTATCTGGTTGAAGATGTTCCAAAGCTGCGGCTTGTTTAAATTCTCCATGAGGATGATTCTACGAGTTAACAGGGTTATATTATTACAGTTTTCCATTTTTGAAATCTAGGTTCATCATTAAAGATAACCAATTCTAGTACCTGATGGCGCCATACATAACAACGTTTAAATAACTGTGATGCGGTCGCTAACCGAATGTAGTTGTACGCCTTGCGGAAGTTTTTGCTGAGGAATGCAGCGGAGAGTCCGAGGCTCTCTAGCTCCTTGCGCTTGGGCCGGTCCTCGTAGAAGTAGTAGAACTCCAGGCCGGTGTCGCACAATAACTCGGCCTCGTCGTGGCGGCCCAGGTTGGCCAGCTCGCACACGGCCCTTTGCAGCAGGTCCCACCAGATCTCTCGGCCCAGCAGGCTGGCCTTACCTGCCCGAACACAGGGGGATGAGAAAGGCTGGAGGACCTGAAGCTTGACGGTCAGTGGGTACAATAACAAGTCATAAAAGCGCAAATTTGCATAAATTATGTAACGCTTGCCAGCATGCATTCGTCTTTGAAGTAGAAAACCTTTTACCCATGACACGCCACGGGAATGGGAGTAGGATCAGTTGCAGAAAAGTGCAGAGGCCAAGACGACCAGAAAAGGGGGAAGACAGACATACAAAGAGGGCATTGCTCAAGATGAGCAGTAGAAAGAAAGAAAAAGCATCAGCCAGGAAGGGGGGGAGGATAAATGACTGGGCTGAGATGTCGGAGATAAGAGAGTGTTCAAATGGGAGGGAAGAGGGAGAAGGTGCAAGCAGAAGTGAGCTGCACAGAGCAGTGTCTGTGGGGAGAGGGCAGGGATTCAGGGGGGTGGTCACGCATAAGTCAAGTCCGTTACGAGAGACTTGAGTCGATTTAGATATATCCATGTAAATTCGCAGTGCCGAAACCGACGGAGCAAAATGCTAGATCTGTATTTGCAAACAGTCCATTTCCTTCGTTTTGCATCTCCAAATTTACGCTAACCCATCTGATCAATTTGGGCGGTTTTCTTATCATTACAGTAATGCCCCAGGGTTAAAAGGAACAGACAGGCAGACCTAATGCGGTCACGCATTGAACCTAAATTGAAAACTCCACCTTGCATGTTGTCCAGCACAGAGCTGGTGCCCTTCTTAGGCGTCTCGTCGGACCTCTTCAACAGGTAGAGGTGCCGGGCGCCATCCTTGGTGCTGGACACCACAGACACCTGCGACCTGACCATGGCCCCCTTCCAGCCATCGCACAGCCACAACACCGCACAGGTTCAACAAAACCTTCCGAGTAAACATAGATGTGCTCTCTGTAACGAGATACTTCCCCCAAAGGAACTTTGCATTGTGTTGCATGAAATCGCTAATCTTGGGAAAAACTAAATGTAATGATGATGCCAATGAGGTGAACGGATGGTTATCTTTACCTTCAGGAGCATCGAGAGTAACATGAGGTGTGTGTCCACACAGTCGGCCATTTTCCGTTGAGAACATAGCAGAATTGATCGGTGCAACAGCAACTGAATTTCCTGAAAACACAAGAAATTCACGCTTTATTAGGAAAAACATCCTCAATTAAAAAAAAACTTTTTTTACGTCAGAGCTGATCATTATTTATATTTGTTGTGCTATGAAGGTCACTGCTCGAACCGTAACCTGTTGGAAACTTTTCCTTTTTAAGGCAGTGTTGTTGACGAATGTGTTGAATTATGTGATTATATGTATGTATGTAGGAGTGGGAGAACACCAAACTAAACACAAAAAGCAGTTCATGTTGAGTTTGTGCAGCACTTCCATTGCAAAGCACCAAATAATTAGTTTCATTATTTACCTGTTAGGTTAATTATATTATTTGCAGTAGCTCAACAAATATACGTAGAAACATTCATGGGCAAATTAGATTATATGGCCTGGGGTAGCGCTGCATGGCCCTGGTTGTGATCTGGTGAAGTCCTTGTTTAGCATTTCACTGCATCTTCTCAGCAATGTCACAGCACCTTAGTGTGTCCTGGGGTCTGCTAGTGGCTCGAGAGGTTCTACTAGTCCGGACAGACCTGCTTTGCGGTGTCCTCGCAGTCAGACAGCTCGTCTGTGTGTGGGGCGTTGAGGGCCTCCAGCGCCTTCTCGGGCTGGCCCAGCTGCTGCTGCAGCGCGGACAGAGACATCCGGGCTCCCAGGTGCATGGGGGCAAGGGCCACCACCTGGTTGTAGCTCTCGGCAGCCCGCTGCGTCAGGCCCAATGCATTCAGGCACTCTGCGCAGGTGGCACGGGGGAGGATAGAACGGAACGCCGTCGATATGACAAAAAATAACTATCCGCAGCGCAATCCACATATGGTGAAATAAAAGTGTGCGTATAATGTTATTTGGCCATTCACTTAATGTTAGATGAATGCCTCTTTGAAAGAATGAGGCATTCATCGCAATGACTTGAATTCTCTGTATAGCATAACTTTAAATCAGTAAGTTCGAGTGAGTGCAGGATCCTGAACTTGAAATTCTGCATTTGATATTGTATTTTTACAATATCCAATATCTGTACCTTTGGAACATATCGAATTGTGTTAAAACAAATTAAGCACTAGACGTGATTTATATCAAAACTACAAAACACTTAAGCACAAAATTAGATGTAAAAAAATATCCTTCTTTAGTGGTATCTCGTGTATTCAATTGTCCTACTATCTGTACAGCATGTTAAGGTATAGCTGCATTTACACACAACCTAGATAATTCCAGTTTTGTATAACTGCAGCGACCTTGCAGCACCTTTCACGATAACTTTCCTGAAGGACAACTCTAGCATTGGCAAAACTGACGGTGAAAATTATGAATGAGTGTTACGTGTTGGCGTGACGGCAGACAGACGGCAGCAGCGAGTCTGGCACTGGTGAAACTGACGGTGAAAATCATGAATGGGCGTCACGTGCCGGCATGACGGAGCCAGACGGCGGCGAGGTTGTATCGCTCGGAGCAGACAAGGGAGGCGAGCAGCGGCAGGGCCGAGTTGTACTCCCCGACCTCCAGGAAGGCCTCGGCTACGTCCAGGTAGAGGTCGCCCATGTCCTCGGGGTTTTGCTCCATCAGCCAGGAGACCAGCGTCTGTGACAAAACCACCCACGTCACGCGCGACCACGCCCACGGCGGATATGTACGCATCCACAGAAGAGGTGAGAGACTGAATCAAATCGCCCTGAATACACACAATCTCGTCAGAGCTCGGAAGCTAAGTAGGGTCGAACCTGAAAAGTGCTCGTATGGGCTAGTGACCGCCTTGCCTGAAACAGGTCTTATGGGCAAGAGAGCAGTGCAGCAAATACTATTTATTGTAATATGCTCCCAACGTCTATGCTCCCCACCGTTAACAAATGCGCACAGATCAGCGTGAAGTACGGTCAAATATGTCCCATGACCAACACTGTATGGGGAGGCCTCATCCAGCAGTGGATAAGGGCTGCACATGTACATAAAGGTGGTCTGGTTTTATGTTATGGCTCTAGACTGAGGTTTTACTATTGTGTTATTGTTTAGAAAATAACAAAAATGAAGACCTTCAAAAATCGAACGATATCGGCTGACACGTTGATTTTAATTTGGAGTTTAACTACATTTCTTTATAACATTTGTTCACTATTACAGTAAATACAATTGCAAGTAGGAGGGGGTGTTGCACTTACCTTAACTGGACCCATAATCTTCAGGTGAATGAGGCACACCATTAGTTTTGCCTTCACATCTACGGGGATGTTCTCTGGAATTGTGCACGACTTTATCTCTCCTGGAGACACACACAGCGGAGTTGCCACTTAGCCACTGACACCACACTCATGCGTGCAGCAGGTATGTATGTTGAATTTCTTTCGCACCATATGTAGCCAACCGTGCTAATCGGAGGTGTCAAAAATATCAAAGGTGCAGGGAGCTGATCGGACACATCAGCAGTTAACACATATTTACCTGCTTCAGCCTGTCCATCCTTTTCTTCTTCCAGGTTGATTTTTGCAAATTTTGTTATTACCTGCACCACACATTAAAACAATTTAATACAGGTGTTGACGATTAAATCCATGAAAATAACTGCATTGTCACAAGTCCAACCTGTAAATCAATGCTACTGGTGGTATGACAGCAGGCAAGCTTGTCCCTGTGTCTGAGCAGTGTGACAGGGTGGCAGCCGCACCTGCAATGCCTTCTCAAACTGCTTGCTGACAATGTACAGCTCTGCCGTCATGTGCAGATCCTCCATGGTGACCAGGTTTGGGTGCTTGAGCAGAGCATCTTCCATCAGACCAATGGCACCAGCCACGTCCTTGCTCTCGTAGTAACTCCTAATGGAGCCACACAGTCCAGTGTAACACGTTCGTGTGAAGCCCGGGACCAATCACTGAGCTCACGTTATTATGGATGCCGACATAATTCAGGAGACGTAGTACTGGGAAACTAAGAATCAATACTTCAAGTGGTTGTCCCTGAAAACTAGCATTTTTATATTCTCCCATGGCGACACATTTGTAACTGGTCAGGTGGCTCAGCAGAAGAGTGAGCTGCTCTCGTAATCAGAATGTTGCGAGTTCACATCCTGCTTGGGTGTTTAAAACCCATCATTCCCCTGGGGTCGATAAAATGAATACCACTTTGTGGGAAAGTCAATAATGGTTGTCCGATGGATAGACTCACCCACGATAGTAATGTGTAAATTCCACTACTGGCTCATGGCTGTAAACAGGAGATGAACACTGCCTCGATGCTCGTTTAAGCAGGAAATCACTTTGACTTCAGACGTGTAACACATGCATTGGTAACTACACCAGGAAAAGCACATCAGTAAAGAGTAAGAGTTTACTTGACTGGGTGTGAACTTGAGGCTACTGCATGGGCTATTTTGCAAAGCGAACCTAGATGCGATGGCCATGGAATTCAAATGGAGAGATAACACAAGCAGCCATGTATTTCAAGTGATCGTAAACATAGATGCAATGTGCAACAATACACATTATAACTAACAACAACCGCCATTCGCCACTAAGTGGCGGTGACATTACCAAGGCACCTGTGCCAGGCTATGTGCACTTTAAGGCCAAGTAAAGTATTGAATGCCCGCTGGAAGGTGGTCACGGGACAGACCTAGGTGCCAATCAATGGTCGACTGACTGAGAAACTAACAACTGCAACTAACAACGGCAATAAGTACGACAACCAATGGATTGCAGCGGACAGGCAGTTACGAGAGGTGAATGAAGTTAATGGATTAATGCAAAACAAAACAAATCCGCAAGAGCAAAAAACGTTCTAGGGTGAGGATCGAGTGACAGCGAGCTTGACTGTGCCGCTCACTTGGCCATGTCGCGGGTGATCTGCATGAAGTGTTCGCCCTCGGATTCCGGCAGCAGCGCCAGGATGCGCCGGTAGCCATCCATGGCCTGCTTGTGCTCTCCCAGCTGCTCGTAGAGGTTGGATCGCTCCCACAGATACTGAGTGTTGCTCGGCGAGTACTTGATGGCTGCCAGGGAAGAAAAGGAAGTGACGTCTCGAGTGTGTTATGTTTATAATGATGTTTGGTGTATAGAAGACTAGTATGTATTACATTATCTGTCAAACTGTAAACAAATTTTCGTTAAATATAAATTGTTTTTATTTTAACAGGTAAGGCCTATCGAGCTATTCAGCTCTTTTCAGAAGCCATTTGGCCCACAAATGATAGCTCAACAAAGTGGCTTATGAAGTGGAAATTTATAGCAGCCAAATGCTATAAATGCACGTTGATTCTAAAAGTGGAGCGAAAAACAGGAGGAACCTGAGAAAAATGCACACATCCACGGAGAGAACATGCAATCTCCAAATATACAGGTGTCAGGGTCGGGATCAAACCCACAACCTCTTGCATACCAAGTAAAGGAGTAAACATCTCGCCACCGAGATGTTATCTGGACTAAAGGTTATAGATGAGCATGGTGGCGCACAGCTGTAATATATCACGTTGGAAGTAAGATTGAGTGGATCGTGGATGGAATGACCAAACATTTCCATGCAAGGCCCTGATGACACAGTGTCTTAAGACGCAATGAGGCACTTCAAGATAAATTAATTTCACGTAGTCACTGCTGGATGAGGGTCTCTCCACACCTTGTCGGGTATGGGGCAAGTGTTTGACCAAATGCTGGCCAGCGAGGGCAAGTTAAGACTGACAAAATGGTGTAAATGAATTAATTACATTATTTGAAGGTTTGCATTCCCCACCTTTGGTGTAACAGAAAATGGCTTGCTTGATGTTGTCCTGCTCCAAGGAGAGCTCGGCGAGTTTGACCCATTCCTCGGGGTCGCTGGGGTTCAGGTAGGCGGCGATGAGGCCGAACTGCAGAGACTTCTCCATGTCCCCACAGTCCTCGTACAACATGGCCAGCGTGGAGAAGGGCTCATGGGCCAATGGAGCTGCCACACACACAGAAAAACGATGATTAATCGGTCGATCAGAAGCAGAATGTTTATTCATGTGGCGATGCAATGCCTGCAGCCATTAATCGGCAAGCACTGAAAGATTAATCATGGGAAGATAAAAGATTTTGATAATAGAGCAAAAGATTACAATAGTTTGTCATTATTCACTTTCCCCAATTATCATTGTTGTCGACTCCCTGCTGCTGTTCAGGTCAAGGCTCAAGACGTTCCTTTTGTCCCTATGTCTATGACTGACCACCTCTCTTTATTAAATAAATGTGCCCACTGTCTCTGTACAGCATCTTGAAATACAGTTGCATTTAGGCACAACATAAATCCAAACTGTATTGTATTATCGCACCATCAATTACAAAAACACACGACTGTTTTAATCTGATGCTTGCACAGACGTCTGCTCTTACAGCACTGGATAAATAATCATTCTTAAGAGAGATTTGAGTGCCTCTGCGGTGAAACAAACTATCCCATGTGTCCACAATTAACGAACCACATACCTTGCCGAATAATTTCCATGCACATCTTGATGGTTTCCTCGTGTTCGCCACGTGCAAAACGAATATTTGCCTCTCCCATCAAGCCTCGCAGTACCTTTGGGAGTTTGCTCCGTGGAAGTCTTTCCTATCCAGGATAAAAAAGTAGAAATTTAGCATTACAAACATTTCTTTAAAACACAACAATCCCCTACGGATGAACTCTGAGCACAGGCGAGCTCACATTGTAAATGCAAAGGCTTTCTCTCGCTCAATTAAAACAAACCTTTTGCAAGCGTTTGTGCTCCCTCTGCAGCTCCATCTCGAGAGCAAAGACATCTCCTGTCTCGAGGTCCTCGTTGTCTGCCACCTCCTCCTCGCTCCCCGTCACACGGTTCTCCATCATCAGGTCAAAGGCCCTCTGCACCTTCTTGCTGACGCCATCTGCAGCCTCGTCTATTGCGACATCGGATAGCGCTCGCAGCTCAACAACGATCAGCATAACGGCGCAGCTGCAGTTTAATTTATGAACATTTATCATTCAATACACAAGACTACGACGATCTACAAAAGACATTACATCATATAAGAATGATTCTTAATGGGATTAAAGTGTGTTATTGTTGACCGATTAATCCTTATATGCTGTATACTAATGTATCCATACATCAGAATCAGAATATTTATTTATACAGCAATGGGTGTTTACAGCACAAGAGCGCTCACAAAAAGACAGTACGACAGAGTTCAACCGCTATGCCTCATGCATCATTTCCACTGATGCTGGACACCGTTTTCGTGGAATTTTAAATGTGAAGCAGGCAGTGAACTTGGCAGGGCAACACTCTGTGGATGAGTTCATGGTGCTGTGGTTGGGATGTCAGTGACGGGGGTAAATGCCCACTCTAGACCCCTGTGTGCAAGTCAGCACTTTGCACCATGGCAGCCACGCATTAAGTGCTTTGTCCATGACCCCTTCAAATAGATTCAGGGATGAATTTCTCAATACGTTCTGGCTTGCAAGTTAACCAGATGCGGCACGTGACAAGGAGCCACAATCACAGCGGGCCGTATACTGGATGTTGTGTGCCACACGTGGAAATATGTTCTGCTTTGCCAACCTGCTCAGAACGGGTTGAAGTTAAGCCCTGTAAAGATACGAAAGCACACTGCCGGAGTGCTGGCACCCGGTCTCCCCAGCTCCCCCCCTCACCTGACGACCCGTCAGAGTCCGAGGGCTTGCGTGAGGCGACAACCTCCTGTAGACGAGGCCGACTTGAGCAGCCAGGCCGCTGGTCATCATCTTCTTCTCCTCCCACCAAGCCCTGCCGGCCCACAAGACAGCCGTCAACACTCACGCCTCGATGCAAGGCCGTATGCTGCTGCTCTCTTTAGACGCCTATAGCCACGGCTGCGGTGTGCGCACGTGCGTATTCGGCAGCGCAGTGACATGTTTCATACGTCATTACAAGACCACGAAAGACAGCACTGAGACCACGTGTAGCTAAGCTGAATGTAGCTGTGATTCAAGTGCTCATAGGCTGTCGCATGGCTCCGTGGTGACGTCGTCCACTCACAAAACATCGACATACATACTGATTTTTACGGTGTATCTGTAAAGTCACGTGTAAAGGCATTCTAAATAAAGTGCTCCTTTGACATCAACCTACTGCGTTATCGGAGCGTAATCATCCCTGCACGTGCGTGACTGTCCCAATGGGCAAAGTATCGTCCAGGCCATTAAAACTCTTCCTCTAATGCCTCCACAAGCGGCAAGCAGGGGGCGAGAGAACGGGGAAGACACAAACAAGGTCTTTCCAGGGTCCATGAATGGGAATTGTATGAAGGTTTTGCTTTACATTTGGAGTGGTGGCGCAGTGGTTCGCACACTGAACTCTGAACCTGTCGTCCTGAGTGGTGAGATCCAAGCCACGGCAAACATCGCTCCCAACTCATTTCCCTTGGACGCGTCTGCCACGGGGTTGGAGATAAACTTAGCTCGTGTGCAGGTGCCATGCTAACTATTATTACATGGAATGTGTTTTTTTTCATGTGTACAAGTGATTATATAGATTGAATTGGACAGGTAGGCTGGTATTGAACCGGGACTCGCTGCCTCGCCTGATGTGCAGGAGGTCGTGGGTTCAATCTCTACCCTGGCTCCTGTACATTTGGAGTTTGCATGTTCTCCCTGTGGTTGCGTGGATTTGTTTCGCTCCCCTATCCACATTTAAAATCAACACGCCGTTCAGATGATTTGGCTGCCATACGTTTACACAAACGCCACTTATTTGCCTATCATCATTTGTAATCGCCGGGTCGCTTCAGAGAATGACCTACACAAGAGTATAGGTCCGGTGGGGGCCTTAGCTGGTAACAATAAAGAGCGAACATTTGTAGTGGCACTCACTACCGCGTCTCCGTGCAGCCTTTCGAACTCCTCGAACGAGATCCTCCCCTCCAGGTACTGCGTGAGCCGCGCACTGAAGTCGCCCATGGCGAGAGAGAGGTCGACCCCGGCCTCTTCCCGCACCTCGTGGGGCTCGCTACTCGCCCGCGAGTGCCCCTAAACAGAGGCCTGCCCAGCGGGCAACATCCACCGCAATGAACACGACACTTGTAGACAACCTCCGGTGACCTTTTGAAGAAAAATAAAAGACTAATTCTTGTCTGTCGGTCGCACGAGGCTCTCTCGCCTCGGTTAGCAGGCGGAGCTCCCCCGCTCAAGCATCACGGCCCGCGACTCAGGGAGGTTGGGGCGCAAGCCTGCGACGCTTACACACCACGACGCTCGCTTCGGGCTGAGCCCACCTAGACGGGAGCCGGACACGCGGTGGCCACGCCCAGCTCCTCTCGTCCAATCAAATTCCTCGGCCGAGCCCGCCCCGGGGGTCTGATGTCATCGGGCAGCGACCGCGGGTGCCAAGGCGGTTGCCGTGGAGACGGAACATGGCGGATTTTCAGCGCACGCGCTTGTGATGACGTTCACGTGACCGCCTACAAATCCCCGAGCCCCCCCCGCTCAAGCCCGTGTTGGACGATACCACTGCGCGCGAGACGCGTGGGGTAGATGCCGGGAGAGTCCACTTCTGCCCACCCCCCCCCCCGACACTGCTCAGGTGAACAATTCCACTGCGCGCGATACGCGTGCGGCAGCAACTGGGAGAGTCCACTTCTGCACACCCCCCCCCCCGACACTGCTGCTGTTCCTGCTCAGGTGGACGATACCATTGCACGCAAGAGCCGTGGGTGTCGCTGCTGGTGCTGTCAGTGCTGGTGTTCGTGCACAGGCCGGGCGCACTGCCGGGCTCGCGGGTGAGTGAGCAATGTGTGTGAGCGGGTGAGCAGGTGGGTGAGCAGTGTGAGTGAGCGGGTGAGCAGGTGGGTGAGCAGTGTGAGTGTGCGGGTGAGTGCCTGTGGCCACTGCAGACGCGGAGACGAGGGCCACGTCTTGCGGGCACAAATGTACAGTCGTATATGGCATGTGGAGCTCGCTATAAGTCAGGGCTCCCTCTTACGTGGATCTCACTGTGGTCAGGTCTTGCATGGTTGCTGACTATTGTGTGGATCATCTCACCGCGATCAGGACACGCATTGAGCTCGCTACGAGGGCTTCTACGTGGCGATCTGGTGCATGCTGCACCACGCACTGGCGTTGTCGCTCAGCTTTGCTGCATAACTGTGACCGTCTGATGCAAGGTGACCTTGACACGTTAACCTCTTGACCTGAACATGATGACCAGAGGTTGGAGCTTAGCCCTGTTTGAGTTCATGCGATTCTGTTCCACGGACGATCACGTTGAGCCAGTTCCCCGGCTATTTTACGAGGGAGATCTGTGGTTTGTGAGCACAGAAACAACAAAAGTCAACAACAACAACAAAAAGCATTCAGTATTACGCAGAAACGACTACAGGGTCCTGAAGGAACATTGAGTAACTAACAAAGGAAGTATTTAGCGGTGGTAAAGGAAACACGCGAGTTTCATCAGGCGAAACGTCGTACTCGGATTGTAAATGTTGTGGCTTGGCTCTCCAACGCACCGGCGTGCTGTACTAGTACACTACACTATACACTACACTACTATACACTACACTATACACTACACTATACACTAGTGCTGTACTAGTATACTGCACTATACACTGCACTATACACTACACTATACACTACACTATACACTAGTGCTGTACTAGTATACTACACTATACACTACACTATACACTAGTGCTGTACTAGTATACTACACTATACACTAGTGCTGTACTAGTATACTACATTATACACTATACACTACACTATACACTAGTGCTGTACTAGTACACTGCACTATACACTGCACTATACACTAGTGCTGTACTAGTATACTACACTATACACTACACTAGTGCTGTACTAGTATACTACACTACACTATACACTACAGTACTTTACACTACACTATACACTCCACAATACACTAGTGCTGTACTAGTATACTACACTATACACTAGTGCTGTACTAGTATACTACATTATACACTAAACTATACACTACACTATACACTAGTGCTGTACTAGTATACTACACTATACACTACACTATACACTAGTGCTGTACTAGTATACTACACTATACACTACACTATACACTCGTGCTGTACTAGTACACTACACTATGCACTACACTATACACTAGTGCTGTACTAATATACTATACTATACACTACACTATACACTAGTATACTACACTATACACTACACTATATACTAGTGCTGTACTAGTATACTACACTATACAATAGTGCTGTGTTAGTATACTACACTATACACTACACTATACACTAGTGCTGTACTAGTATACTACACTACACTATACACTACAGTACTTTACACTACACTATACACTCCACAATACACTAGTGCTGTACTAGTATACTACACTATACACTACACTATACACTTCACACTAGTGCTGTACTAGTGACGAATTGGCACGTTCTGTTTACGTGACAACCCTTACTAGCTAGTTGGCTGTGTCGGGTGGTGGTGGGTTTTAACGAAACATTTTCACGCGATCTAACCCAAAAACCTCAATTATGGATGACATTTGTCGCGAAAGTCCCCTGCTACGTGTTAAACTGAAGGGAGAGAGCCACACTGTGGATGAGCGGCAATTGATGTTCCAGAAATGTGGGTAACAAGTAACGCGGAAACAATTACTATTCTCGCATGAAATGCAATATGTTTCATCGGATTATTGGAGCCACTTCTGAGTCCACGGGACGGAGTTAGATGAGCGAAGTGGTCCTTTAGGGGAGTGACAGATTTGAGTAAATTTGCAGGTTGTAAGGATAGCTTCTATAATAATAATTCCATTTATGTAGCGGATTTTCATCAAGGATCTCAAAGCGCTGTACAGGACGCAGCAGCAGAAGCGGAAACTCGGCATACCAATAATTATATCACAAATACATTTTATGAATCCATTTACTAAATGAACTAAAATTTTAGTAAGTGGAAGCGTATAAAATAGGTTTTAAGACGCATTTTAAAAAAAATCTCCACAGACTCGGAGGTCCCTGATATTTCCTGGGAGAGCGTTCCATAGCCTGGGGGAGGGTGTGAAGGGCAAGATCGATAGCAGAGTGGTCACGGTGGTAATGTGTCATGGAATGAGACGTAAGGTATAGATCAGGGGTGGGGAACCTTTTTTCTGTCAAGGGCCGTTTGGATATTTATAACATCATTCACGGGCCATACAAAATGATCAACTTAAAAATTAGTCTATTATATTTGGTCAAACATTTAATTAACTCACCCCTAATGTGATGGCTGGAACTGCTCCTCTTTGGCGAGGCGTGTGATGTTAGCTGGTATTGATGATGTTGCTACTCGCAACTGCTTTTCCAGGTTTGCTCCTAGAAATGTTGAATTTCGAGTCCCGCCTGCAGTTGCCTTGGCAGGGCCAGACCAAATGATGTTCCCCACCCCTGGATTATAGATGGTGCCACAATAATCAAGTATGGGCAGGATGGTTGCGACAGAGTCGATGTGGAATGCGGCGTTTTTTTCTGAATAGGAATCCAATTTTGGTAGTGTTTAATGTGTTCAAGTTCAAGTTCATTTATTAGGTATAGCCCTGTGAGCCATTCAGCTCTTGAATCGGGTGCAACCGCAACAAACAAAAAACAAAAACATGAACAAAAAACATCTTAAAGTGAATATGTGACTAAGTGCAAACAGAAAATCCAAGAAAAGACAGCAAAAATATTGCAGAAAAAACACCGTACACCAACGCTGTGTGCAAAAATCTCAGTGGGATGCAAGTCAAACAACAACAACCACAAGACAGCTTAGATTAAGGCCATCAGTCTAACTCTGTACTACAACAAACAAACATGGCTAAACCAATACACTTTTCGAAATCACCAAAATAAAGCCATGAAAGCAATGAAAAAGCAATCATAGGAACTGTGACGGAATTTTCACAATAAATGGCATACACAACATTTACTACCAAAACCCTGCAGCCATAGCTGGCTGCATGAGTCACTCCACAACAGCACGAGCATCAATCGGAGTATTGTAATTTTTCAATGCACCTTTAAGATCAGCAAACTAAATCAAAACACAGGTCATACTTTGTAGCGATCATCCGGAGCGAAACATTTTATTTTAGGTCACTGAATAGCACTGGCAGCTAGGGGTGTACAACTCCTCTAGAGCAGTGTTGCGTGTGGTGATGCTGTAATGTGTTGAATATGGATCGGTGAGTGTTGGCGTGATGTGTTGTTGCATGTGGATCAGTGAGTCTTTGCTCGTGTTACGTGGTGAGTTATTGGTGTGATATATTACGTGTGGTTCAGTGAATGTTGTTGTGATGTGTTGCATGTGGATCAGTGAGTGTTGCTCATTAAGTGTTGCTGTGATGTATTGCGTGTTCTGCATTGAGTCTTGCCGTAGTGTATTCCGTGTGGTTCAGTGAGTAAGTACAGTGGTTCTGTGTGATATGTTGGAAAGCGTCACCCATGGCTCGCAAGGAGTTGTTCCGGACGGGGCTGCTCGTCCTCACGTCGCCTGCAGCGCAGCTGCCGTTCCAGCTCGGTGGGGCCCTGCGCTCGGCATCGGAGATGATTAACGGCACTCTGTACGTGCACCTTCACCCGGGCCTGAGGCCGCCCAGCTCGACCACGTCCCCCTGCAGCAGGGCGGCCCTGTCTCCCGTGACGTGGGAAGTCTCCCAGATGGTCTCCAATGTCTACACGAAGGCCACGGATATCTGCAGCCACCTGGATGTGCGTGTCTTCCTCACCAACATTAAAGGGCACGGCGTGGCTGGGAGCGTGCCCGCTGCCCTGCACACCCCCTGCCACTCGCCCGAGGTGGTGCTCACCGACTACAGCAGCATCGACGACCTGAAGCGGCTTCACGACGTCGAGGCGTTCTTCCGAAGCTACGTGCAGAATCGCTACGAGTGCAATGCTTCCATCAAGCTCTTTGTGCCCGATGTGGGCTCCAAGGAAGGCCAGTCTGCACACGGGGAAACGCAGCAGCCCGGAGAGAGCACAGTGGGCTCGGCCGACGGGGGGCCGCCCAGCTACTCGGACGTGGTTCTCGGGGGCACGTTTGACAGGCTGCACAACGCGCACAAGATCCTCCTGAGTACCGCGTGCTTGTTGGCAGAAAGACGCGTGCTGATTGGAGTTGCAGACGGGGCGCTTTTGCAAGGTCATTGACGCTTGCTGCTCGCAAATATACATTAGACAATTTGTTTCATCCAATTTTATTTCAAATGTGCTGCCGGCATTAAGTAGTAAGACTTAACCGTTTGGATTTCTGCCAGGGGAGTTCGTCACCCCTTCTGTTAGAGAATGGCCCAAAGAATAAGGTTTCATGTAACTGCTTTAGAAATATCTTTACGTGATATCTTAGCCACACATTTATCGGGTGCACCATCACTTAAATGCTCGTCGCATGGCAGGTAAACCAATGTTTGAATTCTCTGAGCTGGAAATTAACTACATGAAGTTAAAAACGCCTTTAATGTGTTTTTTTTCCATCATTGGTATCTGGGCTGAAATTATCAACTCAATACACTTGAGAACCAAGTGTATCTATGGGGTGGCTACACAGATTTAAATCCACAATCTCAGCCATGCCGGCCCCATACTCTGGCCCCTTGAGCCATCTTTCACACATCATAAGTTTAATGTTCATTTCAAGGGAAAAAATGTTCTCGATACATTTTTGCCGAGAACACGTGATACTCTGGGTGCGTTGAATACGGGAAGCATGGGGTGGGATGAATGGAACTTGCTTCTGCCTGTATGTGATCTGCTTCATTCTGGAGTGCAACATGTGGTTATCCAGCAGCTGGCATGGGCTGGCTGCATTACTGCTAGTTCAGGCGAGTGACCACATGTTGACTCTGTGGGGGTCATTGCTTTCCCTGGGTGAATTATCGCATATGTTGGGCAATCATAAGCACATTCAATCGAGTTCATTTGCATTCCACCGACAGGGACAAAAAGGCACGTTAAATGGTATGATGCAATGGCCATGAAAGTGCTCTAAAGAGTCGGGACACATTAACTGCGAATTTCACATCTCGTTTTATTGAATTTATTTTACATAGGCAATAACATTGATGATATAATGCTTTAGCGTGCTTGAGGTGTGTGTATAACAGCACTTGCTTCTGCAGTCTGTTAAGGCTGTACTGGGAATCTTTGTTTTGTACGTGATTTACACCGCTTCAAGTGACATTGCAATGTTCTTGTCGACAGGGAAGCTTCTGAATGAGCTGATAGAGCCGTATGAGCAGAGGCTCTCAGCGCTCCGGAGCTTCCTGAGCGATGTGCATCCTCACCTGTGCTACGACATCGTCCCCATCACGGACCCCTTCGGACCTGCCATCACTGACTCTCTTCTGCAGTGCATTGTGGTCAGCGAAGAGACTCGCAAAGGGGGGCAGGCTGTGAACCGCAAACGTGAAGAAAAGGTAACCAGTACTCCACCAAGCTGAAGTTTGGCTATTCCACTTAAGCGTGGGGCTCTCAAGGGTTTGAATACAATTCACGCGCAGAAATCCAGAGCAGTTCTGTGTGCTGTGAAACCATGGTGCACTGCATGGATTCATAATAACTGAACCTCCACAAATGTTCACCTGTTTGTGGCTGAAAATCTCTTGGTAAATTGGTTTTATGGTTAAAATGTACATCCACTAATAATTGGATTACCTTGGAAGACTACAAAGCACCAGACTATAATACAAAACCACCCATTCATCCCTCGCATAGCAGTGGTGGCTTCTTCCACTGAAAAACAGTGGAGCAGTTTTTTTATCGTAATGCCTCTCATGCAAAACATATTGTCATGGATAAAGAATAGACTGCATCTGTAACTTAAGGGTGAGTTTTCCCTGGCAACTATTGCTTTGAGGGATTGACCAGTTGCTTAGCTTTTCTCAAGTTGTTGAATATCTCTCTCCACATGTGCAGTTTTTGGATTGGATTGGTGTTTGTTGTAAAGTCCTTGTACAATTCCTTGGCCAGTAAGGCGTGATGACAGTCCCTGAGCGCTGGGGGAATTTGGTCGATGGAAATAGATTCTGGGTGAAGGCACAGCAGGACGCATTGCTTCAGGAGGCTGCACAGACTCGTGGACAATTTATCGGCCACAAAGTCTGGGGTCACCAGCACAATAATTGCATTGTATTTCTCTGTTGCCTTTTTCAAGAGATCGTTGTACAACTTTCCAGCAGGCATTTCAGAATAGTTAACGAACTCTACATCGGCAACTTCCTTGGCTAGTTGCTGGATGTTCTCGGCTAGCACGGTGTCTTCATGCGAGTCCATTCTGTGAAAGATGTACATTCTCTTGTCTTTGCTTCTGTCCATCAGAAGGACCTCGTACGCCTCGCACATACTCTGGCTCGACAGCGACAGTGTGGCCGTGTGTGTCTCGGCTGCGCCAAAATAAATGCTTTCCAAAAGGTCACTGTCAATCAGATGGTCTCCAGATTCTGTGGATCTGAGGAAGGCCCAGTACATGAGCGCCTCATCATACTGCTTCCTGAAGGCCAGGTTCTTGACCAGGCCAAGCAGGGTGTCAGGATCTTGTGGCTGGATAGTGTCTGCCTCCCACAGTGCACTCAGAGCCTGTCCATGAAGGCCCACGAGTTCATAAAGTTTGGAGCGAGAGCGAAGCATTTGAGGGGTCTGGCCTTGAGATTCCTTGAGTTGCTCTATGAGACTGTCTAGAGCCACCTTGCGTGTGCTCTTCACCTTGGCAGCGCTTTCAATCGCTAATCGGAGTAGTTGTTCGCTTCTCTGCTGATCGCCGCGCTCTTGCATGTTCAAACCCCAATTCTCGAATGTCCGTGCACAAAAGAGTTGGGAGACGTATTTGCCTGTCTTCATGGACTTGCGTAAGCAATCATCAGACTCCTCTGTTTTGCCAAGTGACACATATATCTCGGCCAGGGTCACCAACAGATAGGGACCCGTTTCTTTTGACAGCTCAATACCCTCTCTGAGGTACTTAATCGCTTGGTCTAGAAGTTCTGTGACATATGGATCTTTGACTTCTCTGTAGCAATTGAAAAGACTCTTTCCTCTTCCCCGCCTGTGGCCACGTGCCTGCGTGTTCTCCGGGTTCTGCGCTGCCCCACCAGGGAAATAATGCGACTGCCCTCGCATTCGTCTGGAGCTGCAGAAAGGCTGTCTGCCCCCTCTAGGCCTCCTGCTGGGAAATAAAGGCTGCCTGACTCGCAATGTGCACTCGGGCTGCCCATCTTCCCCACTAGTGATGCTCAAAGCAGCAAAGTCTGCGCTCACATCGCAGAGTTGTGTCATTGGCTCATTTGTGACAAACATGTCCTGGCCACGGCCAGCTGCGTTTGCTGGCCGCCAAGAGTGTCTTTGACCTCTGAAACCCCTGCCGCCATATCCTGCTGTAGGAGCTGTAGAGACAAATAATAATGAACTTACTCAAAGGATTTCAAGGGAGAAAAAAATCCATTCTAAAAATGTTTTGGTTTTGGTGAAATCTCACAGTATTTTGTTGCTAAAGCTACATTGCTGATAACTCTAATTACACAGAGTGCAAGGCCGCAAACGTATGTCGTTTTTTTTGGTTGGGCCAAAGCTGGAGTGTAGCTTGTTTAAATGATAGAAGGATCTGTGAGAATGCAGTAGGGAGAAATTTTAAGTAGAAACACTTTTTTCAAGTTTAGGTGTCTTTGTGAAAGAAGAAAATTGATCTCACCATCCAGGGTCCTCGCATGAGCTTGATCTGCTAGGGTGCGGTAGGTTAGCCCGAGGTGGTGGAGAGAAAAGGACGAGGGGCAGAGCGCGTAGGCTTTGCGCAGGTGCTCCAGAGCTCGGTCGTATTGGCGCATGTGCCTCCAGTGCTTTCCTGCCCTCTCCAGCACCCAGCGGTCCTGGGGCACAAGCGCGCAGGCCCTCTCGAAGCACTCTGACACGGTGAGCGCCTCATCGCCCACCTCCACGATACGGGCACTCTCGAAATCCCTGACATTCCTCGTGTTTTCGTAAGAATCAAGAGCATCGGCAGAAAAGCTTTTGTGGAGCACAACACTGGCAAGTTTATGGTGACAGATACAGACACAGTCTTTGATAGTAATATGATGATAACGGGTAGAGGAGGCTTTTGTTGTCCAATTCCGAAGTACTCATTTATTCTGAGCTGCGTTTTATTGAGCGGCCTGTTCGAGCGCTCTAACAGCGCTGCAGCCTTGGTAAGATTGGGGCAATCTAATGAATAGTCACCGATCAGGTGGCTCAACGGTAGAGTGGCTTGCAGTTGGAAAGTTGTGCGTTCAGTGCTGATTGGTGGCTGATTCAGCCCACCATCCATCTTTCGGGATTCTTAAATTGAATACCACATTATGGGCGAGTCAGCACTTGTTATTCTATAGATCAGGGGTCCCCAACCCCCGGGCCGCGGATCGGTACCGGTCCGTGGCCTGTTAGGAACTGGGCCGCACAGGAGGAGGTTACCGGTGAGTCCGTGCGTGGCCCGCCCATTATTTTATTTACCACTTCCATCCGCGCCTCTTTCCCGCTCTGCGCACTTGTCTCAGTCACAGTTTTGGTAAGCCCACAAGCTGCTAACCCCTAGCCATAATTAGTAAAAACCAAATGTCGCTGGAGAGCTTCTTTGAAAAGGGGGAAAGACCCAATGATGAACCCCCCCCCCCCCCCCCCAGTCCGTGAAAAAATTGTCTTCCAGGAAACCGGTCCCTGGTGCCAAAAATGTTGGGGACCACTGCTATAGATGGAATCGCCCTCAGTATAGGAATTAGGAATTTCCACCACTGCTTGAGGGCCGTAGATAGGAGATGGGCACACCACCTCATTGATATTTGAGCAGACAATCTCTTTGATTGTTGATTTAAATTGTAAAACACATCAACTACCACATTAAACCCCACGTTAAAAGTGCTTTAAAAATACAGCAGTTTACCTGTGGTTGAAAAATTTCTTGGTTATCTGGCCCAAAACTGCGAAAGCTTTGGCCTTGAAAAATCTGTTGTCCGTGTGGACAACGTGTGCAAGGGCTTCCACGGCTTGTTGAAAGTGTTCATTCTTGTCAAAGTCGGGGTTCTCTCTCAAAATGTCAATCTCAAACACCCTGCAAAAGAGAGCCATAACACGTAATTGCCGACGTAATGAGCGAGCCTTAACGTAATAAAATATTAAAAAATACTTTTAAAAAAACACGCTTTAATGAAATGTACTGTCTGAGCTGCCCCTCCCCCTGCCCCCTTCCCCCATCGCCCCTCCCCTCCCTCCACATCCCCCGCCCCTGGGCGTGGCTCCCCGGGGCTTGCCGTGACGTAAGGGACCACGTGGTGATTTACAGGCAACGTGAGTTGAGCGTCGACAATTAGAACCGTAAAAAAGATTGTTTAAAAATATATTTTTACATTTTCAATGATAGAATATAGTATTGTCATCAGTATGACACACCTATACCAAGTTTGCAGTCGATACGACATTGGGAATACGGTTGAAATTGAGTTACACGATTTTAGGATACAACAGAGTAAGTTAAATAAAAGCGTGTAAAATGTTTAAAAATATATGTTTTGGATTTATGATAGAATATAGTCTTGTCATCAGTATGACATAGGTATTTCAAGTTTGCAGTCGATAGCACAATGGAAAGTGGGTAAAAATTGAGTTACAAGATTTATTTTTTGAGGATACAACAGACGGAGTGAGTTAAATAAAAGCGTGTAATAATAAAAAGGAATAATGTACTCTCGAATGCTGCAGGTGTGCCAACTGACCTGTCGAGGTTCAAAGCCAAGCCGTACTTCCAAGAAACAAGTTTGTCAGGAGGGCAGTGACCGTGCCCCATCTCGATGGCCTGCGAATATTTGTCGATCGCCTTGAATTGTGCTACGGGACCCAGACGGGAGAGGCAGTAGCCCTGCTCAGCCAAGGCCGTAGCAAGCGCTGCCTTGTTTCCCTTCTGCCTGTCCAGTGCCTCCGCCACTCTGCTGGCGGCCTCGAATTCGTAGCGATGCAAGTGAAGCTCGCACTTGTTGGCCAGTGCCGTCACACTGCACGGCTCCTTTATTAGGGCAGCTGTCACTGACGACTCGGCTTTGGCCAGCTGATCTTGCGATAGGTAGAAATAGGTGAGGCTGTTAAGGGCGCAGACGTCGCTGTCAAACTCTTCTGCGGTGGCTTCGTGCGCCTGTTTGCGCTCCAGTTTTGCGATGACAATGTTGATGTACGTGCTGCCGTGCGGTAGGTCGTGTGTCAGCTCAAAGAGTGTCGGGAGCTGCTCGTAACGCTCCCGTATCTCTTTTGTAAAATTGTTATCCATTGCACACCGGTTTGGTCAAGCAACCGTCTTGAGTGGAGTGCTTTTAAGAACTAGAATAGAGCAGAAGCGAGGAGTTTACAGTGTAAACTCTGAAAAAGACACAAACAGAACATTTCACTTCTGTGCTGGTCTTCCATTCCTAATCATCTCTGCTGGTACAGTAATCCATCTACAGCCTCTTTCTTTTTCAAGAATCAAGAGAAAATTGTCATTTGTGACAGACCAATCAAACTTAACGTAGGACTCAATAAATACCTGTAGCCACTGGTACCCGAGGTACGCTCAGTTGGACATTGGAGCATGAATAGTGTACGTTATTTTCCCAAACATTTAATACGAGTTTTTTTGTTTCGTTTAATAAGTAATATATTAAAAAAACTTTTTTAAAAACACGCTTTCATTAAATGTACCGTACCAGTAATGGAAGAACTCCACGACTCCAGGAAGTGGCCCCGAAGCTTGCCATAACATAAGGGGCCGTGGTGATTTACAGCCAACGTCAGTTGACCGTGGACAATTAGAGCCAAGCCGAAACATAACATAAAAAATAATGTTTTAAAATATGTTTTTTTATTTTATATGATAGAATATAGTATTGTCATCAGTATACCAAGTTTGCAGTCGATACCACATTGGGAAGTGGGTAAAAATTGAGTTACATGATTTGAGGATACAACAACGACAACAACAGACAGAGTGAGTTAATAAAAAGCGTTTAAAAAAGGAACTGTGAGAGAGAAAAATCATGAAAATAAAGCCACAAACTTCTGGACACTCCAGGCAGAGCGAGGAGTGGTTGGACGTGAAGTCGCGAACCCAGCGCAGCTTACGTAGTAGTAGTAGTGTGCACACTTCCGTGTCGGTACGTGCCGAATATGTGCCGCCGTGTGTGATATGTACGTACCAAACCCGAATGGAATCCCAAGTATGGCAACAACATTGGACTGGATAATTTGCATACGTTTGAAAAAAGAAAACCCAACGTATTACAAAAAAATATCGATATTCTTGTATCAGATTACTTGATTGGTCCTTATTAGATTACTATGTGGACTGAGATGGCATCTTAGATGTATAAAAATAGCGTTGTTACTTCACTTCTCCGAGAAGGCTGTGCCAACGAGAAAATGGAGCAAACCGTTTAACACGCAGTCGGCTTTTACGACCAATATCATCCATAATATAGGTTTTTTGGGTTAGATCGCGTAAATATGTCGTTAAACCCACCACCACCCAACACAGCCAATTAGTAAACTTTGCAACGTAAACAGAATATGCCAATTCATTACTATTACAGCACACCGGTGTGTTTGAGAGCAAATCCACAACATTTACAATCTGAGTACGACGTTTTTCCAACAATTAAAACCAGCTTCATCAGGCGACAGCCAGATTTGTGGAGAAATCCTCCTTTTTCGAAATCCTCCTGTTTCATTCCTTAAATAGAGGGATAGATGTGATGGCGTCACTTGTGAGCCCTCCACGTGTGAAGGTGGGGCATTAATGCATATAAATTACAATGGGTATCCATTGCCGGTTTACGGTACGGCAACTCCTCGCTTAACGTGTGTTCACACAACGCGTTTTTGCTACAACTTGGTTCTTCTACGAGGGACCACTTTTCGTACAACGCGGAACGCGCACCGTTATAACGCGTTTGGTGAGCGGTCAAGACAAACTACTTTGTTCAGCTGCGCGGCGGCTGAGCGGAATGATAGAGTACACAGGATGGTAGGGCACGCGGTGGCCGACCCTCGCCTCGGCTCTTTTTCCCCGCTATACGATGATCGCAGGCTGATTTTATAGCGCAAATATGATTGGGTAACAGTAATTCCCTGCTTAACAGCACGGTTTTTCGACGTAAGGCGGCCCTTTTCAGGAACGCATCCAGCACGTTAAATGAGGAATTGCTGTATTTCTTTGTTCAAGTGACAAAATAAGAGTTTGGTGAAGGAGATAAAATGGTGGCGATTCCCTCCAGCCTGTTTCGTCTCGTCAAGTTATCGTTCGTGTTTATTCGTTTAACCAGAACTCACGAGAGCACGGATATTCTCATTTGCAAGCGTGGCCCGCGAATTATGCGTTGTTTTTCATATTTAAACAGTTGAAACATTCCTAAATCGACTAAATATGTGATCCACAGTGCCGCGGAGGCGTTTGTCATATCCCATACCCGCTGAAGAGCCTCTCTCTCTCGATCTCTTTGACCGAGTAAATGTTGACACGAAGACGAGTGTTGGCAGGACACGATCGTTGTGTTGGGCCTTTCGTCTTCACCGACTGACAACTCATGCCCCCTGCCACTGGCGATGTCGACCTCTGCTGCGGTAGTGGGGTGTGGAAAGTGGACGCGGGGCCGTGCTGTACTAATAAATCATCATACAGTATTTCCTCGTCATTAACAAACTCGATATTCGTGAATTTGGCTATCTGCGAATCGCATCTGGAACTGTACACGACTGCATCGAGTGGTAAAGCGATGAGATTGCTTTACTATTTATTTGCCAATGTTGTTTTGTTATGATAATTTCCATGTATTTTTTAGCTGATTTATGTATTTATTTAAGGTAAATCATTTCGTAGGCAACATCATTATCCGCAAAATGCACTCTTCACGAGCACCTTCTGAACGGTTCCCTTGCGAATAACGAGGGACTACTGTATTATCAACATTTTAAAAACGGTATCGTCGAAACTTTAATGCGCATTATATTTGCGTGCGGCATGTGCTTCCAACGAAACGGAATCAAGTTGAGTGTCTTTCATTCCGCACGTTCGCGTGTGACCCTCACGTGTGCAGCGAGGCAAGGGTGGTGCCCCCCGTGCATTCCCTGACGGCCCCCCCTGCCCCAGCGCGTGAGGCTGCCCCCCTGTGCCCCCCACACCCCTCCTCCCGAGGCCTCCAAAACGAGAGCTCCGTGCCAATTGACAAATAAGTTCAGCAATTTTAATTCAGCACGCTGATCAACGGCCAACAAAAGTGTTTTGCGGCTTTCCCTATGAGCCCGGTATATTGTTAGGCCGTGAAATTAGTTCAGTTGTAAGCGTGCGTGTGAATGCAGTACGTACCTGGCTGTAGAGGCACACACGCCTTGCAGACACGGGGAATGGGCGACAGCTCTTGACCATGCACACAATGTTTTGGAAATCCCCTCCGCTCAAACAACAACGAGCACTGTAGGAATTGTTGGACGAAAACCACATGGGCAGGGATGTTGAATGCTTCCAGACTGAATTTTTTTTGCTGCACGTGCACATTTCGTGACGTTTTTTTTAACATCCGTCTTGTGCACCGCTTAAAGGTTTTTCAAACTCGGAATCTTTCACTGGGTTAATGCGCCACGAGCTCAAGTTGATTATTGGTGAATAAACATTACTTTCCGGCGTGGAAGTGCAGTCATTTGCTTGCACTTGCACACGCCTGCTCTCACTGCGCCTATGTTAGTGGGTGGAAGGCGGTTTTGATACATTTCGATTTAAAGCTTTCGTGACTGCAGGGATTCATCTTCTTGGTTCTTTCGGTAAAGTCACGTAGAAGGGAGATAATAAAAGAAACGGCGTGAGAATTGTATTATTTTATTATGTTTAATTTTATTATTTTATTATCTCCCTTCTACGTGACTTTACCGAAAGAACCTAGAAGGTTTGGATACAGTTTGTGTGTCTTCCATCAGAGTAGTTCTGTTAGGCACTAATTGCAGGGTTAACGCGTCAGGCAATGCTTTAGCGGTGTAGATGGTTTCATTAACGTTGAGGATTTTAACATGACTTGTATGTGTGTTGAACTTCTTTCGCACCGCAGGTAGCCAATCGTGATAATTGGCGCGGTGCTAAAGGCATTGTAATAGGCACTGCACTGGAGTGTGTTTCATCTGGGCGAGTTGTCTGTTTTGGGAAAGTGGTCACTGGGAACATCCTTTCGCTGCCAGGGCCTGCCGCTGCTGGAGGTGCACGAGATCAAGCTGATCGCCGACCGTCACCACGAGAGCCACGAGGAAATGAAAATCAGCTCGTCGAGTCTGAGAGCACGGCTGCTGGGCACCCTGCTGAAACCGCCACAAGTGAGGCGCCGTCGCGTTTAGAGATGGAGCGCTTGGGCTCCCTGACGTTTCCCGTAAAAAGTGAAGTTCTAAGAAGTGAAATGCGACATGCCGTTGCCGCCTGCGCCGTGCCCCATTCCCAGGAGATGTGCATGGTGCTGTGTCGTGTGTGTGCGCGCGTAGGGAGTGGTAGCGTCATGGTTAAGGCGTTGCACTACGAACCTGGTGACCCGAGTTTGATTTCCGCTCATGGCTAACATCAGTGACGATAATCTAAACCGGTCCTGGGCCTGCCCTAGGTCCATTCAGCCTCAAATGAGTGACCCCGTGCAGCGTGTAAACATCGCCACTGGGGAGACGAAGGCAGCCGGGCGTGGTGCTGGCCACCCACCCCCTCGTGTGCCGTCCCGGCCTTCATAGCTGCTACTCGTTAATAGCACTTGCCCAATAGTCTGTTAAGGCTATACGGGGGATCTTTGTCTTACAGGTGAAACCCGACATCCCACCGGTGCCCTTTGTCATTGGGCTTACGGGAATCAGCGCTAGCGGGAAGTCGAGCGTCGCCAGGCGTCTGGAGGCGCTTGGGGCTGTGCACGTGGACTGCGACGTGCTCGGCCATCAGGCCTACCTGCCAGGCACCAGCGCCCATGCCAACATCGTCGAGGAGTTCGGAGAGGGTGAGTCGCTCTGGCGGGATGCGTGCTCTGCGTTTCGATTGGTCGTCATTGTTTCTGAATGTGCACTAACTAGGTGGCTACTGTAAAGGTAATGAGTTATGGTGCTTGGCTGTGTAAATTTTGTGTCTACTATCAAACCCAATATCAGTGGAAATGGTCAACATATTAGACTTGCAATTCCATCTCTCGAATCGACAGTTGAAACAATGTGCCAAGTCTCTAGCTGAAAACTCCCCCCACCACCACCTTTATCCACCCAGAAGCATAAATGGGTCCGCCACGGTTAGTCGATCGGTAGGTTATGTATGGTGGGGTAAAGTGTGGGTACGCCCACCTCTTCTAATACATCTACTCAGAGTGAAAGAGTAGACCTAATATCCTCTGTTATTTGCTGCAGTAGGGGGTGCTTCTACCAGCAGCGGTGCAAGCAATTGCAGGGATGCACCTTTACCTTTTTAACTGCATGTAACTATGGGACGATTAATCTATCAACATTGATTCGTACTTTTATGGTACACGCATTGGACCGTATGTGTGAAAATCATATAAATTATTCATTCCTAATGGAGCAAATTCTGACAATTCATCAAGTCGTTGCAGAGTGAATGTCTCGTGCCAAATAGAAAGCATTTGCGGTTAAAGCAATGTTCACATTTAACAGATGATTATATTTACTAATTTATGATATAATGCGGCCATGTGGATACATGGCCCATTCTCAGTTTAGTATCGGATTTCCATTTTTACAGTACCCCTTTTCTTCCACATTGTTACAGATATCTTGTCAGAAGATGGAACCATAAACAGAAAGGAGCTGGGGAAAAAAGTGTTTTCAGAAAAGGTGACCGCGGCACACAGTGCCGATTACAAACTTGACACTCCAGTATTTTTTTTATAATGCATGGGTACGTACCCAGTTCATTATATATCACATATATATTTTATTTAAATGTTTTACCTGGATAATCCCTGGAGAGGGAACATCTCGTTTGCAAGGATGCCCAGGGTGTCAAAATACGTACAAACACACATGTAATGACGACTTGTATACACGCGTTCGAACAACTTACACAGCATTGTATGGATGTTGGACTTTTTTTGCGTAATACGTAGCCTACCGTGCTAATCGCGGAGGTGCATTCATACCAAGTAAAACAAATGTTCGCGTCAAGAACATACACCAGATAGCACACATGAAGATCATACTATAGCCAAATATAAACGGTTACAAATGTTAAGCAGCTAATTATTTCAGATGTTGCCAGTAGCAGAGTAGTTGGTGGGTGTGATTTAAAGGACTTAAAGGAAGTAACCCTGCTAAGCTTTGTGCGCTCTTGCCATTTTTGCCAGGATAAACTAAAAAAACTAACGGACATTGTTTGGCCTGATATCGCGAGGCTGGCCAAGAAAGTTATTGCTGATTGTGCAGAAAAAGGTAAGTGGCCCTCACCCCTTTAGCAGCTGCAGTTGAGTAGATTTTGTGGCCCTTCGATTATGTTGGCTGAGCGGTGCGGAAATTATAATATCTTGGTTCGAGATTAATTACTTAAAAACACATAGATCTACCGTACAAAAATCGACCGTCCATGAACATTTGTTTTTGACATTATTTTTAGACGCCCATGACATCGACAGTTTCCAACTGAAAATGTAACTGTCTGAAATATTTGACGCTTATATTAACATCACTTTGATTAATTTCAGAAATGCCCGTGCTTGTGTGCTATGTGCGAGTGACCGAGTGCTGCTTCGTTTTCGATGCAGGTGTGCGTGTGTGTGTCCTGGATGCTGCGGTTCTGCTGGAAGCCGGCTGGATCAACATGGTCCATGAGGTCTGGGTGGTGCTCATTCCGGAAGACGAGGTGAGCTGCATGCGTTGTGTCCCATCGTCGACGACGACAACCGGTACCACCATAGTACTGCTTTTATGCGTTTCGTTTCCTTTCTGGAATTAAGGAAACAGTTTTGGCCCACGGTTCAATAAATCATCATCACGGTTTTTAACCTTCACAGCTGATACAGCACTGTCAAAACACTCACAGACCTCTTGCGTGAATGATGATAACAGCTGGCTGAATAAAGAATTGAATTCCCTACATTGACATTCGAGCTGTGTATAACTCAGAGCTGCAGACACCCACTAAACTGAGATGGGAATACTTTCAGTAAATTTGGTATTCAGGCCATTATAGCACACGAGCTATCACTTTAATATAGAACTGAAATGAGTTAGCTCATAGTCATAGTGACATTTCCTTTATGTGTCACTTTCTGCAATATGTTTTTTTCTTCACAGGCCGTCAGAAGAATTGTGGAGAGAGACGGCGTGACGGATGACAGTGCTAAGAAGAGGCTGTCCAATCAGCTCAGCAACCAGCGCAGGGCAGAGGAGGCAAATGTTGTGCTGTGTACCTACTGGCAGCCTCAAGTGACACAAAAACAGGTATGGGAGTGGGGTACTCTCTATAGAATACTGTCTGCTGGCTTCCAGAGCCACCAACCATGATTGTTTTTTTGTAATCGCGACCACTCAAACAGTGGCTATCCCAACAGACAGCAGTGAAACAGACACAACGGTAAACCGGTATTAATTTCAGGACTTGATCAGTACAGTCACCAATGTTGGCTACTGACATCTGCCTCGGATGTCACGTTTTCTCACCTCTTTTGAGTTCTTGGTATCAATGACAAAATGTCCACATTGTGTGGTCTTGATAAAGCTTTTAGTACATGCAAATGCACTGCTTTTTGTGTTGTTAAATCTGTTTGTCGCGAGGCCACGTTGATGTTGCTGTTGTGATGGGTTTCCCCTCGTTTACACATTTAAATCCCAAAGCAGGTGTGGGTGCTTCTCCCTGGGGAGTCTCCATGACGGAGGCGGGTAGTGTGAACACGCTCGTCATGCTGCACGTTCACATGGAGCACAGGAGGAAACTAGGGGTTTTATAGGCGGAATACAAATGCATTTTGATGCGACCCAAATTGCTTGTGAATAAAAATTTGTATCTGAAACCATACAAACAGGATATAAGTTAATACCCATTGTAAACATTATTGTTTTTCTAGGTTGTTTATGTTGTATATAACTCGTTCACATTATCCCTACAGCCATTCGAGGCCACTGCATTCACAACGTGACAAATACTTTTTTAATAGATTCACGACAATGAATCCTGACGATTTAGTAGGGCAGGTGCGGAAAACCATTACACCGCTATTAACTATATCAGTGTGGTAACTCCTGCTCCAGGTTGGTATTTATAATTCCCTTGGTTGACACTGCACATTTAAACAAGGGTTTTTTGGTTTGCTGCCTCTCAAGGCATGTCCATCAGTATGCACTCTCCATCGGTCCTTCCACTCACTACACACACACACCTCCATGTCACAAGCTCACAATGGGTGTACATGCTGCTGTGTTTTCCATGAAGGTTGAAAAAGCGTGGAAGCTCCTACTTGGAAGAATCACAAGGTGAAGGTCGATCGCCTGTAACTGGACCAATGTGGAAGAGCCAGAAGTGTAGTTTATTGGGCTGTAAATTTGTTTGGAGTTTGATGTCGGCTTCATTAAATAACTAATGTGGAAGCATAAAAGTCTGCAAACTGGAATTTGTGCTTGTGCCATTTTATATTTTGACTTGAAATATCCTTTGTTTTGCAGGCATACAAATTAAAATCTAACGGCTTCAGCATAGACTGCTTTCATAAAGTTACCAAAAGTTTTAGACAAAGAATTGTAATACTAAAATGATGGTGAATGGTGCAATATGTGAAATTTTACACATTAATAAAGTTTCCTTAAAACTTTCATAAAAGATGCTGTTCTTCGATGCATTTACTTTGCAGGCTTGAACATCTGATGGGATTGTTGTGCCTGCTGTTGCAGATCAGCCCTGCTCCAATACACTGCTGCACACACCTGTAATCCACCACCAGGCAAGGGTTGGCGGATCACGTAAATCCGTGAAACTCCCAAGCGCCGCTGGTTTGCGAGGTAGTGCCGGCAGATGGCAGCACAGCAAAATATAACTTGGGAAGCTTTATCACCTGGCACTCATGCGTTCGTTTTCCCTGGTTACTCTGATTTACTCACTTGTGCCGCCAAAATACTCATGGAATTGGCCAAGAATTCCAGCGCAGGGCCCTGATGAAAACGTCTTCAAGACTCGATCATGCTTCGTGGAAAAATACAGCGCGTTCCATTATTAGATAACATTTAGTGGACGACGGGCACAACTCAAACCCACCACTTGAATCATCGATACTGCATTCATATCTTAATGTTTGGGTAGGCTTGTGTTTCGGGCAATGGCCCAAAACACAAGCGTACCCTGAAGAAGGGCTCTTGCCTCAAAATGTCAGACTATGAGATACTTGGCCAATGTAGTCATAGTTATATACATATGCTTGTGTGCCCAGAACAGGCTTGAATCAGGAGGGTTCCTGCCTAGTTTTGGAGGAGGCAGCGTTATTGCTGCTTTTGTGGTCCCAATTATAATTTGCAGGTACATTTTCAGCATTGGAATTTTTGGCTCATACCAATTACAGCACATTGGTTTTATAGTTTTATAGCTAGTGACCCCGGAGTAAACCCACGCACAATAGGAGTGAAACATCCACACTCCACGTAAAATCGCACTCTACAGAAAGGTGCCCCAGGCCAGGAATCAAACCCAGGCGCTTGCTGTAAGGCGCAAGTGGCGAGATGTTAACTACCTCGACTGGTATACAGGAGGTCGTGGGTTCGATCCCGACCCCTGTATATTTATAGTTTGTGGTATCTCTCTCCTTGGTCACGTGGATTTTTCTCCGGGTCCTCTGGTGTATCCCTCCACATTTAGAATCGACATGCGTTTAGAGGATTTGGCTTCGATACATTTCCACACGATAGCCACTTCGTTGAGCAATCATTCGCGACTAGCCTTTTGCCCGTCCAAGGACGGGTGTATTGCAGTAAATCTGAAACTTGCAAGCGAAAAGCAGAGCGCAACGTGACGTTCATTGCATCAATTCGTGTGCAATTTGTAGGGCCGCGGTGACACAGACACTGGCGGAGCCAGTGGGGGGTAGGGTGGCACGTGCCCCCCCAATGATCCGATCGAAATCCCTAGGGATTTCGATCGGATCATTGGGGTTTATTAGTAATAAATCGGCATTTTGCGACCCCCACTGCCACTGTGTAGCATTATTACGTGGCAGGGATTCTATGAGATGATAGGACAATAGTCTGAGTCCATAATTGGCAATAAGTAACGACAAAGCAGTTATAAGTGACTCACAGAATTTTGCGAAGTTGCGTATTCAGGACACGACTTCCCTGAAGGCATCAACAGCTTCAGTGAGCGCGATGCCGATCACACGACGCGGTTCGTTTTCGATCCTCGATCGATGACTGCGCCATCGCCGCACACGCGTCGAATAAAAAGCAAGGGACCAGTCCTTACTAACAACTCCTTACTCACTAACAACTCCTCTATCATTTTTCATTGCTGGAGGGGTTGCCCCCCCTACCTGAAAATCCTGGCTCCGCCATGGGTGACACAGACCTATTTCAGTGAAAGGTTATAATCGCTTGTTCATCTTGACGTCCTTTTTACTTCGATGTCTCAACAGCGTGACGGAGATCACGTGACGTGAGGGTTGTGAGTTGACGCCGAGGAGGGGGGGGAGGAGGCGCCCCCCCCGACCCCCATGTCGAGTGACGTCACCAGGTCATGATTATTAATGATGGGGGGCTGTTCGATGTGGCGTGCCCTCACCTTCGCGTGATTATTAATGGATGGGGGGGGGGGTGCATGTGGAGTGACGTCACTAGCTCAACATTATGAATGAGGGGGGGTGCTCCATGCTTGGTGACGTCACCCGACATGATTATTAATGACGGCGGGGGGGGGGTCCACGTGGAGGACCCCACGTGCTCATGATTATTAATGAGGGGGGGGGGTTCGATGTGCAGTGACGTCACTCGCTCATGATTCTTAATGAGGGGCGAGTGCATGTGGAGGGCGTAACCTGTTCATGATTATTAGTGAGGGGGGGGGGGGGCTGGTCTACGTGGCGTGACGTCACGCGCGTTACACACTGACATTCTTGGGTAAAGACAGGAGTCAATATCCAGGTCGCTTCTGAAACGAGCTACATAGCTCAGTGGGCCTTACCTGGTGCATTTAGAACAGTTGTTACTGGTAGGAACCACCTGGTTCCACCAGCCCACAGGGGATTATTGTGTCCGTCCGTCCGTCGTGCATCCAAAAGTGGGAGGGGTGGGGTTGGGTGGAGAGGGGAGGGTGGGGAGGAGCTGGGTGGGGAGGGTGGGGAAGGGCTGGGTGGGGAGGGTGGGGAGGGGCTGGGTGGGGGGTGGGGCTGGGTGGGGAGGGGCTGGTCACCCCGTGGTGCCCTTACAAAACTCAACGTTTAACCTACTCACGCCGGCTTGTGCCCGCCCTCACAGTCGGGCATATTTGCGGAATACACCACGCCGCAGTTGGCCCTGGCCATTGACCGAGCAACCCAACGTTCCTACACCAGCTCCCTCCGCAGGAATGTGTTTTGTTTGGTTTAAGTGTTCCTACCACATTGCCACGCTGACGTTCTCAGAGTGCACGCCACAGCACACGTGTCAACCCCTGTGGCTTGGCACCAGCTGTAACAACACTCGGCATGGGCCGCTGTATCATTTAATTTTGCGTTCTTGGCTTTGGGGCCGTCCATAAATTTTTGACCCCCCCCCCCTTCGTCACACGGCGTCACAAAAAGTTAGACCCCCCCCCTCAAATATGACGTCACAAAGCTCTGCCCCCCTCCCACCCCCCAAATAAAATGCTTAAAATCGCTTTAAACTACAGTATTGTCATTGTAGTGCGTATTTAATGTGGCGCTGCACTCTGATGTTGTAGGAGAAAGCATGTATTAAAAAGTATATTTAATCAAGTAGAACGTGTTGTCTATATTTATTAAAAGTTGCTCGTCACACGAGTGGCCACGCAGGGGCGCTGTGGTGATGCTAAAGATCCGCCTCACGTGGAATCCACGTGGTGGTCACGGCCACGCGAAATACGTTACAGCGACATAGAGCACACGTCGCTATACACAGCACACTACCAACACACACCACTCATACACACCTCACTCTACACACAGTGTACTCAACACACACACACACACTACTCATAAACACCTCACTCTACACACAACACCCACACACACTACTCATACACACCTCACTCTACACACAGTGTACACAACACACACACACTACTCATACACACCTCACTCTACACACAGTGCACACTACACACACACACCACTCATACACACCTCACTATACACACAGTGTACACAACACACACACACTACTCATACACACCTCACTCTACACACAGTGCACACAACACACACACACACACTACTCATACACACCTCACTATACACACAGTGTACACAACACACAAACTACTCATACACACCTGACTATACACACAGTGTACACAACACACACACACACTACTCATACACACCTCACTACACACGCAGTGCACACAACACACACTACTAATACACACCTCAATCTACACACAGTTTACACAGCACACACACACGCTACTCATACACACCTCACTATACACACAATGTACTCAACACACACACACACACACTACTCATACACACCTCACTCTACACACAGTGTACACAACACACACACACTACTCATACACACCTCACTATACACACAGTGTACACAACACACACACACACTACTCATACACACCTCACTCTACACACACTACCCACACACACTACTCATACACACATCACTATACACACAGTGCACACTACCCACACACACTACTCATACACACATCACTATACACACAGTGCACACAACACACACACACATACTACTCATACACACCTCACTCTACACACAGTGTACACAACATCCACACACACACTACTCATACACACCTCACTCTACACACAGTGCACACAACATCCACACACACACTACTCATACACACCTCACTCTACACACAGTGCACTCAACACACACTCACATTACTCATACACACTTCACTCTACACACAGTGCACTCAACACACACACTACTCATACACACATCAGTGTACACACACACACACTACTCATACACACCTCACTATACACACAGTGCACACTACCCACACACACTACTCATACACACATCACTATACACACAGTGCACACAACACACACACACACACTAATCATACACACCTCACTCTACACACAGTGTACACAACACACACACACACTACTCATACACACCTCACTATACACACAGTATACACACACACACTACTCATACACACCTCACCATACACACAGTGTACACAACACACACACACATACTACTCATACACACCTCACTATACACAGCACACTACCCACACACACCACTCATACACACCTCACTCTACACACAGTGTACTCAACACACACACACATTACTCATACACACCTCACTATACACACAGTGTACACACACACACTACTCATACACACCTCACCATACACACAGTGTACACAACACACACACACATACTACTCATACACACCTCACTATACACAGCACACTACCCACACACACCACTCATACACACCTCACTCTACACACAGTGTACTCAACACACACATTACTCATACACACCTCGCTATACACACAGTGTACACAACACACAAACTACTCATACACTCCTCACTATACACACAGTGTACTCAACACCCACACACACACTACTCATACACACCTCACTCTACACACAGTGTACTC